AGACCCATTTAGAGCCAACTGCCTTCTTTCCTGGTGGCAGATTAGTCAATTCCCAAGTCTCATTATCTTCAAGAGCCTTAAGTTCCAAATTCATTGCTTCAATCCACTTTTGATTTGTTCTTGCCTGATATAATGTGTAGGTTCATGGATAATAGACAAGTTTGCTACAAAATCACTATATGCATGACTAAAAATGCAATTATGATCTGAATAAGCAGAAACAGGAGATTTTGATTCACTGTGAAAAGTAGAAAAAATCCTCCATCCATACAGGTGCTTTAGTGGTTTTGTTACTCTTCCTTAAAGGAACAGGAGAAGAAATGAAATCACTGGATGGGGAAGAAGTATGAATGTCTGAATGAGATGAAGATGCACTTTCAGATGGCTCAAAAAAACCATCTTCACAAGGAATGCTAACCACAGCCAAAGGAATATCATTACTAACTTCTGATATAGAAGGAAATGTGGATTCATGAAATACCACATCCCTGGAAATGATTGTTTTCCCCAATCCTAGACAATAAACTTTATATCCTTTTTGACCTGAAGGATATCCCACAAAAATTCCTTTAAAAGTTATAGGATCAAACTTATCCCTACCTTGTCCATTATTGACTACAAAACATAAACAACTGAAGTTTCTAAGGTTTGAAAAATCATGTTTTTTGTTGTACAGTTTCTCAAAAGGACTTTGCCAATTCAGTATCTTTGATGGTCATCTATTTATCAGATATGTAGCTATCAGAATAGAATCTCCCCAGAACCTTTTTAGTAGTTTGGACTGCAGTAATAAAGATCTAGCAACATCTAGTAAATGTTTGTGTTTTCTCTCCACAATTCCATTCTATTGTGGTGAATATGGACAACTTCTTTGATGAAGAATGCCCTTTTGGCTAAAAAATTCTGACAGGTCTGATTTAAAAACTCAATTCCATTATTAGTCCTGATGATCTTGATAATGGTTTGGAATTGTGTCTAAACCATATAGAAAAAAGTTTCAGTTAAAGCTGGTACTTGACTTTTATGCTGGAAAAGGTAAGTCCAAGTACATCTAGAGCAATCATCTACTATAGTAAAAAAATATGACAATTGATATTAGTTGCTTGATGAAATGGGCCCCAAACATCCATACGAATGAGATCAAAACAATGTGTACTACTTGTTCTACTTGCAGGAAAATGCAATCTACTTTGCTTTGAAAGAGGAAAAATCTTACATTGAGAGTGTTTAAGTACTTTATCAAAGGAAACATTACAACCATCCAAGTGTTGAACTATATCAGAGGAGGGATGTCCTAATCTAGAATGTAAAATATTCATAGGAACAACATCAGAAACAATATTACATGCTGTCTGATTATTAGTCTTAAACTGAGCAGAAGCTCTAAGATGAAACATATAGGCTGCATACAGGTCTTGTGATCTTGAAATAGCTTCAGGGGTGAAAGAAAATAAATCCAGGACATAGAGTTCTCTGATGATTCTCCTTGTTGCAAGGACCTTGCCAGTTTTCAAGTCCTGCAGAAGACAGAAATCAGCATAGAATTTAAAGAACATCTTTGATGTTTTTGCTAGTTTCCTAATAGAAAGAAGGTTATATTTAAAACTAGGCAAATGCAAACAACTTGTCAAAGTGATTCATAGATTGTGACATCTCCAAAATGAGTGACAGATTTAATGCTGCCATTGGGTAACCAAACAGGAGTATAAGAGCTAAGAGGCATAGGTTTATGCATTAATGAAATGTCAACACACATGTGCCCTGTAGCACCCGTATTTGTTACCCATGCATTTCTACTTACTTCATTAGAAAACCAGAAAGCAAGAGCATAAGAAGAGCTACCTAAAAAATCATGATAATGCACCATGTTGACAGAATGGCCTATATCGGTGTTCACAATGCCTTTTCCCTTGCTGATTCGATCAACTTCCTTTTGCACAGCATTGTTGAACATCTGCTGATATAATTCTGAACCTTCATTATTGAAATCCAGTGGTGTAATGCTCACATTTCCTTGATTGTAACTTTGTGTATGTGTCTGTTGTCCATAAGTCACCATTCCTCCTGCAGTTCCAACTTGATAAACCTGATTTGTAGTATTCTATGCCATTCCTTGATGATCCAGGATTCTGTGGATACTTAATCATATTGGCTGTATTGAATCCTGGTTTTCTTCCTTTCAAAGTAGGCCACCATTCCGGATAGCCCTTGAGTTTGAAACAATCATCAACTAAATGTCCAGGCCTCAAACAATGAGCATTTCAGATGACTCTTATCAATTTTTGATAACCTTGATTCCTTCCTGTAATTTCCTTCTTCCATCCAGCAGATCTTGCTAACATTGCTGAGTTTTCTGATCCTTGCATCATCATTGCAGAGTTATCTGAAGTTGTTGCTATATGTATACTCACCTGCCTGTTTTTTTCAGCATTAGTAATCATGTGATACACTTAATCAACAAAGGGAATAGGATCCATAAATAGTATTTGACTTCTTTCTGGTTCATCTACATCATTAAGCCCCATCATAAACTCCATCACCCTGTCCTCATTTTCTCGTTGCACAATTTGATCCCCAATTTCTCCTTCTATTTCAAGTGTTGGCCTCAATTCTTCATACTGATTCCACATTTATTCAATCTTTCCAAAGTAATCACTTACAGTCATGTTTCCTTGCCTAAGCAAAGCAATCTCTCTTTTTAATTCAAACAAATGAGGCAGATTAGTCTTACCAAACTGTTGCTCAAGACTCCTCCACAATTTTCTTGCATCATGACAAACATGAATTGATTCATCAAATTAGGCGCCATAGAACTTTTGAGCCAAGAACAGACCATACTGTTTGCTCTTCTCCATTTCAACAAGATCGGTGAATCATCAGTCGGCATTGGAAAGCTGCCATCAACAAAGCCGACTTTCATCTTCGCTTCTAATGTTGCTATCATAGCACTCCTCCAAATTAGGTAATTCTTGCTCGTCAACAAAATAGAAACAATCTGGGTTCCTGGACTGTCTGGTCCATGCACTTGTAATCGTTCTTCAATCAGAGGATCAATTTCTCTTCTATTATCTATTTTCTTCCAAGAATTCGGCAAATTTCAGGATTCAATTGATAAAATCTCAAAAACAAAAGTTCAAATTTTACAGCTCCTGCTAATCTAGGGCTTTCGATCTTAACAGGGAAATGGTAATTCAATATAGAATAAGTAAAGCGAAAGGTAGAGTAGAGCAGATTTACACCTGCTCTGATACCAAAAGAATTTGACAGATTCAATCATGATGAAGCTTCTGAAATAAAAGAGAGTACAAAACTTGGAGAGGAAGTTTTCTTGAATCTGAATCTTTCTGTATATTCAATCAATCAAACCGTATGTGCTATGTACAAGTATATATATGTTCTGATAGCTAATCATCATTTAATCATCTTGTTATTTACAGAAATAAAAGAAGCAGAACAAATTTACACCATTAATCTATAACTAATAAAACAGAATCAATGACTAAGAATTAAGGAACTTTGAATTGTGCAGATTGATGACATGGCTTAATGAAGTTTCTGGAATGATTAATCAGCCTCCCTGAAACACAGCTGACTTTAAACAGCATGTGCACATTGCTTGTGAGATTACCGGAATGCCACTGCTGAGCTAAGGATGGCAAGGGTGTAAGAGACTTTTCAGCTGCCATGCATGCAAGTTGTGGTGATGAAGGTGTTGCTTGACAAAGCATTGACTTCTGATGATGATGATGAAGCATTGACTGCTGCTGCTGATGATGATAATTCTAATATCTTTCAACCCAGAAAACCAACAATTCACCAGAACAATCCCGAAATCTATGAGCCACCAATAGCCAACAACCACCAAATCTATCCACCAGTCACCACCAGCGGCCAACAACTACACCTCTATTAACCATCTGCAACTTTTTAACCAAACAAACTGAAACCAGCCAAGAATTAGCTATGAGTAGCCAACTGTTATTATTCACGACGGAAATACGGTAAGGAGCAATATTTCTTTTGTTCTTCACGGCGACAGAGTCCCATGGATACGGCGAGAGTGATAGGCAACGATGGTGGTATATTGGGATAGTGACAATTGGTGGGATTAGATTAGCAGCAACGTTGGCCTGGGTGAGGTAGTAGTAGCGGCAGTGTCAGTAGGATGTTGGTACGGTGATTGTTGAGCTTAGAAGCAGAAAGGAGGAGATGAAAATCGGGGAAGGAAGGAGATGAAATGAGAGAAAAGATGGATGTGATAATGGGAAAAAAGAATAATAAAATTTTATAAAAAAAATCCAGAATATAACTAAAAATTGGATTCAAGTTGAATCCTAGGGGAGACTATGGATTCAGTCTTTTGGCTTCAATCTTTTTCCCAATATCGGCGGCGGCAGCGGCAGCGGCAAGGAGGTGGGGGAGAAAGAAAAGGGAGTTAATTTTCTTTTTTTTGTCTTTTTTTTTAAAGTCAAACGTAAGTGGGACCCATAACCTGGAGAAAATTAATAAAAGATAAAAATTAATGTTTGACCGAATTTGACCGTTAATTTTTGTAAAATTCCGTTAAATGGATCAATGATAATGAGTAAACGAGCAGCTCGTGACTAATTTTGTCAGAAAAAACTTTAATGGTGTTAAAAAAATTGTGATCCCCTTAGTTCAAGGACCAAAAGTGCATTTTATCCTAAATTTAATTATTTTGACTTGTATTTTTGTCTTCCACAACTGAAAATCATTCAAGAGTTACCATAACTTAAAATAAGTATAGTCGCTGAGAAACTATAATACGTTGCAACTGTTGGCTCAACTGAAGTTCCACGAGTACATAAATGATGTATGTACGAATTGTCTTGTTTGGTATAACTCTTTTTCTGGTTGTTCAATTATTGTTATTGGAAGGGAATATGAACAACGAGAATAATTCCTCTACATTTCTTATTAACTCAGCACCGATTCTTGAATAGGGGAAATGATCGATCCAATCCCCAAGGTAAAGGAGCCTAAAGATGTTACAATGGGATATATTGGTACATCAACTTTCTCGTCAATGAGAAATTTATTGCACGAAAATTTGCACTTTATTTACACCATGCCAAATTGAGGTTATAATACTCCCTAACTCACCCTAATTAATTATTGCTAATTATTTTGTTGGGAGTGAATAAGTGTTGTTAGCCATGAGTTATTTTACATGCCTGTCATATCGATCGTGTCAAATGTTGCAAACCGGCACATTTACAAGGGTTACGTAACTGTACATTTTTTGGGAGCTTCATCGCTTGATGATCATGAACTGATGGAAGGATTCAAAACACAAGGGGTAATTTTATCCTAATCGAGTTGTAGCAGTAATTGATGTTATCAGATGTAAACTAGTGATGTAGGTGTGTTGCGAAGAATTTCCGTCTCAAGAAATGAATTTTAGTTCTTCCTTTATTGTTTATTTTCTTAAGTATTCATACTTGATCTTCGTTGGGTCTTGTCAAATTTCTCCCTTGCAAAGTAGAGTCAGCTGGTCTTGAAAGCTAACCGAAGCAAGCCCAACCAATTTGGAAGCCCAACTGAATAGAATCATGCATTTTGGGTTCTATCTCGAACTCTGTTAAAGCAATGCAATGACGTCCACATGAAGAAAAGCAACAAGCCAGTCCAACCACAATATGTAATACACACCGTCTCGGGGTTTCTGGCCTGAAATATCAGCATGTCATCCAAGAAGCTAGTCGACGTAATAGAAATTAAGGTTACTTTTCAATACCACATGCTCCACCATCCATCCCAATCTTTGTTCTTGATTTTGAGATGATGTCTTAGTTTGGATTTTAATAATCACATTATTAGCATAATAATACCATTGTATATGCTCGGAAAACTACTATAATCTGACAAACACACATGGTTCTAATAAATCTATTGGATTAGCCCTTCAGTGAGTTTATTTGGTGTCTGGAAGTAATGTATATTTGACTGTATTGAGTTTCAATTACGCATGTTTGATTTTCTGATTTTGCATGAATACTGTATATCATCATCAGCAGCACCCTCACCAATCTCTACAGATTATTATTATCTTAATTATAATTTAGTGATCAGTTTGTCGCTTTGCTTCTTCTCGCTCTACGGTCTCACCCTCTGCATTTTTCACTATTTGTTTTTTGGTTTGGTGGAGTCGTTTACAGATCCCAACTAATATGCAAGCAGGTTATGAACTTGATCCAGAATCTGAAAATGATCAGAATATGGAGATAAAACAGATTACACAAGCAAAGAAATATGAACATTTCTTCTTCTTCTAAGAGTACAAAAGGAAAAACAAATTCATCTTAAACACATATACATGATGAAACTGCTGCAACAAACGAATCAAGAGAGATCGGAGAAGAATCACCTCGATACTGGCTTTTTTTTTTTTTGATCATCTGGGATTCAACTCCATGGAAGCAACCAGTGATTTGTATATCTCGTAAACAATCCGATTCTCGAATTCCTGTTCTTTGTAAGCCAAAGAAACCTTACGGGCCTGAGGGATTCTTCTGCCACCGTACACGCTTGTACCAGTACCATTCAGAGCCCCTGTTTTGCCTGCCAATCTAAGCATCATATCCATGTACCCAGTCTTGATCTTTCTCCATAGCTTCAACGGGGACAGAAACTTAAACCGCAGCTTCGGGATTGATCTAATCTTCCATCCCCGCTTCTCTTTCTTCCCTCCTCCGAGTTTCACAACCTGTAGAGTTTTCCTAGAAGGGCTCAAACGCTGGTATTTCCTCTTCCTCCATTGCCTCTTCCAGCTGCCCTGAAAAGGAACCGAAAGCAGAGCCATCTTCCCTGTTTTGGGTTTGCGAGACTCTGTTTTGTGAAATGTTAATTATGCGAAATGAATGAATGAATGAAAGTAGAGTTTTATACCTAAAAAGACAAAAAAGGATTGAAGGAAAATTAATTAAAAGGCTGCTTATTAAATGATGAAGTGAAAGGAAACATCTGCCAGACACCAGATTGTAGGTGCCTGGTGGGTGGGTAAAGGTGGTAAACGGAGTCAACAAAGTCGGTTACGTTTTCGCAATTTCAACGTAAAACATGGTCTATTTAGAGTTTCTTCGGGCAAAGCTGGTCATTTTGAGTATTCCAAAAGGAAAAAGACCAGAGATTTCAGATTAGGAATTATGATTTCTCCTCTCATCTTTTTTCTTTATTTATTTCTCATTCGACTATTCATAAAAGTGGGAATCTTTGACCATCAAGCAACATGTTTCGGAGTTTTCTCCTCTTAGTCAAAGGATAATATTCATAAAATTCAAAATCTGTTTGGCACCTATATATATATATATATATATATATATATATATATATATATGCTGGATTGCTGGTAGCCAGGACCTCAGATAGTGAAGTTCAAAATTTGGGTTTTTTTAAACCAATCAAGAAGCAATTCCAAGAGCCCACAGATGTCTTTTCACACATAATCCGACTCATTTTCACTCGATCCTATTATGTTCGAGATAAATTTTCGTTGATAATGCATCTTTCATTACTATTACATGTTTGTGTGTGTACTAGATTTTCGATTGTCACGTTTGTGTTCAAATCCTGACCACCACACGCTATGGATTGTAGATCTTTAATCACCATGCCATGATTCAAGTCTTAGTTTATTATACTCGCTCTGTCCTAAAATTATTATCAAATTTGATATTTCACTTTTAATATAATTTGAACTAAAAAAAAAAATCTAAACCGGACAATATTTATGCGACGGAAGGAGCACTTCAAAATGGTGTATGTAAATTAAACCGTGCCTCCTATAATATAAATAAACTCTGTTTTAGTCAAAGAAAAGGAATGCTTTGGGAGTCAAAACGGAATATCATAACATACAACGATATCACATATAACATGAGTGAGATGAGATCATTTAACATTTAATAATTGTACTAAGATTTTGGTAATAGCAGGACTTGTTATCATGTGCGCCAAAAAACACCAGCAATTTTCATGCAGGTTGTTTCTAGAAGTAGTATTATTATTAATATTTTTGTGGGAGAAGAAAACAAAGAAGAAGTCAGAGACGAATTGATCGATACATATTGAGAAGGAGAGACGTGATGAAGTTTTACCTTCAGTTCTCAGATCCCACATGTCCGGTCAATCGGGCTATGCTTTCTTTGACTGTAAAACATCAAAATATTTACTATTAGCTCAGGGATTTCTGCTTAGAATAATTATTTATACAAAAACACGTCAGTCTCAAAGCAACAACATGTAATTTGGGATCACAGGAAATGGATTGGTGGTTTGATTTTACATCATGGTATATTGGTCAAAAATTCATAAATTCCGCATCTGAAATTAATCACCTTGTTCCTTCTAATGAAGCAACAATTGTATAACGTTACAAAAATTAGGCTCATCATCACACAATTTCCGTCAATAATCCGACGCACTAACACCCAAATTGTTGTCTAATTGGTCTAGTTCCTTGGCACAATACTACGATGCATAAAAATGTTAGTAAAAACTTTACTTTATCCGTTTTTTTATTCATGATACGAATTTTAACTTAGCGATTTACAAGAACAAGACAACACACACGCTAAGACGAACCGGGGATTCCAGACAGCTTCAACGTAAGATCTTCGGCTTTCTGTCCTCAAGGTGCCCCCCTCTTGCTAATTCTAGTTGGACTACAATATATACGGACATGTGACGTTTACTATTCGGCCTTTTTTCTAGAAGTCCAACACGATATCGTCGCCAAATCTTGTTTTACACTTCGGCTGTATTTTGGTTGTTTGAAACAAGTTGCTTACTCCCTCTGTTTCAAAATTATTGTCCAGTTTGAGATTTCACTTTTAAGTACAATTTGAACTAAAAATGAAAATCCAAACTGGACAATAATTATGAGACGAAGGGAGTATATTAATATTGACTAAAACGTCCAAATGGTCATTTATATTTGGGCCTACTTGATTTTACGTCCCTAACATTAACATTTCAATATCGCAGTCCCAAACATTATGTTTTCAAACTTTTTTTGTCCCATTTCACTGTTTCCACCACTTTTCCGTCTACCTCGACATTGACCGGCCGTTGACATGCCGGAATCAGGGGTATTTTTGTCTTTTCATTTAATTTGATCTTCCATTAAAATTTAAATCATTAAAATATTATAAAATTCACATTTCATTATTTAATTAATAAAATATTATTTATTAATTTAAAATATTATTATAAACCCTAATATTAATATTTAAAATATTATTATAGAGCAATTAACATCATCTCCGGCCTACTCGGCTGCTGAACATTGCCACCACCACCGGGAACTTCAACCCCATCCCACTCATCACCATCAAGCAAATTCATAATTTTTACCACCATAACAACCTAAATTCTACTTTTACCCATCCATAACCACTGCAAATTATTTTTACTCAGCACCAACAAACAATCAAATCTACCACCAACATCACTGTAATCAACACTGTAAGTGTAAATTCCACCATTACCACCAAACAACTTACAACCCACTAATACCACCAAGAAACCCATCGACACTATTAAATCGCAACCAAATATTTTTTTAAACAATCAAAATAAAAAATCGATCTATTATATGTGGTGAACTTGAAACCAATTAGGACAAACTCAAAAGCCTGAGGCCACCCTCGACAGCCATGAATTTGGCCCCGCCGTTGCTGCTCATCTCCCCTAAACCGAAGTGTAGTGAGGGTTGAAATGTGGATGGGATGTGTGGGGCGGAATTGGAAGGGATGAACAAGAAGGAAATACAGGAGAATAGGTGTAAACGAACCGGTTAAAATCAATAAAAATTATATAAGGATTTTTCTTTTTTTTTAAAACTAAGATAAAGATTTTTTAATTTAGGGGAGCGAATGAAGTTTATTTTGTATTTCGCTTTAAACGAGGTCTATTAATTGTAGGATTAGATTTTTCCAATCAAGCCAAAGGAATTGCATTTTTAACATGGGGCCCACTGTAACCTAAGGTAAATAGTAAATAAAAATAATAATTTTGAAAATAATATAAATTTTAAAATTTTATAATAGTAATATTTTAAATTAATAATAATATTTTAACAATTAAATATTGAAATGTGAATTTTATAATATTTTTAATGATTTAAATTTTAATGAAAGATTAAAGTAAATGAAAAGATAAAAATACTCCTGATTCCGACATGTCAACGGCCGGACAACATCGAGGTTGACGGAAAAGTGGAGAAAACAGTGAAATGAGACCAAAAAAGTTTGGAAACATAATGTTTGGGACTGCGATATTGAAATGTTAATGTTAGGGACGTAAAATCAAGTAGGTCCAAATGTAAGAGACCATTTGGATATTTTAGTCATTTTTTATCCGATAATGTATAAGACACGTCCTCGTTTGACATAATAATAAAACAACTAGAGTCTCAGATCGATTAGTTTTCACTATTACCTTTCCGACGTTTGGTATGACTATCTCAATTCTTCATGTTCGTACTAAGGTTCCTTATTTGAGTAGGTGTGTGCAATTTTATAGGAATTACGTATCCATAACTGATCAACCAATTCGTTACCTGAATGAATGTTTCTATAAGCGATTTCAGTTACAATGGCATTTATTGAATTTCATTTGGGAGGAAAAATCAAATGAAAACTGATGTTTGAACAATCTTTTCGTAATGCATGAAAATGACTCGGGTCTTACTCCTAGAAAAGACGAAGGTATCCGTTTCACACTTGCCGCCATCATTTAATAGGAAGAGTTTCCGACCAATAACTGTTAGCCTATGTAACCACTAACCAACCTCGAGTACTATACTTTCATTTATTTTACTGAAATAGTATCTACAATTCACAGCGATAAATAATCTTTTTCACTGAATTGTTGGTGTTACATGAGGTCAAAGAATTTGAGATTATTCCATACATAGTGAAATTCGAACATTAGATGTAGTAATATGGTTAAGGGTGCCTTTTGATTACTGTGCATTGATTTTCAGAGGTGGATCCCAACCCAACTGATTAAGCCCAAGAGTACTATTGTAAAACCCAATCTGAAATGGGCTATATAGTACCTTATCAAATGATTTTGCCAACCAAGGACACTTCCAAAACACAAAATATTGACACATTTCATTACTCTCTCCTGTGTGTCTAATCACGTTAGTCTGTACCTAAATTTCAAAAACGAAAATTGACTATAATAACAAATTATCCTAGCAAATGAAATTATCCTAACGATATTTTATTCAACAATTATGTATTCTTCAGGAAAGATTAGGTTAAAAAAATTACTCGTAAATAGGTAAATTAAATAACGACATGATAAAATCTACTAAACCTAATTGAGATCCATTTTCAATTTTTCTACTCTGCTCAAAGAATCATGCCATGTGTGTGGCAATGTAGGCAACAAGGCGACCTAAATCCATAAAAGTCATATTAGATGGAAATGCAAAACTTAAAAAAAAAAAAAAAATGCAATTTAATCACGTAATGTAAAGCCTTGAGGCAACATTCATCTAATCTTGGAATGCACAATCAGATTTCGTATGAGACTGTTGGTCGAACGCTGCCTATGAGCAATTTTATTTTTATCCTAGCCACTCTTTATTGCAACTGTATCATCTCCAACACTTATTCCCTCTGTCTCAAAATTATTGTCCATTTTGAGATTTCACTTTTAGTACAATTTGAACTAAAAATGAAAATCAAAATTGGACAATAATTATGGGACGAAGGGAATATATAACTGTCCTTGATGACCATATTTTCGCATGAATCTGTAAAAGTTGCGAATTTACTTTTTTTTCTTTTTGAAAGAGAATATCAACAGGGCTTGATTAACAGAACATGGCGCAATTTAACCTTAATATAGAACTCAAACTATCTTATAATTGTAGCATTTAGGATAGACGTCTTTTGGCTCTAAATTTCTATCGTAATACACTTAATCCCATGGATTGCAATCTCAAATGAAATTTCTCTAGCATTCAACCAAAGAAATACATACCTCTTCTTGTTCGGTTATGTTTCCATTAAATTTAACGCAAACCATTGTGTAACAAATTTAATACAATTTTAATCATGAGGAATTTTGTTAAGATAAGGCGAGTATTAACAAAATTTTTAAAATATAAATAAATGATAACATTATCATTAAAAATTAAATCATTATCCTAAGTTTCAATTTTGTTTTTTGTTTGACTAATAACAAACTGACTATATCTTCTTCTTTAAATGGTTTTTAGCTGGGTTATTTAACACAAAGACTACAAAAAAATATGGCAAAAAAAATCGGATTAAAAAATTTAAAACAAACCGATTCAAGATCGGATAATAGTAACTGAAAAAGCTGTGCAACAACTTCCTTAACCTTTGAAACTCGGGTCATACCGCCAATTAAAGTATCTCATCAAGATTACAAATATTGAAAGCCTAACCTTCATTTTTAACCAACTCACGATGATATAATAAATTTAAAATATAGCAATGATAGGGGCACTGACAATTTACAGTAAAATAGAATAGTGACTTGTGAAAAAATAAAAATATCATTTCCACTAAACATGTGCATCTATTAACTAAGGGTAAAAATATAATTTTGGCAGTAAATAAATTTTCAATAGGAAAGTAGAAATAAATAGAATGATCATAATACTTCAAATAAATCACTACTTTTTTCGCTATTTTTTTTTTTACTATACTTATCATTAAATCTTTTTTTTTTTTGTTAAAAACAAAAAACTATCTGGATCATAATAATGGCCAGATACATATTCATAAATCAAACTAATAATGGTTGTTATATTATTTTTTAAAAATATCATGATGAGATGGTTAACAATATGATAAGATTCTTTGCTCAAAAAAAAATTTTCTTAAAAAAATTAAATTTTCAAACAATAAAATCAGTCCCCTAATATCTTTTCTTTTAACAATTTTAGTCACTTTTCACGGAATTTTTAAAAATTTAATGGCCCAATTCAATTTTCTTTTAAATCTTTATTTTTTCTTGATTAATTAATGGATTGTGGATCCCACACCACAAGTCTCAGATTTTTTTTTAAAAATAAATTAAAATAATAATAGAAGTATTTCCGACCAACTTCCTGAACCCCAATATACTGCTTCCGAACGAATCACCATCACTTCCTCGTCAGCAAAGTAGCCCAGAAAAGGAGTCTCATTATTGATTGTTTTTGTTGTCCGTTTTTTTATGGAATTTATTTCTGGGGGAGCAGTATATTAGGGATAGGGAAGTTAGTCGGAAATATTTTCATTATTCTTTTAATTTATTTTTTTAAAAAAAGCATGATTAAAGACTTGTGTGACCCATAATTCATTAATTAATCAATAAAAAATAAAAACTTAAAGAAAAATTGAATTGGATCATTAAATTTTTAAAAATTCTATGAAAGTGACTAAAATAGTTGAAAGAAAAAAGATATTAGGGGACTAATTTTTTTGTTTAAAAATACATTACGGGTCTCAGTTTAGTAAAAATTAATAAAAAGTAAAAAAACTTAACGGAGTTGACCGAGAGTTGGCCGTTAAATTGACAAAACCTGTTGAATAAACGAAAAATTAGTGACTAATTTTATCAGAAAAAAATTAATGGTGGCAAAAAATTGTGACCCCCCCCATAATTTAGGGACCAAAAGTGCGTTTTGTCCTAAATGTAAAACGTAAAAAGATTGAAAAGGTCTTCTAGAAAAGCTAATTCTACCATAAAAAAAAGCAAACGTACCATTCTTCCGATTCCAAGAACTTAGAACTAACACCAGCAGAAAACCACCAAAGAAGAACAAATTAAAACCTAAGGGAGACTTCAAAACCTTGAATCCCTTTATATTAATAATTTAGGGTGATTCACAAACCGAGTACGATTTTAAAACTGGACAAAAGAAATAAGCACAGGCTTTTACAGTTAAAGTTTATGTTAGTTAATAAACTTGATTGGTCTAGGTAATATTGGGCTCCATCAAAAAAGATAAATGGCGCCAAAGAAAATCATGCCCCTTCCGCAAGAGGTCCACCAAGACCTTATTATCAGTCTGAACAAGAACCGGATACAAATTAAGCAGTTCACATTTCCGTGATCCAAATAACAATCCAGCAACTTCCGCTTCTATGCTATCATCATCACCAATGAATCCAAACTCGCTATAAAGAAAAAAAAATTACCACCTCCTCGAATTATAAACCCATACCCAGCGCTTTGATCTCGAGAAGAACCATTTGTATTCAAGACATATGAATCTCCGTCGGGTGGTTTCCAACAAACTACAGTACATTTCCGTGCAATAAGTTTACCATTCCGAACATGAAAATGTCTGTTCAAAAAATCTAACCTCCCCCGCGATTTACATGGCATCATATGGATTTGTAGTAAATCAGAAATAACATTTAAAATATTACCAATTAGCACTCGATTAGAAAGAAACTATATTCTCAAACAAAAACTTATTTCGATACTTCCACAGCTCCCAGGTAATCAGGAGGGAACTACCATTAACAAGGTTTTCAAGGCCGTAGTGAAACTATCCTTGCGCCACCAAGCAGACAACATTAGATCAAAACTTGTGATTTTGACCTTAAAAGAACTTTCAACTTCATGTGTAGTTTCTATACTGAGGCATATTGAGGCATCTGTTGTTTTGGATTCAAAATCCTGGAAGCCCATATGTTCCTCCTACATACTGATTAAGCCCAAATCCTTCAAGGGCACATTTTTAGCCCACTAGCTTGGAGACGGGTTGACAGTCTGCTGGAGACTCCCATCTACCAACAAATCAGTACTGTTCTAATTTTCCGTTTGAACAGCTCCATTATTCCTTTACCTTGTTCTATAGAGAACCTCAAAGGTCTTTCTGTTGTTTGTGCGGAATAGTAGCTCGGAATGGACGGAAAAGCCCTCCACTTCAACGGCTTACAAGGGTCAAACAGCAGCTCGTTCTGGAACATTAAGGGTTTTGATGGCTCCAAGAGAAAGCGGGAGGACAGGAGAGTTTCCGTCAACGAATTCCTCCATGAATACGGGCGTAAAGTGGAGGAATCCGTACTGGGTCCCGGAGCCGGGTTTGGTGTCGGATGTGGTGTTGGTTTGGGGCTGGGAGTGACCGGAGGAGTCGGTATTGGTGGGTCGATGTGGAATCATCTGAGGATGGCGTTTGGTGTTGGGATTGGGTGCGGTGTTGGTGTGGGCATTGGTTATGGCCAAGGGCTTGGAATTGGTGCCTCGCTTGATTCAATAAGATCTCGTCTATTGCCGCTAAAGAAAGTGAAGTCCAAGAAAACCATTCTACTTCCTTATTGATATGCTTATGAGATATTATAACTCTTGCTCTGTTTTGCTGCAAATTTTTGTTCCAAAGAGAAGTTGGCGAGTTAAATGTACTCTATATCAGTTCTGGTGACTTTGACCTTAAAAGAACTTTTCAAATTTTCATGTGTAGTTTCTATTCTAATTATTCTAGTGTCATTTGATCCTCAGTGGTTGATGGTGTTAGAGATAGTTTGTCTGCTGAATTTAGTGAGATAACCCCTGTATGCAGAACTGTTTTTAGTCTTCAAGCAAGCGATTCAGAGTTTTCAAACAGAAATGAAAGGGGGCTTCCTTCAATCCAACCAATGCTTTGCTACCCAACAATTCTTTACCATTAGATTGGTCTTCAATCATCCACCAAAAGGGCTAGCGCTTTCACCTTCAATGTACAGTTGTCCATTTTCCCAGGGTCAATCATAATGTATGCAACCTTGTGTCTATTGTTAAATTGAAACGATAAATTGCGTGAATCACTAAACCATATGCAGTAAAGGGAACAGGCATGAAATACAAACACTTATACCACAATTTGATAGAAAAAGGAATTTATGGGAATCAAAACTAAACAATACTTACTAAGAACAATTTTGAATTCATTAATTAAACAAAAAGAAGCGCAGGAAATATAATGCAAACTTGAATATGTAATTCCCAAGGCTACAAATTAAGACAGACAAACCCAGCACAACGATTCAATAAATTTTTTTAGGGATTATCTTGGCTCTAATCGATGGACTGGAGAGAAGCTCCACCACCGCCGGCGGCGGCGGCGGCGGCGGCGGCGGCAACATCATCCACCGTGAATTTTCCCTTAGCCTTATCAGCAACTTTGCCCTTGGCTTTCCTATCCAGCAAATCCTTGCGGTCCTTGTCCAACTTAAGCTTAGTGATGACTACGTTGGAAGGGTGGATTCCAACGTTGACTGTAGATCCATTGACTTTTTCCCGAGTAATCCTCTCGACGTGAATAACCCACTTCTTCCGGTACACCTGAACTATTTTCCCCTCACGCCCTTTGTAGGTTCCACGAACAACCTGAACTTCGTCGTCTTTCCGAACCGGGATGGAACGGACGTTGTACTTGCTCCGGAGGTCAGTTGAGAGGGCTGCGCTCATAATTACCCGGCGCACACTCGACGGTGCCGTGAAGTGTGCCTTCCGGCTCTTCCGCCTTGAGCCTGAGACTTTTGGGTTGAACTTCATTGTCAGAGCACCGGAGGAAGTTTGGTGGTTTCAGATGAGTGACCGAAAATAGGAGAGGCGGGGAGAAGTGGAGGAAAGAGTGAAGAGAATGGGGTTTATTAGGGCTTCCAGATGTAATTACAATAGTACCCTTGCAAGTTTTCTTTAGGAGTTCATTGCAAAGAACCCCCCTCAACTATATCCAGATAGCAATTTAGTCCCCCGTTCCATACCTTTCCAGTTTCAATTGAGATATTTGAATGTTAGCTTAGAGCTACATGTAGGAGAGTGCATTAGATATACTATTCCATTTGGAGGGTCATAAAAAAGAAATGCAGTCCCGTAAGATTTGAGAATTCTAGTTTAGTTATATCATCTTCATCTTATTGTTTGGAAAAGTAAGCATAAAATATTATGGAACAAGGGAACATTAGAAAAGAGATTGGTAACAGGCAAGTTGGACTCTGTATTTTTACTTCTCTTCCTAATCGAGACGCAAAATGCTCTTTATATGTAACCTTTTCTGTTAACTCAAAACTGATGGACTTCCAGTTGCAATGTTGCAGCATGTTCTAATCAGCCATCCTAAATGTTGGATCAATATGAAATATGAGCTATCAACTTGTTATAAATTTAAAGCTTCTACGTATATTTACAAATCCGCCTAGCAAAAACTCCAAGGCAAAACTACCAAAAGATTGCCAAACCTATGTCCTGCCAGTTTCTAAATCTTCAACTGCTGTGTTAGAGTCAATGGATAAGGATGGTCCAGAGGCAGCACTGTTTGCTCTTTCATTTTGAAGATGTTCAACCCGGGCATTTGAGGTTGAAGCATTGTTTGCGTTAACAGCATTGGCGGTCGGTAGTTCACTGGCCTGTAATTCCTCCAGGACCCGAATGTAGGCATATGTTCTCCAACCTGCAAGACCAAATTAACCTGTCAGTAAGTGTGATCTTTATTGTCTCAAAGAACATTTCATCCTCATTATAAAGTCAGCCTTCTCAAAACAACAGCCAAGAAAACAGTGACTAGTTACTTCTTAAACAGTCAACAGTTGCAAAATTGCTCACCGTGAACGTGATATGGAGGTGGGAAAAACTGCAAGTAGCAAAATGTGGCCACAACAAGACCTGAAAGATCACTTCTTTAGAATTTGTATAGCATCCAAGAACTTTGGAAATAAGGTAACAATCCAATGATATAACAAACCTATAAGACCTCCAGCAAACACATCCTCCCAGTGATGTCTGTAATCGTCCACCCTAGAAATGCCAACAAGAGATGCCACAAGCAGAGGAAGAAAAACAAGACATAGCTTTGCAACATGGCCTCTGCTGTCAAACGCTTTTATTTTCCCAGATAAGTACAATGATAGAAACCCCAAGCCAGCAAATGAAACTAGGCAAAGTCCAAGTAAAAGTAAGTCAGCATATGAGAAAAAAGCAAGCAAATGCAAATGAAGTGTCCATGTCACAGGCAGAGTCCCTTAACAACCAAAACTATGTGCTGAAAAACATGAAATGATGTTCACTCACATGAAGTATGGCCACTTGGAAAACTTTTATGCCCGTTGTCAATCAAATGTTTCTGACCGTGGCATACTACATTCCCAAGCCGATCATAAACCTGACAAGTAAACATTACCGAAGCTAAACAAGGGTGTCCCAACCCACAAATAAATACAGAACAAATGAATTAAACCCCAGAAAGCATACATCTTTTCCATCAGGAAAACAGCGCCAAAAGAAGTCAGGCCGAGGCCGACCAACAGAGTCTTTTATGGCATCAGTAATGACAGCAGTTATCAAAACAGAAAATAAGACTCCTGAAATAGCATCAAACATCACAATTCAAAGTTGAGATAATTTCGGCCAGAGCGGGAACATATTCCAAAATTAAGAAACACTTGAAAGTTCTATTACCTAGAATTGCATGGTGAAGATCATAGACATCTCTTCTCCGAAAATAGAAGAACAGAAAAATGACGATTGGCAGAACAGCTGAATATATCTATATTGGATTCGAAGTAATTGTATTAATGGTCAGCACAATGAAAGAGAAATCCATAGACATCACCCACGTACTTGAAAAGAATGCACTTGAACTCACAGGCACAGACCAAGCAGGAACAGTGTCCTGTTTCATTGGATACTTCAGATCGTCCATCATATCTTTGCCAATGAACCGATAAAATGGGGATATGAGATTTAGTATGATTACAGCGGCGAAAAGAAGCATCAGTATCAGCCAATCATGAATATGCGTTCTTGCCAGCATAGCCCCATGAGTTCTCACAGTATGTTGTCCAGGTTGACCTTGCCTCATTGTACTCTGCTAAATCCAAAACACAGCACAGGAGACTTCAGGGATGTTAGTTCTTCTCTCTACTTTTTTTTTCTCCCCTGCAGAAACCACTGAAAGCGTAAAATCTAGCTAACAATCACACAATGCTGAAATGCCATTGACAAAATAGTCCGGATCTGCCAAATTATTATTTTTTTTATTTGGGGGAAGAATAAGCTTCTTAATTGGACATAGAAGATTTCATTGGACTACTCAGTTTTATGACAATGAAGAATAAAGAATCTTTGTATCCAAGAGAATCTAAAAGTGTGCTGTTCTAGGCAGGACAACCTGAAATTGAAGACAGCCTTATGTTTTCATAGGCACATTGGCAAAGGGAATTTACATCTAACTGTGTGAAGATTGCTCAAAGATTAAGCTGAATACGTCCATCCTTCATACAAATATAGCCTTTCAGGCAGCAATTTCGTGATACAAATTTGATACCTAACACTGTCAATCCCTATTCCTCTTTTAGTTTAACCACAAACATCGAAAAGTGGTGCGAGTCCAAAGCGGTGAATGAGTTACTAGCCCATTGGAGTGATGGATACGTAAGCAATTATGAATAATTTCTATTTATACCACATAAATAAACACAGGCAGAAACCAAATTGCCTTTTAAGGAATGTCTTAGCTGAATTTCTCAAGTGGAATTCCTCTTATAGTTCACATACGGAGTCAAACTTTTCCTAGGATATAATTTCGTTAGATGAACACATAGGTATAGTATCTACCTGTTGATTCAGGTGTTGTATCAATGGCTGGTATCGGTGCGCAACCCAAAAGTTTCTGAGAGCAGAAACGCCCTGCTCCCGATTGAAAAGGCCCTACAATATCAAAATCAAACGACCCACCTCAAAATCATGAAGTTCAAAGTAATCTGGGAAGAATTCGGGGCTATTCATCACATAATAGGAAATCTCCTAAACAAAAAACTGGAAACATAATAAGCATAGTTTGTAGTGGCGATCAACCTATTCTGCTCAACCAAATTAACATTATGCAACAAATTCAGTAAGAGAGCAATACAGGCAATGCCGCCATTGTTAGAATGAGGAAGCATACGAATTCGGAATTGTTCAAACAAACCTGAGAAGAAAAAGCAGCTCTGACATTGTTTAGCCAAAAACAGGATCTCAAATCCCAGCAGGCCATAGCAAGAAGCCAATAATTAGGACGGTATCAAATACCTTAATGTATCAACAAGGATTTTTTTTTTATGGCAAATTTTAAAAGAGGTGCCCTAGCCCAGATCATGCTTGAAGCCTTCCCCCAGATTCAAGCATTGAATGAGTTAAACACGTTGTAGTATACAGTAATACTGTGAAAGAAAGGTCAAATATCCGGAGTATTTTAATCAATTAAGGAATCAACAACCACAGATTCATCGTCAATGGGTAAAAAAACAAAGTTGGAGCTATCCATTTAAGAGAACAGATAATTATAAATTAAAAAAATGCTTTTTTTTCCAAAAGAAAAAAAAAAAAAGTCTTCAAACCTTTCAGTAAAAACCTTTAGCAAGAACTGACAACGACACCAAAAGAATCTTGCATAGCTCCCCCACAACACAGTTCTTCCTTGTTCTGATTCTCTACATAAAAAACCCTTTCTTTTTGTTTTACTTATGATTTTAATTTTTATCTCTTCCTGATGATTAAGGTGGCCAAACGGCGATGTATCCTTTTCCATTTTTTCGGTTGCGGGAGCGTTTTCTTCGTTCGCCGTTATCGCTAATGTGACAGACGTACGTGGACATGCGATGTTGCGGAGAAGCAACGCCACGTCTTCGCGGTGTGGGGACCCACCATCCACTAAAGGCACAAACCAGTTGGGGGCAACATTGTCATTTTAATATTCTAAAACACGCACCGATATAGTTCCATACTTCCATTCACACACATTTGCCCACACAAACAGTCGAATAGAGAGGACTTTACTAAGTGTACCAAAAAGGTGTCAACCAATGATGGGTAAATGTATCATTTCACAGGCCAAAACACACCTACAAATTACCAGAACATATGTACGCACAAAAAACAAATAAAATAAAACAATCACTCTCCACCGAAAAAAATAATTTGTACCCCAAAAATACAAAAATCAAATGTAACTAACCTTAATCCATATCATCCATCGATCATCTTCCATGATAAGAACCGCTGTCTTCAAAAAATTATAACCCACTTGACAATTCCGCACATTCCACTAGCCTTTCTATTCTTCTTAACCGCACTCTGCCAGGTAACACCTCTCTTAACACAGTATTCCATTCAGGTCTTGAACAAAATCGGGCAACCAAATAATATATCTCACGTTCCAGTAACATTTCAACCCAATCTGATACACGAATCTGCCTCAGTTCTCTATAATATTCAACATATTCATTTTCGGACGGTATCTCACTGATTTTCATTATTATACAAAGTAATTCACTTCTATACCTTTTCATACCCAAATATAAATAAATAAAATACCGTCATCTCCATTAACAAACTTATCACACATACAACTCACTTTTTTTTCCATGTATACTACTCATGACTGCATGACTCCTTCTGTACTGACATATTTTTGTCCACCTATACTAATAGGCACTTTAAACTGCCACCTTACTTATCCAAAAAATTTATATATTTTCATTTTTGTATACCTACAACCCTCTCAATTTGCCGACAACACATAAAACCCTCTTACCCTTTCACAATTATTGATTGGATTGTTCATTACTGTCCAAATTGTCAAATATCAGTTGAATTAAGCGATTTATTCCTGATATCCAGTCACTGATTAAGCTAGTTGTGTCGGACAATAACTTGGAAGAGGAGAATAACAGATTTTCTGCCACGTTAATACTTTAAGTTTACGTGACATAATGAAGTGCTAGGCAAAGAATTTGTTTTTAACTCACCTATGAAAGTGGTTTGATGAAGGGGTTATTGGGGGAACTCAGGTGCATATTGCAATCGATTATTGGAGAGTTGCCTTTTGCTATTTTTGGAGAAATAATGTATTTCTTCCACCCACCGAAAACCCATGGTGTGATTATTTTCAATTTGGACTTAATTTTTGCATATATTCCAGCATTTTTAAAATATTTTTCAACGTCACAATCTAAAGTAGGTAATAAATTTCAAATTCAACTTTGACAACAGAACACTTTAAGCTCATTGCAAAACTTACTTTAATACCTTATGACACCAAGCGACGACTTCCATATACTTATGTTAGCAAACCAAAAAATACCCTCTTCTCTTAAAAGGGTTCACACAGTTTGGTTTCAGGCATACGAAATAATTATACAATAGATTAAACTTAAGAATATTAGCTAGAGATCTATGCAATTTCTATTAGTTTATTACAATAATGGTGTCAAATACCTTTTACCGAAAAATATATGTACACAACTTGAATCACAAGAGAGCAAAGATAATTCTCAATCGACCCCTCGTTAGAGATATTAAAACTTTTTGGATATCTCACTCGACGGCTTGCTAGAGACTGTGAAGCAGATGCTGCTCTAACTCCCACACGAATTCAAACGACAGGAAGTAATTATGATTTTTTCAATACTATCTATTTATAATATAACAATATCGAGAACCCTAATGACCATAATTACTATTATAACATTGGTCCATTTAATTAAAAATTAACTTTTTATTGTAATTAAATCAAGCCCATAATATAAAATAAAATCCAAACTAATGACTTATTAAGCGCGACTCAATAGGTTTTCGTAACATGGCAGTAACAAAATTGTTTGAGCTCCGGAAATAACCAACACACATAATATCTAGTCTACAAGATATTTGTCAAACACTACAGTCTACAAGATATTCTGCACTTCAAAGACGTTCGCAAAATAATTATTTTGATCATTGTACTAAATTTGTTCAACAAATAAGAGTTCAAAACTTTTAATTTAAATCAAAATGAATATTATGAGCTTTCTTGTGAAAGCATAAACAACTTTGTTAGAATTGTGGATTTAAGCATTAAGAATAATAGTTAACTCCTATCAAGCATAAAGAACTATAGATAATGACATTTTAATACAGTATTTTTAAACTTGAAACTAGTATAATAGACGTAGTACACCATTAGCTTTAAAGCAAAGACACACTTCGCCAAAGGCACATGAGATTGCTTTCATTATATTCGTTCATTGCTCGGCAGAGAATTGAAGAAATTTTAATTTCACATATATCAAAATAAATAAATAAATAAATTAATAATAACTCTCATATTTATAATCCATTTTTAACAAAAATATGTAGAGAACGGAGTGTTCCCCTAACTACTACTTTTTCTTCTCTCTTTTTCTTTTTAATCAAACCCCCGAAAAAAATAAAAATAAAAAAATCACGGGGCTTGATTAGTATCCTCCTACCTGCCCTGAATTAATGTTCTTGCAGTTTAAGAAGCATATCTTTTACATTTTGGTATAAAAAGAGTGGTTTTTAATATTTTGTATTACAAAATCTGGGATGGCAAGTGCCTAGTTAGCTAAAAATGTGTTTATGCACAATACATGGAGTCAAAAGACCATCAAAGTGCACAAGGTAATCACGTGATCCGCCCGTGGTATTTGTTATTTACCTGACCGGTATGATGTAGGAGTCTCTCTCTTTCGAGTTTCAAAGTTCAAACCACTTTTATGCATTTCATGTATTTTGGTTAAGTTTAGGCATTTCTTTCTGACCAAAATCAAGCAGGATAAACCGATAAAAGTGGTCCATCATTCCTCCCTCATGTCACATGTGTGTTTCCTGAGACTAATGTTGGCTAATCACAGCATTCAGCAGTTAATTTAACATTTTTCTTTTCTATTTCTTGATAAAATTGAATTACAGATAACTGGATCACATGTGGTATGTGATTTCATCACTCAAACTCGTTAAAGAATAATCAAACTCATAGAAAATAGGAGAGCGGAACATTTTGACTGTAGGTGAGTTTGAACGACAACTAAAAAAAAAAAAAATCATATTTATTTAGATAAATTAGTTCGATAAAGACGATTATGTATGTGTCAGACGAAATTTATTTGTGGTCGCTTGATTTGGTGAGAAAGAAATGCCCAAACTTAACCAGTTTATTTGTGGGGTGTGGACTTACAAGCTATTTTTTTTTTCCTCTCTAAATAAATTGACAATAAAATCCAGAATGAAGACGTAGTTTCCAACTTACTGTACAAGGGTGATGATGATCATTTGATTTTACAGCTGACGTGATCGAACTATAAAGCTAATCTATATATGACGCATTTTTTTTGCAAGTTGCAGCTGACCAGATTTAGAGTCCTACTAAATCAGTACTTTAATACATCACCATTAAACTACTTAAATCAGTAAACCACTGATCATCATCCGATCCATCATATATCTAAATATAGTTTGACGTTTTATCTTGGTGAAATTTTAATTACACGATTCGGATTTCGTATGAAAAATCCCTTTCCCACTGTCCAAAGCTCCAAACTCTTCTAAATTTCTTTGTATACAGTAAAGTGTTTACCATTGTTGCAAATTGCAATATATTAATATTAGAAACAAAAAAAATTGTTTGTATAACCTTATTTAATAAGGAATAGCTATATAATCATGTAATCAACATGTTAGTATATCAGAAAAGAAGAGAATAGTAACCAAAGTGGTTGTGGTGGAGTGGAAGGGATTCATCCACCCTTAATCATAGGTCGAGGGTTCGAATCTTGTTATATGCATAGAGCAATCTTAAATAATTTGGCCTAGTCACTACTGCCAACGGTAGACCTCCAAATATGCAAAAAAAAAAGAAAAGAAAATCGTAAATATGCTATCGAAAACATTGATAATTTAGAAATGAACACCCTGTAAATATGTAAAAAAATAAAAAAAAAAAGAAGAAAAGAATAGTAAAAATGCTATCGAAAGAATTGATAATTTAGAAAGTTCTTTTCGTACTAAGAAATGAGAATTAGATACACAATCACAAAAAAGTTGGTCAATAGTTTACGATATCGTCTTTGTAAGCATCTACCAAAATAGATTGGAAAGGAAAAGTGGGGAAATTTGCTTAAATCATGGGATTTAGCTTGAGTGTGTCACCCATCACGAAATCACGCCATCACGGCGATTGATTGATAGAATAAATTTTGACATTTTCTCGGACAAAAGCTACACGGTATTAACAGTTAATTTGGGATGCGACATCAACATTTTACCCAAAAAATTAGTTCAATCAAGCCATTATTAATTGATTTCTTACCATAATTTATCCGACTAAATCCAGTAGTAGTAGTATTATTAATACGCTCATTACTAATGTTCCTTGCAGGCTTGGACGCTTCTCTTTTCCCAAGAAAGCAAATAACCCCACCCCAACCGCCTCAACTGAAGCAGCTGAGCCGATGGAATTACCAGCTCCTCCACCGTCCTCCGCCGCTGCCGCCGCCGCCGACCCTCTCCCACCCCTTCCCGCCACTCCACCGAAGCTCCGGTTGATGTGCAGCTACGGCGGTCACATAGTCCCACGTCCACAGGGTAAGTCGCTTTGGTACTCCGGCGGAGAAACACGGCTCGTCGGTGTAGACCGCCGGACCACCGCCTCAAGTCTTTCCGCCCTCACAGCCCACCTTTCCCGGACTCTATACAATAACCGCCCTTTTCACTTGAAGTACCAGCTACCGAACGAAGACCTTGACTCCCTCATCTCCGTTACCACCGATGAAGACCTCCAGAACATGCTGGAAGAACACGACCGGGTATCCGCCGTTGTTTCTCGTACGCCTCCCCGCATCAGATTGTTTCTGTTTCCCATTAAGGCAGAATCCGTGGGCTCTGTTCTTCTCGATCCAAAATCTGATACTTGGTTCTCCGACGCCTTGAAGAATACCGCAATTATTCAGAGGGGCCAGTCTGCTGATGCGGGTTTGGGTCGTGAGCTCATGGGATTAGATAATATGGTCCGTCCCGATGGCAATGTCGCTTCGGAGGCTCAAATTGAGAGCTTGGGTAATACTGGGGGCTGTGAGGCAAAGGAAATTGGTGGCACTGTGCCTGAGTCTTTTGTTTTGGAAACCACCTCGTCGTTTGGGTCAACTAGTTCTTCCATTTCCATGTCCAATTTGCCCGCTATGGGGGTCCAGTCTGAGGATGCTGCAGCTGGCTTTTTTGAGAAGAAGATTAGAGTCCCCTCATCAGCCTCATTGGAGAGGTAACCTTCTACATCTCTGGGCCTTTTAGATTTCATTTTGGCATTCATTATTTTTGCCCATTAGTTGAAGTATTGGAGTTGATTTAAAAGTTCTGTCTTGTTTTTGACAATGTTAGGTCATTCTTCATGGATTCTTTGGTAATGCTGGTAGGAATGATCAAAATATACATTAAAATAGAGTTGGGGTAGTTGTCCAATAATAAAAGTTATTCGGTCCTTGAATTTGAAAATGTGGAAAATTTAGTTCTTGTTAGATTAAGAGGGTACTTTTGTGAATAATTGAAGTGTCAGTATTTTGAGTTGAGTCATTTTGTTTGTACTTCTAAATAATTGGAAGGTTTTGAGTAATTAGAAGTCTCAGCTCTTTCTTTTTTCTCCGAGGCCTTGCCCAGTGATGCTGGGTAAGTTGTTTGCGGAGTGCATCTGTGAGGATGACTAAAGTCTGAAACCCTCTAACTTTGACAGTGATTGTAGTGCTGCAAGTGCTGGTATCCCACCAAAAGCTGGTGTTTATCAAGTTGCATCAGGGGTTTCCTCGTTTGTAGCTGAAATGGATAGTTCTGTTTCTGATCCGCAGTCTGTACTCCAGACACCTAAAAATCTTCCACTACCTGGCTACCAATTATCTCAACAATATAATTACATTCCAGGAGATCCTCATTACGTTTCTCAGTTTCAGTCAGGGCCTTCGCCACATCCTTCTTACTATCCAGTGTATCAGATGCCAATGCATCAGCAGCTGCAAAGCCCTTATCCTGTCAATCAGCCATATCCAGTTTATTTAGTACCTGTAAGGGCTAATCAAAATTATAGTATGCCAATGCAATATAGTATAATGGATAATGCAAATATCGCAGCTAGTAGGCCACCGTTGCACCCACAGACTGCCATAATTGCTCCAGTCACTAGTAAAGACACCATACCTGTCCACGCCATGCCTGAATCAGCTTCAAAAGTATATCAGATACCTGCACCGGCAGTTGTTGTCACACCTGCTACACAGGTTAAGCCGCAATTTGTGGAGCTTCCTGAGCTGCAGCATCCTTCCCAACCAGCAGCTGGTACTCCAGTGGCAAGTTCTAATTATGTCAATGAACTTAATGATGACATTGCATTTTCTCAGATATATAAAACCCAGCCATCAGCACCTACCTTTCCCTTGTAGTATGAGACCATGATGAAGGGAATGAACATGATTTCTGAATCTCCATCACTGGAGCACATGAGTATCAAGCATCTGGCTACATCACATCGTCTGTAAGCTGTCATCTAAGTAGAACAAAATTTTGGTAGAGTTGTAATATTTCTTTTACAGTACAGGTCTTCATTGTGCTTGGTTTGGTGTAGAATAAGTGTTTTCTCGTGTCATTCGTTTATTTATTTGTTTGTTTACCTTTTGAAATGTGTTTTTGTTTTATACTTATTCATTTGTTGAGATGAAGTCACCATTGTTTGCGACTGTTATATTTCTCTTACTTTAAAATGTAAAGCTTGCAATTCCGTACATTATTAAGATGTACCCAAAATACTGCTGGTAATACTGTGGAAGCTTCTTGTTCTGTTATTTCATTTACATCCTTCTCCCAATATAGTGATCTGAAAAGGTATTGGCTTATTGCCTTATAAACAGTTTATACTTTGGCGTTCTTTGAAGAGCCTTTATTGCACTCCATGTTTATTAGTTAATCATATCATTAGATAAGATGGAACCTTTGATAGTGGCCTATAATTATTGCAATATTAGTTGCTAGAGGCAATTTTTTGCTATTGCTGTGATAGAAACAAATCTTGGACTTTTGGCTTGACTGGGAAAAATTTCAGCCCTGAGTGGAGCTACAGAAGAAGTTTATTATGATACATGACAGAGCAACAATAACAATTCAATGGGCTTCCATGCTTTTGCTACTACTGTTCCCATTAAAAAACTTGGAGATATTAGGCATAGATTTTCTTCTCCTCCTTACTGCGAAAGAAGCTGGTTTTGGGGTGCTTCGAGGTGCTGGAGATGCAGGCATTCGCGACTTTGCTTGTCTGCCGCTTCTGTTCGATGGAGTACGTGGCAATTGAGGATCCATGATCTCATCATATCTTTGCCTCCATTTTTCTATTTCAACCTCAATGTTCTTCTTTGAGTGAAATGATTGCCTTCTCTGACTAGCCCCTTGATCTTGGTCTTCTCCTATTTTTAACTCTCTTATCTCCTTTCTGGCCATCTCTGTTTTCATCAGAATTTCTCTTTCACTGGCTTTTATTGCTTCAATCCACGCCTGGGCTGCTGCAACCTTTTTATCTGCGATTTCTTCAGCGCCTGCTGCCCGACCTTTTAGGTATTCATATTCAAAACTGGAGATAGTTATTACAGAACTGCGCTGGGCATCTGAAACTCTTTGCCTGACAGTGTTTTCGATGAGGGTTTTCAGTTTTCCCAGAGATTTGGCTTCGGATGTCTTAACAGCTTTGAGCTCTTCAATTGCAGCTTCTAATCTCTCCTCAGCCAACTCTATTTCAGAATCAGTTTTTTCAATCTCTGCTGTGATTTTTGCTGTTTCATCATCAATAAGCAACTTTTCTTTTCTTGCTGCTTCAGCTTCTGTTTTTAATTGGTCAAGAGCCCGAGACAAATTTGATACAATGTCATTAGCCTTTCTTTCAGCCGATGTTGCTGCTTCCAATTTGGCCTTCCCTCTGAGGAGTTTCGAATTCAGATTCTGTATGGTTAATTCGGTCTTATTTTCCCGTTTCTTTGCACGGCCGACTTCTTCTAATACATTTTTATACTCGGTCCTTATGATATCCATGGAAGCCATGAACTTGAAACCTTCTTCTTTAACAGAAGCCAATTCATTCTTGGCTTCTTCTATTTCTTTTGTAACTGACTTCAGCAGATAAGGAGTATCTGCTGCATCGGCATCACGAGAACTGGACTCCAGCTGTCCCGTGGTTCTTGTTCCTGGGATTTCCTTCTCTATTTCCTTAACCTGCTTTAGTTCACCCTCTAGCATGTTGACATCTGAAGTTGTTGTGACTAATCGCTTCTCGATCTCTTTGGCAGCCTCAACTTCTTGTCTAATGTCACTCATTTTCTTCTTAGTTGTATCCATGACAGAAGAGTGTGTTTCAGCATCTTTTTTTCTCAGGGATTCAATGGCTTCAAATTCTTTGAGGGCCTCAATCCGAGCCAATTCTACCAGCACTTGCTCTTCATTGGTTTCCTCGATCTCCTCCCTGAGTCGGTTCACTGAACTCACGAGAGTTTTAAGTTTCAAATTGGAATCCTCTGCTTCTTTTTCTGCCCTTCTTTTTTCCTCTAACAGAGAAGCCATCTCCTCCTTGAGCTTCTTCATTTCCTGCTTTACATCCCTTAATTCTCTCATCACTTGTCGGTATTGATGAGTGCCAGTGTTTATTTCACCATCCCCATCTGCTTTAACACTCTTCTTCTTCAGTTTTTCCATGTGTTCTAACTGTGATTTAGCTCTGGAACTCGATTGCTCAATCTTCATAGTTAGATCCTTCACTTTAATCTTCGCATCTCGAAGTTCAGAATTAGCATGGCCTTCAGTTGGCTCTGTGTCACTTCTTCCGCCATTAGATTGGGCTGTGTCACTTTTTGCGAACTTAGGCTCCCTAGTTAAAGGAGATGGCATCTGGGAAACGTCTAAAAACTACTTTTACTTAACCGGAACAGAATTTTGAAAGCAATCAGTCAATTATGGTCAAGTTTAGGACATTACCTCTGAGTTCTTCAGAAAAGGATGATTCTCAAGAACCTTGGCAATTTTAACTGGCTTGGATTTCCTGTCGTAAAGCTCTTCCCCGTTCATCTGTACTTATCCTGCATCACAAACCAAAAACTTAAGGGTCCAAAAGAACACGGAATTTAGGATCATACAGAACTTACTAACATACCTGCCTTATGGTGGAGGGATCTCCTTGCTTCATTCCTTGGGCCTTTTTGGCAGACTACTAATTTACTGAAGAACCAAGGAATTCAATGCACTTCACAAAATGAACATGAAAACTGGGAGAGGGTAACGTGGAAGAAGGCACACCTAGAATGTGTTTGAGTTTTGTACTTGAGTAGTTGGTTTGGGATATCCTGCCGTTTGAGATAGAAAGAAAAAGACAAGACAAATTGAGAAAGGGGAGGAGGGAAGTCCTATGGTTGTGATTGTAAGCATCGCCAACCATCTGATTCGTATATCCTGTGGAATCAGGACCGTTGTTTCTATTCTTGAAAAGGTTACTACTTAATCCAAATCCTGAAGTTCCTGTTTTGGTACTCATATGGCTGTTACTGTCCTAAAATGCCAATTAAATTAAGCAGTCGGATTGATTACCTTGTTACGTGTTCATGGTTTTTTTATCCTTACGGATTGTCAGTACATTAAGTTTTGGGAGCTTCTGAGTTCATTTTTGTACTGCAAAGTTAAGGATGCGCCAAAGTTTATAAATTGGAGATATCGTTCTTGTTTAGTGAAAGCCAAAGTATGTCTTATCACCAACTTTTCTTGTAAACCATTTCGTACTATTCAGTTTTCAGAGGAGGAAGTTAGAGGATTTTGACGACTTGGTAGAAACGACATCAGTGAACCACGAAATCATAAAATATCACGACAGGATTTCAGTTTGATGAAATACTGGATATTGTGTAACACACGTACGGAGACCCTACAATAGTCCCAAGCTAATATAACTCCACACAATTAGTATTACGCTTTTCGTTAATCACATTTGTATTTGTCTTTTTAGCACTACAATACATGAAGAAATCGATATTTATTCTCCAAAAAAAAAAAAAAACCCAGGGCATCGAGAAAATCACTCTGAAACCATTTTTTTAGATTAAAATATATAGTTCTTTAGATGAAAAAATGAAATAAATTATAAGTACAGTGAAACCAATACTATTTTATTACTCCCAAAAATATTCCGGTTTGAAAATATACAATTTTTTAAATTTCGTCAATACACCAAATGTATAACTTATTTAACTGACTTTCACTAATGTCCCTTCTAGTTATTTCTATAAAAGTTAACTACATATGCATTTATTTTATAACTTAAATTTGATCAAAGTTTTTATCTCAAAAAATATTAACAATGGATCTTGATGGAAAGATCTCGTTACGTAAATTAATTTGATATATAACACATTTTTTAATTATCCATGTATTAAAAGATATAATCATTTGAAAAAATAAGAGAAAACTAAAAAAAATAAAAATCAAAGGAAGTAGACCTTGTTTTCCTTAATATTACTCTTTTGGATATTTAAGTCATTTCAATTCAATTCATTTTTGCTTTTGTGAAATTGGACTATTTTTTTAGAGACAAACTTTTTTATTAAACTGGACTATTTTGTGGGACGGAGAGAGTATAATTTACCATGAATACACATTCTGTTTGAATGCATCGCGTCGCCTATACATCCCGAGCTGCTTTTAAAATGAAATAGTGAAAGCTTTTAATATGGTGAAAATTGTACTATATCCGTCCCAAAAAAATAGTCCAGTTTGATAAAAGATTTTGTCCCAAAAAAATAGTCCAGTTTTCGAAAAGATCCATTCTCCGGTCGCCCAATCAACCCCGGTTGCTTCAGCAATTCCACCACCACCACCACCGTGAATATTGCTCCCCTGTCCGAGCAATCTCCACCGTTACTTCCTCTTTCCTAATTGCCGCCTGCAATCGGATCAGCCCAAACACATCTTGGCACGATAGACGCAGACGAAGCTCCTGATCAGAGATGATCAATAGTCTTCGATTGATAAAAATATTGATGATTATTGAAACGGCCGATCTGCGACGAATGGATAACCCTAAGAAACTGACGGCTCTTTTATGGAAAATCGATGAGTCGGCTCTTTTTTAATATATATATATATATATAAATTAATTTTTGAACAAGAGTAGAAATGAAAGTGCAAGAGATAAAAAGAGTTGTGTCTTGGTGGGTTGGCTAAATTAAAAAAGTTGTACATTTCAAAACTGGACTATTTTTATGGGACGGAGGAAATATTAAAAAGTACAAAAATGAGTGTCAAAAATTAAAGTTTTTTAAAGATACAAAACAATCGTAGTAAATTATCTGTCTTATCACACAAAATATGTTCTTCAAAATTAAAATATACTTTTCCAAGAATTTCTTTTTTTGATTATACAAAAAAGAAAAACAAAAAGAAGAAGAAATTACCATTTCTATAATTAGTACTCACTCCGGTCGTTATTATAAGGCATTTTGTCTTTTTTTAAATTTCACATAATACACATTTTTAATTGACAAAAAAACCTTAAAATTATATTTTCACATTCGTTGCGTTCTCTTGATTGTTATGAAATATTTTTAAATTTTTTGTTGTCGATTAAAAATATATATTAGGTTAAACGGAAGACAAATCAAAATGACTTATAATAAGGACTGGAGTGAGTATTTTAAATTAAAATTTTGACATCACCGACAGTGACGTACCGACTTGTGCGCCAAATTTCAAGCAAAACGCCACTATCACGTGTTGCTATCCTGACCACTGGTCACATTGGACACCTTGGATCACGATCTGAAATCGACGGACACAGATTGTTAATCCACGGTACTCTCATGCACCCGCGAAACACCACATCACAAAGCCTCCCCCTCCTACGAGAGAGATCCGTATTTGGAAGACCTTTGTATCAACTCTCAACCCCGTCCTCAGTCTAATTCTCAGCTGATTATTAGTATTAATTAATTAATCATAAATCTCAATGATTATTCAGATCTCAAAACCAAATCAGTCCGCAAATCTGATACGGCAGAGACTAAGAATCTGAGAACCATGCCAAGATTTATTGTTGATTGTACTGCGTGTTTTTGAGATTTTGAATTTCGGTTTCCAGCGATCAGGAAAATGGACGTGGAGAAATCGTCGCTGTGCAATTGCGTGGTGAATTTCCTATTGGAGGAGAATTACCTCTTGACGGCGTTCGAGCTTCTCCACGAATTGCTCGACGACGGTCGTGACGATCACGCCATTCGCCTCAAAGAATTCTTCTCCGATCCTTCTCATTTTCCTCCCGATCAGATTTCTCGCTTTAACACTCTTCGAGGTTCGGCATTGCTGCTCTTTTCTGTTAACAGCGATTTTTCGTTAATTGAACGTTTGACTTGGAAGTCCATTTGAATAAAATTGAGTCTATGGTATCAGTTTAGGATTTTTCACTTTGAACGTTTTCAAGCTCATCATGATTGGCATTCGATTTTATTGTCTTAAACGTAGAATGACTACATCCACGCAAATTGGAGTTTCCATTTGCTCTATACTTATCTATTGCTCAACCTATCATTTTTCGATGTCTGAGCAGTTGCTGATCCCCAAAGTTTGCTTGAAGAGAAAGAAGCATTAGAAGAAAAACTAGCATTTAGTGAATATGAGCTTCGTTTGGCTCAAGAGGATGTTACGAAACTGAAGAATGAGTTAGAAAAGAAATCTGAGGCTGTTCTTGGTGGGACAAATGGTATGTTCTTGAATTAGCTTAGCAGTTTTGATTAGTTCTGTCTATCAGTTACCCGTTCTTTTTGTTTTGCTCTGCCAATCACTCAGATGTAATGCTAAAACATATTACAGGGACAAATATAGATGCTGCTGTAGATTTTCAACGTCAGAAGAAGAATTCTTCTTTTTCTGACTTGGGACCTCTGAAGGATAATGAGCGACGTGATCTCAACTGTGCTGTGAAGGAATATTTATTATTTGCAGGATATCGCTTAACTGCAATGACCTTCTATGAGGAGGTATTTTAATCGCCTTGATGGCTTGATGTCTTATGCTGGAATTTTGTAGTTTCTGCACCTGCACTTGCTATTACTCTCTCTGTCCTAAAATTATTGGCCAGTTTGGATTTGTGGTTCTAGTACAATTTGTACTAAAATTTAAAATCCAAAGTGGACAATGATTTTGGGACGGAGAGTATTTATTTCTTTCATCTTGTATCTAGAGAATTGGAGACCATAACTAGAATCAACTTCTGGGTTTCTGCGGTTGAATACTCTAGTCATTTGTTTTATTCTTGGATTCCAAAGGCTAGGTTGAAAGTAGAATAGCTTAAACATTCAAGGTTGTCTGGCTGGAGATTCGTAGTGTTGGACTGCTTGTGTATATTTGCATGGAAGGTTTATTTGTTTAGTCCTATGTTTATTAATCCCCTGAGTTGGGTGGAGTTCACCTTAATTGACTTGTCTTCAACTGTCTTCTTGCGACTAGTTGTAATTGTAAATGGAAATTGAACATCTTATCTAGTCAGTGACTGGTCAGAGTTGCTGATGAGAGTGCTCAAGGATGTAATGGAAAATTGTGGATTACTGTTGCTGTTATATTGCTTGTTTATCAATAATTTTATTTGGATGCAGTTTCTACTCTGGTATATTCTGTATGATATTTTGTGATAGCTTAATAGCGGCTTAGACGAATACGACAGGTTACCGACCAGAATCTGGATGTTTGGCAAAACTCCTCTGCATGTGTTACAGATGCACTGCGCCATTACTATTATGAGTTCCTTTCTTCGACTTCCGATGCTGCTGAGGTACATCCTGCACTTCTAATTAGTTTGGAGCTCTGTAACTGCCCATTGCATCGAATCTCCATTCCACTATGAGATTTGTTTGCTCATTCTCTGTTAGGAATTGGAGCAACATCCATCACATTTTGATTCTTTGATCCTTAGTTACCTTTTGGAAGTCTCTAGTTTTCTTTGTAATAAATTTTGAGTATTTAAATTCGTAAACTTTTACAATGAACAGGAATTTGGTCTACCTTTGTTTTCTCTTGTGATGCCTTTGGATGTGCTGAATGGTTAGGCCTATGTTGCAGGAAAAGATCAGTCTTCTTCGGCAATGTGATTCTCTTGAGAAAGAAAATGAGAAGCTTAAGAATGAAATGCAGTCACTGGTGAAAAGCAAAGATATGGTTGATAACCAGGTTTTGGCTCTGATGAAATCTTTGGAGGCTTTGCAGAAAGATTTAAAGGACAAGGAAATTCTGGTAATCCATGGGCAATTGTAGATTTTTGGTCGAAAATTTAGGTATTGATACTTACGTTGCCAGTTGTTTATGAAATTCTCACACAGGTGCAAGATTCGAAACAGGCATTAGAAAGCCAGTTGAAGGAACTCAATGACTGCAGAGCTGAAATTACTTCACTTCAAATGCATTTAGCACGATCGAAGCTAAACTTTACATCAAGTGCTTCTGATAATGTTCAATTGCGGTCCTCCGAAAGCTACATTGAAGAAATAAGATTGCTTGAGAGTGAAGTTGAGAGGTTGAAAAGAACAAATTCCTTCAATGTTGATTCTGCAAAATTAATAAAGCAAAGCGAAGGAGACAGAAACCCTGAAAAGGAACTTCTGGAGTCAAGGAAATCTAATAATGCAGAAGACTTAGTTAATAATATATTGCCTGAGAGTTCTGGTATGAATTCTAGTTCACAGCCATCTGTACCTCAAGATAACTCTTCGAATGTACAAAACGAAGTCTCAGAAGAGGGATCATTACAGTCTAAAAATGACAGCAGTACCCTGATCCGCGAGAATTACGTCAAAGACAATCATGAAGCAAGTCCTGAGACTAATGGGATGATTCTAAAATCTGAAAATCTTTCTTCTGATGCCGAGAACATGGTACTTTCCTATAGTTTGCTTTTTAAAATACGCTAGTTTTTTTGCCCAGTGATAATCCTTTGATCATTTCACTTTCCAGGGGTTGGAAACCATACAAATCCTTTCAGATGCATTACCCAAAATTGTACCTCACGTTTTGATAAATCATAGAGAGGTATGCTTCAGGAATTATTTATTTATTCATTTACTATTATCATTATTATTTGAGAATCTTTTGCTATTGAGAGCAAATATATATTCTTTGATGGTTCAATTGGTTTTAATCTACCAATAGGAGCTCCTTCCCCTGATGATGTGTGCAATTGAGCGCCATCCAGACAGCATGACCCGGGATTCCTTGACCCACACACTATTCAACTTAATCAAGCGTCCAGATGAACAGCAGAGACGGATTATCATGGATGTTAGTATGGAAATTTTATTGCTTGTCTCATGAAATTGATTTTTTGAAATGAAGCATTGAACATATGGCTGATGCTAATACAATATCCAGGCTTGTGTGACACTTGCGAAGAATGTTGGAGTAATGAGAACAGAAACAGAGTTGCTTCCTCAATGCTGGGAACAAGTGAGATTAATTAATTTGAGAACTTCATAGCAGTAATTACTGTATCATGTATATCCTCAAGATTCCCATCTCATTCTCAAGTGTATATCATGTGTAGATTAATCACATGTATGAAGAACGAAGGCTGCTGGTTGCTCAATCTTGTGGAGAGCTTGCAGAGTATGTTCGACCAGAGATCCGGGATTCTCTCATCTTATCTATTGTGCAACAGCTGATTGAGGATCCGGCAATAGTTGTCCGTGAGGCTGCTGCCCATAATCTGGCTTTGCTGCTTCCACTCTTCCCAAACATGGACAAATATTTCAAGGTCAGCCTCACTAAATATGCTTCGAGGCTATCATGGGGAAGAAATCTGACTTCACAGAATTGCCTACAATGTAAGCTCCGTGATCTAGGGAATGGAGCTTTTTTCCTGGTCATAGTATCATGGCTTACAAAATAGAAGAAACACAAAGAAGAAAGAGTTTCTCCAATCTTTTTCTCTTGTTGTTGATAGGTTGAGGAGATGATGTTTCAGTTGGTTTGTGATCCATCTGGAGTGGTGGTGGAAGCTACAATAAAAGACCTCGTTCCTGCTTTAATCAGTTGGGGTAACAAGTTGGATCATGTTTTGCAAGTTCTGCTTTCCCACATTTTGGGATCTGTTCAGGTTGGTGTCCTATGTCTTTAACGTTAGTGAAAACTTACTGACTTGGGACTATAACATAGTTCTTGTTTCTATTGCAGCGCTGTCCACCTCTTTCTGGGGTTGAAGGTTCCATTGAGGCACATCTTCGTGTTTTAGGTGAAAGAGAACGGTGGAATATTGATGTTTTGTTACGTTTGCTGGAATCACTGCTCCCATTCTTGTATAAGAAATCTGTTGAGACTTGCCCATTTCCTTCCGTATCAGATTCTTCTGGAAATTTAGTCTCGCTTCAATTACTTGAAGTCTATGCTAGGTTAGGATGCTTAGCCTTTTATTCCAGCTATAATGGAAGATAGCTCTTTGAGTTTACACTTTGGGAGCTCTAAAACATTTACATATACTCTAATCTCTAATTGAAATTATGCAGGGAAAATGTGGAGTGGCCTTCTTTTGAATGGCTTCATAGTGAGTGCTTTCCAGGCTTGATTCAGATGGCTACTCTTTTACCTCAGAAGGAGGACAGCCTGAGAAATAGGATCACTAAGGTGTCTGCAAATTTCACTTATAAATGATCTAGATTGCCTTTAGTCTGAGTTTATTTCCAAACTTACACTGTGAACAGTTTTAACAAACTTATTGCTGATGCAGTTTCTATTAAGAGTCGCACAATGTTATGGTGAACTGCATCTGACTCATATTGTACTGCCTGTGTTCTTGGTGGGGGTGGGTGATGATGGCGATTTGACATACTTCCCCCAAGCTGTCCAAGCTAGAATAAGAAGTAATATATTTGATCCTTCATAGTTTGGTATTCACATTAATGATTTTAGTTACTGTGTGCACGATAATTGATGGTCTTATATTAACAGGTTTGAAACCAAAAGGTACAGTCGCTAATAGACTTGCTACTTTGGGTGTTCTACCACTTCTATTGGCTGGTGTTTTGGGATCCCCCAGCAAGCACGATCATCTCATGGAGTACTTAAGGAATATATTATTTCAAAGTTCAGAACAAGAGATTCAACCGGCAAAGCCTGAGCTAATTAATGCTGTTCGCTTCCTATGGTTGGTCCCCGGTGATAGAATAATTTGACAACATAAGACTTCCTTTATGTTTGTTTATCTGTTTGATGATATCATACGATCTATGCAGCACTTTTGAAGAACATCATACAATGACTTTTAACATTCTGTGGGAAATGGTTGTCAGTTCCAGTATAAATATGAAAATCCATGCTGCCAATCTCTTGAAGTCAATTGTAAGCCATTTTGCTCATGGAAGTTTATTTTTAAACGGTTTTGGCTTGTCTTTTAGTCTCATAAAATTGTTATTACAGGTGCCCTACATCGATGCAAAGGTTGCTTCAACCCATGTTGTACCTGCTCTTGTTACTCTCGGTTCTGACCAAAATTTGAACGTGAAGTATGCCAGTATTGATGCTTTCGGAGCTGTAGCGCAGCATTTCAAAAATGATATGGTGTGTGTATAATTATGTTTTGCTTTACAATCTCATACACATTTGCTTTTTTTGTTCTGGCTGATGATTTTTTTCTATAGATTGTTGACAAAATACGTGTTCAAATGGATGCTTTTCTTGAGGATGGTTCTCACGAAGCTACAATAGCTGTAGTTCGTGCGCTGGTTGTGGCTATTCCTCACACAACAGATCGACTCAGAGATTATATCCTCTGCTTTTTCCTCTTTCTAAAACTAATAATATATTTGAATTTGCTATTGGAAGTCGTTACCAATGTAATTCTAATCTTGTATTTGGCCTTCAGTATATAAAGCAAAATGAAATTTCCTTAACTTGACATACATCTGTTGTCCAAGATATTCCAGCTCTCTGCCGTGCCACTCCCTTCAAGTGATGTGATGCGTCGTGGAGACAGAGCCAATGCATTTTGTGAAGCTATACGTGCTCTTGATACAACAGGTTTTTCTTTTGTTTTGTTTATCTGGAACTTGGAGAATGTCAACAAATCTTACTCTTGTTTGATAATTATTTTGCTGCCCCTTACATGCCTTTAATTACTTGCACAACTTTTGAACATGGCATGAAAAATGGCAAAAAGAACATATTAATCAACTACGAGATCCAAAATAATGCCACCTTTACCTCTCTCTCAGTTCGAGTATATGGCATTTTTTGCGTAACATAATCAATGGTTCCAAAGGTTCACTGCAAAGTCCTTTATCGTTGAGCCTGAAGTTTTCAATTCATAATTAATGGTTCCAAACTTGATTTATCTGATATTCTACCCAGCTCTATGAACTAGGACCTCCAAAGGCTTTAACCGAGTTATGTCTGCTCAATTTCATCTGATTACTAACCAGATATGATCAGTTGTACAATTTTTATGAACTTGTACAGCTAATGCCTCTAAAAGAGGGTTAATACAATCATATAAATGAAATAATTGGATGTTTACTTTTTCATACATATACAGCCCTTGTCATTTTAGACTGATTCTTCTTTACAGCAATAACATGAGCTTTATATTTAAAAGTAGTGCTCCGATCCATTCCTTCTGGGCTTTTGTTGAGCACTTATTCTGTCAAACATTTGATTTCCAGATCTTCCATCATCTAGCGTCAGCAACTTCCTCCTGCCTGCAATACAGAACTTATTGAAGGACACTGATGCTCTGGATCCAGCACACAAAGAAGCGCTTGAAGTTATACTGAAGGAAAGGTCAGGTGGAACCTTAGACACCATAAGTAAGGTAATGGGCGCGCACCTAGCCTTACCAACCTCTGTAAGCAGCTTCTTTGGGGAAGGTGGGTTACTGGGTAAAAGGGAGATCGGAGATCAAGTTGTGACATCACCAGAGCCTGTCCCGCAAAATCCAGCAGAAGATACAAGGTTTAGGCGGATAATGAGAGGTGGTTTCTCAGACATGCTCAGGGGCAAAGCAAAGGGTGGTGAGGACACCCCACACAGCCAGTGAAAGACCTTCGGCAAGTATAATCTCTGGGAACTTTGTTTCTGTTTCATTTTTTGGAGTTTCTCTGGTTTATAGGTTTGAATTTTGTATTTTGTTGAGAAAAATTTTATGGTCGCTAATAGAAATGACACATAGGAAATAAAACTATACGCATCAAATCTCCTCTTCCATTGTTGGCACTTCTGGAAGACCTGCCTTCAATCTGTCTTCTGGAATGTACACTGCATTTTAGGGTTGGAAGTAGCTGCAGAATCTTTCGGATGAAAGTTGAGAGTTTATATTATACATGTCATTGTGTAGTTGAGGTTCTAGTGATTGTTAAACAAATTTGTGGAGCAGAACAATTGGAAAACTTTATTTATTGTGCATATAGCAATTTTTAGAATCTCGGGATACAATCTTGAAAGGTCTTTTAGCACCTGAAAATTTTATTTATCGTGCAGTTTTTTTTTTATTCTTTTATTGACTATTTTGTGAAAATGAAACTTTGGAGATTATATTATACATTTATGATATCTTACATCATTTGTAAAATACAAATACACAAACATCAGGACCTATTGGGTAGCCATCTATTTTGTCTGTCATATTGGTATAACCTGAGGGACGGACTATAGTTGTACGAAGTGGCAGCATAGGTTGACCAAGGGGTGTTGGTTTCACCCACCCACCCATTCTGTCTATCATTTTGGTTCAGCGTGTGGGATGAACGGTAGCCATATGCTGGAGTCTGAACATAAGCTGGATCTCTATAACCATTCCCATGTGAAGCAGCAACATAGGCTGGAGACTGAATATAACCTGGATCTCTATAACTATTCCCATATGGAGCAGCAGCATAGGCTGAAGTCTGAACATAACCTCTATTTCTATAACCATGTCCATCTACTTTTAAGTTTAAGCTATTAGCTATTAGTCGATGGTGCAGCATCGTCAAGCCGACGAGCAGGAACATCTACTTGGTAATTGCCTTTTGTTCTCCGTTGATCTCCACCCAAAATCCTCATGCCAGAGGGCAGCATCTGGTTTCTCATCTTCCGCGGCCACCATCTTCTTTGGAAGTACAACTCCAGCAGGTAAGCAAGTAATGTGCTTATGTGGATCAGGTAGCTTGTACACTGCGGATATGACTTGGTTATTAATGTAATCTTTTATTCCCTCAACAGGTGATCTAAAAGTTGGTGGACATGGATCTCCTGCACCAAGGGATATAAAACCTCATGCCACCACTGACTACAGGATCAATTTGCTCCTGCATTTGAACTCATTCTTGATCAGGCTGCTGGTTGCAATGGTTGTTAAGACCGAAGATATATGGAGAGAGGGGATGAGCTAATGACACGAAAAGCATATCAGACATGAGACTGTTTCTCCTTGCTTCTTCTTCCGTTAAAGTGTGTTCCACTTTGGCAACCTCCGCCAGAAGACGGGTTTCATCTATGAAAGGTAATTTAGCAATACCTTGCCATGAATACCGTTTACCATTCATGTCCACCTCAAAATCTGTTGGATAAAAATCAATAATTGGTGAGGTTGGATCAGTCATCAGTTTCTGGTAGTTCTCTGGAAGAGCATGGGAACTAGCAGCAGGGAATACTCCTAATAGTTGATTGAATGGTTTAAATGGGGTTCCAAGTTCAAATTTCACATTCAACTGCCCCAGATTCTTCAGGTCTGATGCAAATGGGGCATAATGGTAAGGATAATACCACTTCGAGGAGCAAACTCCATAATAGTAGTGCATTATAGTTCCTTCAATCTTGCTTTCATTGCTTCTTTGTTTTCTCGTGCTTCTGTTTCAAGATCTTTCTCAGCTTGAACAATTGCTGCCCCTAAAGCTGGACAAGCCACTTTTTGGGCACGGTGGTAAATTTGTCTGCCATCATTAGTTCCTGGCCCTTGATAAGTTGATGGAGAAGGACCGGAAGCAAGACGAGAACCATGGAATCGAGCAACAGGGACAAGAGATGCCGGGCTAACTTGAGGTGCAGAATCATCTCCTCTTTTAACTTGAGCCTTACCGTGCTTAATTCTTTCGGCTTGCTTCTGGTGCAGCTTAGCTCTTTTCTGGAATATTTAATCTTCATATGAACCCACAACTCGAATATAATGCTCCACCCTATTGAGATTTGGCTTACCTGACTCTGTCAAATACCCACCCAACGCTTTAAATTCTTTCCTGTAGACAGCTAGAAGCAAGTTAATAGCTCCCTCCCGAATCTCAAGAGTCGGCATATGCGGCAGAAAGTCATTGCCAACAAAGAAGCACATGAAAACGAAATTGTCTACAATTCGCTCAAGGTCAATCTTAAAAGGAGGATTCGGGATCCTCATCTCATACTCCAGGTATTCTCGAAGAATCCAGACATGGAGGAACTGATAAGGTTTTTTTGGCGTAATTTCAGCTTCGCTTTTCTCGTACTAACTCCCCTGCCTTTCGCTTGACCTGCTTTCCTTCACAATTTGCTGCTAGATGACCCATTTGGACCACACAGTAAACATTTATCCTGTGACCCATTAGTAAATACCACTTCTCTTAGGATAGAAACATGAACTTCATGAGTTGCTAATGCCAGCATAATCAGATCTGCATCCAAACCGTATAGACAATGCCGAGTGTTTGGATCGTATCCCGGGAGATTTCTCTGGAGACGAATATACGACATGATCTTGTGCTCCCCTTCTCCAGGCACATTCGCATCAGAAAGAATGACCTTTATATCTTTCCAACCCGGGTCATTGTTCAACCTGAGATGGATGTAATAATTTAGGGCCGCAACCAAAGCGGCCATGAACGGCGGTCCTGGTGTAATAACGTTGGAATCGAACGTCTGGGATTCCTGTTTCGGGGGAAGTTTCCGCCCTTCTTTCTCAAATTCTTCCCTCAATTTTTCCTCTTGGGCTTTCTCATCAGCTGCGTCTTTAGCAGCCCTGAAACGCCTGGAGCGCTGCTGGTTCATCTTGGCCCTCGGAGCAACGCCGTCTATAGCCATGTACAACAATTTTCGAGGCCGAACCATCGCGAAGAGCCTATCTATGTAGTCGAATATGCACTGAAAAACCCTCGTCAAAGCTGGTTGGAGAAGGTCGATCTTCAGGGTGAAAACAAGGACGAATTATCCCGTTCATGTCGAGGTAGAGGTTATCATATTCGAGCTTGTTCGCATTGGGTTTACTACAATCAACCGGAATTTTCACGTTGTCGATAACAACTGGCTCTTCCTCTATTACATCCACAACTATTACCGGGATACTTCTCCGCCAACCACCGATAAAAGGCCGGAACTCCCATTCTCCAAAATATAAATCAAGTTTCTCAATCAAACGAATGATGGGGGAGAAAAAAAAATAGTAATAACAAGTGATAAAGGTCTGTCGTGTCGCAGATACGTATATAAGGCAAACTAGGTCGGTTTGACTTTCCGTCTCTTGTTTGGATTTGGCAACTTTGGTCTTTGGATATCCCAGACCCAGAGGCGGCATATTTAATTATTTATACAAGGAAACTAGGTCGGTTTGAGTTTCCTTTACTAGTTTGGACTTGGCAACTTTAGATACCAGTGTTCGTATACATTCAATTATTATCAAACTATAAATTAAGGCCGTATGCAAATTTCTTTTATTAGGGTAGGCCCTTTGTAAAGCCTCCTTCCTTGTATTAAACAATAAAAAAAAAAAATTAAGAGTTATCCAATAATAACTAAGTAAATTACGAGTGACTAATGAAATTTTATGTGACCTATTTATTTGCACAATTTATTGCTTTCCTCTATCTCAAAATAAAAGTGATTAACTTTCACTCGGCTATACGATCCTCTTCGGAGTTCGGAACATACTGAAAGACAGAGTCACTGAGGATATGTATTTATACTCAAAATATTGTTTGGTTTGGAATTTTAATTTTTTTTAATACAAATGTAATTAAAATAAAATTTGAAACAGAACAATCATTGGGGAAAAAACTACTATTTTGTTGCTTAATGAACTTTGGCGAGTACTCCTGATTTCCTAAGTTTGATCAAATTGCCTATTTCTCTCTTTTTTTTTATGAAAAAAAAGAAAATTTTAACCCTCTTTTTAAATAATAAAGATTATAATATAACCTTATATATTTTTTTATGTTTCTTATTCCCTCTATCGATCTCAATATTATAGTCCTGTTTGGCTTTTTATTTTTAGTTCGATTTATACTAAAAGTAAAATTACAAACCTGATAATAATTTGGGAGGAATTAGTTTGTTTGTTTTGGTTTTCGGACCTTTACCGGATAGGATTAACAGTTGGTGGTCCTTGTAATAATCAAGCAAAACCCCCACGATTTTGCTTTTTTTACCTCAATCTTGTGTCGCAAGCTAGCAATCCTGAATTCTTCTTCTGCTGAAATTCTTCCTTGCAATCCTCCCCCTATTTCCTCTCATCTGATACTTGTGAAGAGACCCTCCCAAGTCCCAAGTAATAAACCCTTAACCCTAACAATGGGAATCCAGCAAGAAACGAGAAAAGAAGAGCGTGATCGCCAGAACCAAAGAATACTGTTTACAAAGCTCCAGCAACACTTCAAGAGATTGGGACGTCCTCCCAATCCGGAACAGGAAGCCAGAATTAAGAAGGGTTTGTCGCAATTAGTTTTTGCCGTCGAGACTCCCAATCTTATCGATCGCTCCACAGCTAAATCCAGAGCTCAACAACAGCGCAGGTTAAAGACAGAAATAAAGACGAACCGGCCGCCGAACCGGCCGGTTCTTGATCACGGCAAAAAAGTGATTGTTATTGATGATGATGGTGGCGGGGTGGATTGTTGTAATACAAAAAAGGTTAAAGAATCGGGAGATCATGAGTTCAATTACATTAGCCCTGAATTATCTGATATTGGGAGTCAAGGGTTGATTAATTCCCATGATTTGGAGCTCATGCAACCTAGTATAGTCTTTACTAATCAATTCTCTATCGATACAATAGGTGATAAGAAGTATTCCAGAGATGAGATATTCGAATTTTCATCAACTGAAGAAGTTTGTTTAGAATTTTCTTGAAAGAGGGATCCATAGGATCTTCAAATCTCCTTTTTCTGTTTTCTTTTTTTTGTTGTGATTTTTGACACTGTACAGAAAACACAAGTTTAGAATATTTGGAAGGAGCACATCATCATTCAGTGACCCATCGCTCTAGATTCTCATTCAATCTTTTTATATATTCACCTTATTCTAAAATTATTATCTAATTATTGGACAATTTAATTTCTCACTTTTAACACCTTATTTTCCGAGTTTAGTACTATTAGTTTTCCACTTTTAATATCCTTTTTCACCAAGTAATACTAAAGTGGTAAAATTTAAAAAATAATCGTTTTGAGATGGACGAAATATGAATAATTAATAGAGATAACGAGGGGGCTTGAGTTTTGTTAAATAATAGAACCAAACTACGCATGCATGGAATGAACACTAAGAAATAACCAAGTACACTATGAAAATCTGCCTTTGTGTGGCCATTTTCATAGATTATACATCAATATTTGTTACCAAAAGAAAAGGATGTATTTTCTGTTAATAGACCTAATAATAAAAAGGCCGTTCACATTTTTATTTTTATTTTTTTTCTGTATGTGTTGAACGCACTCTCTCGTTGGTGATTAACTCAATATGGAAGTAATTATATGTTAGCGTAACCTCTCATATGGATATATGGATTTATTTTTGTATGTGTTAGAAATTTGGTTAGGTAAGAAATTACGTTGTAACCTCTACAAGTCCATGAGTTAAATGACAAATAACTCATAGTGTAATAAAGTCGTTATAACTGTCACCTAACTTAATCTCAATTAGTCGACTTCGAACACCTAGTGCGTAATGTTAAAAAAAAAAAAATCATATAACTGTTGTTGAAACAAAATAATAAATAACAATTATTTTTATTTAGAAAGAATCGACTTATTTAAAGATGGTACAAAACAAGTACATCATCTTAATTATACCCTCCCCGAATCAATACTACTACCAGGCTAATTCCGACATAAATAAATAATCCACTCTCAGTGATTTGATTTCCAATCAAATGATAAATCAACATTAGATGATAAACGAACGTAACCTTAACATTTAGTGGGAACTGGGACACGGCAAAGCCTAGCAACAACTCTAGCTCTTGGGGACCTGAAGTACTTCCCGAAAAATGGATCATTCGCAAATTGACAAAAGCAAGGTGTTTGTTGCTTCAGGGCACCGCAACAAGCTCTTGTTGGTGGGGCCGATGACATGATCGCCGGAATGCATGGACTCAGCTGCGTTATGGAGCAGGTTACGGCGGCGTTGCTCAGCTGCATTTCGCCACCAAATGCGATGGCAAACATCACCAAACACGCGGCAAAAACATGAGAAAACGTCATTTTTTGGTATCTTTAGTTGATCTAAGAAGTTTCTAATTAAGTAGAGATTGTTGCTGTGGGATGAGTGTTGATCAGTGTGAAAATGTTGCGATGCAATTTATAGGTGTCACACTATTCGTAATCATTAAATTAGGTGTTAGGAGTTACAGAATATGTTGGACAAAAAAGATGAAGAACATAATGGGAATTTAATTTACCTACGCTTAAATGATTTTGGGAACGTTATATCGTAATTCAATTCGTTATGATTTTGTTTGATTCAAATCCGTTTTGTGCAGCGGCGGATGGTATAAATGTTGGGTTTAATTCTTGATTGAGACCGTTTTCGACCCTAATTATGTATTTTTATCACCATATTATGATGATCCCTTTCAGTTTGGCGTTAGCTTCATCTTCATTGCAATTTTTCTCTAACGGGACAATTAATTCCTCGTTTTCAGTTTTCGTTTCACCCGTCCCTCTGGTTGGTTGGTCAATTGTAGCATTGACTACAAGTCATTTGGTTAGTCAAGCAGTTGGACGAATTGTTCGACGCCCTACCACATCTTCCACACATTTGCCGAATTAAATCAATCAATCTTTGAAATTACACCGCAGAAAATGCTGATTTGATTGATTGATACTACAACGGCATCGTCTTCTAATTGGAAGAGTTGATCAGCATTGACACGTTTTAATCACTGTGTAGTGGTAACAGTCGCAATATGACAGGTGTAAAATTTTCGTCAAATATATTATGTTACACGCTCGATGTCCAATTGTTTTAATTGGTCCGGATTCGAGCTGAGTTGTTCCTCATTTTAGGTAGTCTTGTAACTTGTGGTAACGGAATGCAGTGTGATTATGAAAACGTCGCAGGTCTTCTGCGCCCCTTAAGTTTCAGTGTTGGTCTTGCAGTGCCACAAACTAAGCAAGTAAAAATACCTAATTTTCTGTGCTCTTGGTCTCGGAGAATGGTGGTGCCTCTATAACCGAATACATTTTCCAAATTCTAAATGGTGCCTCTATATCATCTTTTTTTTATAAAAAAAAAAAATCCATTTCAGTAGAGCCCACTTAAATGTGGGTAAAATCTCTCCTTACAACCCCTAGTGAGAATCGAACCATAGTCTATCACTAGAAAAGAGCAACCTAACCACTAAGCTATCAGTCAATTAGAAAGAAGAAACTCATGTTTGCTAAAATTAGAAAGAAGAAACTCATGTTTTACTTTGGGAAAACCTCAAGGCCAAATATTTTCCCCCCTTCCAATTATTAGACTATATATAAGGGGCAATGGTTTGAAAACTTATAACATCCAAACTAATTCTTGTTAATCCAAACCATATCTCTTGTCTTCCATTTTTTTTTTTTCAATCATTCACAAGATTTAGCTCTAATTCTCACTTAAAACGATATTAAGCTCTTAACCACATGACCTAACAAGTGTTGGCGTAGGACGAGTCAATTTGACGTGAACTTAGTCTTAAATCTTAATTAAGCAACCTTGTCAAGTTTGGGCCGTTTCCACCATATTTTTCTTTCCCTATCCTTTTCACCTCCTGACACACTTCATTACCGAAAATTCAGTTTTACCGGAGAGCGTTGACCAAGTCTTCACACCCCATGCAGCTAGTCTCTTACCCCTCTATAAATTCCTTCTCCCCAGCCCACATAAAATGCACCAAATAAAACAAACTCCCATCCTCTTTATCTTTTCTAGTAGCTCTTTAAAAGTTGTTAAAAACTTCATTCAACTGCGTACCAAAAAACAAAATGAAGATTTCTCAGGGCAGCATTTTGTTCGTGATGCTGGTGATCACCATGTTTCTTGCTCAAGTGGAAGTGAGCAAGGCGGTGACTTGTAACCCGACGCAGCTGGCCCCATGCTTCCCGGCGATCATTTCAAACCAGAATCCGTCCGGCCAATGCTGCCAGAAGCTGGGTGAACAGAGGCCTTGTCTTTGTGGATATCTCAGAGACCCAAATCTCCGGCAATACGTCAACTCCCCTAATTCCAGGAGGGTAGCTGCCACCTGTGGTGTCCCTACCCCGTCCTGCTAAATGATTCATTCATGCATCTTCGGCTGCTTTCAGTCGGGGCCGGAGGAACCCGAGTTGTTTCAACCAAATTAAATAAAGGCAGACCTGATTTTCTTGCATGGTTTATACGTACCATGATTGAATATTCTAGATGGTGATGTAAGAAACGGACCTGTACTACTGTCTCTTATCATTCCTGTTGTTTTATGTGTTACTACCATGTACTGCAACTTTTGACATTATGCCATTATCTTGATTTTTATTTTTATTTTTTCCCGTGATTATATGCCCCTTTTACGTTACAGCCGATTGAGATTTAAATTCTAATATCATGGTCACGCCAATTTTTTTTTTTTCTTTTACTCGGTACAACAGAGGAGGTTAGAGCCTAAATAACTACCATACTTCAGAGATAGATATATTCTAGCAAAGTTGTATTCCAGCCACATAGACGTGAACAAGAAGAAAACGATCTATCACAAGAATAACAAAAATCCACCCTTACCACACACATCCTTTAACTGTATTTTTACGATTATGGTGCTGGTACGTACTGATAATTAGGCAAACTAAACTAAATGCAACTTCACAGTGTAAATAATTATTTTACACTAATAATCATGTGATGTTCATTTGTTGATATATGTAGGGATTGACTCAATAGTGTCAAATATACAGTGAAAAGAAATAGTGATTTAGTTGCCTCCTATTTTGGTGGCGCTTTGCCATAAAAATTATATTTTTCCTATAATTCTTTTTTCCTTAATTAGTTAATACGCATCAGTCACTATTATCATTTTGCTTTCCACATTTTGAATTAAACGAACAAAAGTAGTACACATAATTATACAAAATAATCGTGAATCTGAAGTAATCAAAGTCTGTTTTTGCTTTTCAATAATTATTTTAAGAATAAATTTTTTTTAAAAAAAACTATTATACTGTATAGTTTTATAAACTTGCACCCTGATAATACTGTAATTGTTTTTATATATATATAAAAAAAAGGTTAAATATTGGAGAGGATCACTTTTAGCTGGGCAGGATCTTGCTTTCATTTTAGTTATATTTGAAATGAGCCCATGAAATTAAGTATTTGGGCCGCCGACTCAACTAGATGACTCTTCCTCATGTAGCCCATCAGTTTGCAATCTTTTTTATTTATTTTTCTTCAAAACACATTTCTTGTTCAACAATCTAGAGAACTCAGGACATATATATTTGTTTCTCCCTTTTTCCTTAATCTGTGGTATCTGGCAGAGGAAGCTTCCAACATTTTCTTCACGAATTCGAAAGGTACGATTTGATAATTGTTTCTTCTTCGGTCAGTGATGAGTTTCGATTTAGATTCAGTTTTTTACTTATATTTTGCTGCCGCTTGTTGATGATTTATATTGATTTGATTTTTCCAAAATTATTCTTGATTGGCGTTTATGATCACTTCATCGGCTGGAAAGTGAAATATGTTAATTGACCAATCTTTGAAAATATCGGTTATTGATTGGTAATTTGTGCTGATCCTGTCGGTTTCGGTTGTGTTTGTGTCTGAGACCTTTTATCAAACAGTTGGTATGCAAGTGGATTAGGAATTATATGTTGATTCCAGTTCTGTTTTATGTTAGATGAGCATCATACAGTTCTAAGCTGTTCCGATTTTGTTGAAATGTGTCACTGGTAGTCTAATTACGTATTATTTCCTACAAAATGTAGGTAGTCACGGTAACAATGGCAGCTGAGAGAAGCCCAAGTGATGATACAAAGGGGCTATCATCAACCGCAGCTCAAACTCAGGTGATGACGTCTTGCCGCAAGAAGAAGAATGAAAGTGCAACGTTTTTAGAGGATGTGAAGGATCATATTGACGAGTTCATTCATGCTTCCATGGATGAGCATAAGACATGCTTTCAGAAGACAATTAAAAAGGTGTTTTTTTTCCTTCAAACAACCCTTCCATCATTTATTTCTTTGTCAAAATGTGTTCATTTGTTGGTTTGTCTGAGTCACTTTTGTTGATATCTTGATTTGGTTTACCTTGATTCGGTTTACCTTGATTCAGATGTTTGGCCTGTCAAAAGTTGTTACTGATCGGAACAGTGGGACGGCAGAGGTTGAAAGTGCACTGCCCCTAAGGACATCATTGTCTGAGTAAGATAGATGTCGAGCAGTTTTCTAATAACAACTCCAGAGTTACGAATAAGAATGCTGTGTATCGTGATGAACTAATTTCAGTTTGGATTTAGCCTAGTTGAGTTTTAGGTTTAACTTGTTGCAGCTGAAAATTTCTCTGTTTTGTGTCAAATGCTTGGTTCAGGGGATGTGGGACAATATGTTTTTATGTAATCCGCAGTTCTTGTAAGCTTTCTTTATTGGTTCTTGGATTATGATCCGTAAATATTAGCGTGGCTTTTTCAATATTGTGATCAGCTCAGATGCCTCGTATTTGCCTAACATGCACATCTGCAACACCCATTATCTGATTTCTGCTCTTGCGGCAAAGAATCAATTTGGCGTATGTCCCGGGGGGGGAGCTAATTCGCACTTTTTTTTTTTGTTGTATGGAATCTTTCCTGAAGTCGGCTTGCCAGGTAAAAATTAATACTCCCTCGGTCCTAAAATTATTGTCCAGTTTGAGATTTCATTTTTAGTACAATTTGTATTAGAAATGGAAACCTAAACTGGACAATAATTATGGGACAGAGGGAGTACTACTATCCGATTGATAAGGTTCTCTCTTACCTTGATACTAGAAGCCAACTAAATCCAATCAACTAAGTGATGAAAGTTTATGTACATGCGGGTGATTGCAGGACTTCTGCTTCTGTCTGAGTTCGTTTTACATTATTTTTACCTTTGGGAATGAATGCTGCAACTGTTACAACTTTCTTTCAAATGTTCAAGGATGCAATGGTACCTATGAATATGAATGACAAAAAAGGTTAATGACATGTGATATTACAACTTACTCCTCGGTGAAGGCACAATTTGTTCGTCCTTCTTTGTAGGAAAAAGATGGGGGAAAAGCCCAACAGTAAACCACAGTGAATGTCAATGATCGCGGAATGAACTTATTATTATGATCCTCAACTTCAATTCCACTTTGCCTTTTTCTTTTTCCCCCTTTCCAGAAAGGTCGTTGATTGGATTATGAAGGAAAAATGTGCCACTTAATGATACTCAGAAAGCGATGGATTTCATTTCACACGGAAGGAGAAAAGCAAGACTAATTAATCATTTCTGAATACAAAATCAAGAAAAAAGAAAAGCTAATCAGAAGTATCTGGAACCAGAATATGCTCCATGATCCCAATTCCCAACATGTTTACGTGAGATTAGTAGTATAATCCTCGGAATAAACTCCCGCCTTATATCCCAAAAAACGTGAATCAAATCCAATAAGTTGTAGGATTAAAAATAATGAACTAGACCGACCACATTTGCCACTTCAGTTGACCCAAGAGCCACCATTAGCATTTATTTTTTAGCTGCCAAATTTCATGCATGCAAGATACATATCCAGTTGTATATAATACTCCTCCCGGTTCTTATCCACAGAAATCTTACAATTAAATTCAATATCTTCACCCTGCCTAAAAATGCATGCATGCATCTCCCAAACTTACTCGTGTCAAAAGGGAACATAGTAATACGTTTGTTAATCTATTTAAAACATGTAATAATTCTACATATGAGTATTATTATAGTCTAATGTATATCATTTGTATGAAGGATAAAAAGCTAACCCTTAAAGAAAAGGAAGTAGGAAAAGATAAATTAATTTAAGATGTCATGCGTTGCGTAATAAAAATTCCCGGGATTTGACTTTGCTTTCTCTAATGGAAAAAATTAATTATTATAAATGGTGAAATGAAACCACCGCTTATTAAAGGAGTTCCAGGTAAGCGCTTCCTCAGCTGTGATAAGGCCGAATAAGAACCTGCATCAGATAAGCACGAGGCCACGTGTACAGTTTGACCGACGAGGCGCCGAGTCACACTTTTACCCCAAAAAAAAAAAAAAACCGAAAACCTTATTTCACCCAAATCCCTGGATTTAGCATTTTAATCAGTTCAGGTTTTTCGATTACTACTACTACTACTACTAAAAAACTAGTATTATATCATCACATCTGATAGACTTTTTATATATATAGATGCGGCAACTCGATATCGCCACTCGCCGACATATTTTATGTAATATTCTTCTCTAATTTCATCTGTGAATCCCCCCAGTCTTAACCTGTCCCTGTCAAAACCCCCCACACCCCAAAAGTTCTGCGTGAATCTCCGATCGCTTTTAGCCCTATAAATAGCATCCAGATTTCCCATCATACGGGGCAAACAAAGCTTTATTAATCATAACATTTCTTTGGGTTTTTTTTATTTTTTTGGCTTTTCCAGATTTGATTTTGAATCTATTCTTACTGTTATTATTGTGGCTGTGAGAAATTCTGTTGTGGTTTTAATACACTCTCCACAGCATCAACCCAATGGCGGCGGAGCTCTCTAACGTTCTACCTCGTGTGCTCATCGTATCTAGAAGAACAGTTCGCAAGAACAAGTTCGTCGATTTTGTCGGTACGAAAATCCAATCCTGTTTCTCCAATCAGATCCTCGCTCTCTCCAGTTTTGTTGCATGCATATCCATCTTTCTCATTTGATCGATTTTGTCAGATTCATATTTTTCTTTTCGATACGACCGAACGTTATAAAGTCAAGGGTAAAAAATTAACAGAAATGCTTTCTTTTTCCCTTTCAAGATGATGTCTTTCTTGGTCTAGGACGAATTTCCAGATGAATAATTCGTTTTTTTTGGTTGGATTTTAGGTGAATACCATCTGGATCTTATAGTAAGTTATGGGGCTGTACCAGTTATAGTGCCACGGGTCACAGGAGTTCACCTGTTGTTAGACAGTTTTGAGCCAGTCCATGGTGTTCTTCTTTGTGAGGGAGAAGATCTTGATCCATCATTATACGATGGTGAAGAATCAGATTTATCCCCAGAAGAATTGGAGGAAATTCGTAGGATTCATGCGAGTGACACTTCAATCGACAAAGAGAAAGATACAATTGAAATGAGATTAGCCAAGCTGTGTCTCGAAAGGAACATTCCTTATTTAGGTATATGCAGGGGATCCCAGGTGTTAAACGTTGCTTGTGGTGGAACCCTTTATTTGGATATAGGTAAAGAGCTCACACATAAAGTCTCTGAGAATCAGAGAGTTCAGCACATTGATTACGACAATTATGATGATCATAGGCATGTAGTTAAGGTTGTAAAGAATACCCCTTTGAGTGATTGGTTCAGGGATTCTTTGGAGGATGGGAAAAATGAAATTTGGGTGAATAGTTATCACCATCAAGGGGTTAAGAAACTGGCTCAGCGCTTTGTACCCATGGCATTTGCTCCTGATGGTTTAATTGAAGGGTTCTATGACCCAGATGCTTATAATCCTGATGAGGGCAAATTCATAATGGGATTGCAATTCCATCCAGAGAGAATGAGGAAAAACGATTCGGATGCTTTCGACTATCCTGGTTGTCCATCTGCTTATCGGGTAAATTTTGTATCCTTTTCCTTGCTGCTGGGGCTCAATTTCACAAGGGTTAGGTATACTGATGGTTGTTTCTTGGTGGAAATTTTTGCAGGAGTTTGTAAAGGCAGTAGTTGCATATCAGAAGAAGCTTGTTGGTTCGTCAAATGTACCTAAATCTTTGAAGCTTGATCAACAAATGGAGATGAAAAGGAGGATACTCGTTAAAAGCTTTTCCATAGCTAGAAACCTGTACAAAGATGGAGGAGGTCATATGCCTCCATCAAAACAAGCTGAACTTGAGGTTGGAGCTGAATTTCTCGAGGTATGATGAGAATCAAAGAATAGCGATATTCTCCATATCCATTCTTATTTCATTTGTATTTGATCAGTTTGGTGCGTTATACGACTGACTGATCCTTGATTTTCATTACAGTCAAACACAGCCTTAACTCAGGAACAGCAGAGCAGGTTGAAGCAGATGGGTGCAACTGTGAGGAATGCATCTTCTTATTTCAACAAGCTGCAGCTGAATGAGGAGAAAGGGGCATTAGCAAGGAAACTGATGGGGAGGATGACTGTGGAACAACTGTATGATTTCATTTCTTTTTATCACATGATGGAGCAGATATGTTCAGAAGTGTTGGAGAAAAAGCTTCATGGAATGGTCAATGATCATCACGCCTCCTCACTTATCTGAAATCTGAATGAACTTTATTTGCTTTCAGCTCTTGAGACCATATAATTGTATGGTTTAATATGTCAAACCCTTTGTAATTTTTCTTGTGGTTTGGTCAAAGTATCACATGAAATCTGCTTTGATGGGCTCTGTAACAGTGATTTGATCATCAATATAGTTTTCGATGTGGTAGGTTTGCCTTCCTGTATGGCTGTATCTCTTTCAGTTTGGCCGTGGTCTTCTCTTTCTAGAACTACATTTTCCTACCCAAAAAAAAAAAATGTTAGGAAATGAAATTGCGCAAAAAAAAAAAAACTGGCACAAAATTTCTCTATGAAATCATAGTCACAGGCAAGTTTTGTAGTTTGTAAATACTAAAATTTGTGCTGCAAATATTTTATTTGAAAAAATCAAGTACTCCATCCATCCCATAATTATTATCCAATTTAAACAAGATAGAAGAATTTATTTTTGGTCAAACTTAAACTATATTTTGACTTAAACTTCCAGATATACCCATGTCCATGTAATTGTTTAATCGGTTACTCGTTTTCTAAGACTAACACCGACAAAAATGCAAAAATTAACCCCAATCCAAATATTCAACCAAAGCTCAAGAATTCATTCTTCACTATCAAACAATGGATCAATTTTTCAAATGACGAATTTCAAATCTTCCCACTCTAAGCTGATGTTTCCGAACATAATTCTTTTGTCTAAGATTTTACGGATGAGACAGCTGAGGAAACCGACGATGAGAACAACTCCGCCGAGATTTCCGATGAAAAACATATTGCCCATCGGGCACTTCTTGCAAATTGGAAAAAGGTGTACGATCTAAACTCTCCAGGCGGCTGGGCCAGCCACTTGAACAAGAAGCCCAAGATTCACAAAAGATACGCTTGTCAATTCTACCAGAGGTGAATCCAAAAATAACGCCAAAATCAGTGGCATTTATTTGACACAGTCATGATCAGCAAAAGAATAGAGAAAAAAAAACATAATTATGATGAAAAATTGGTAGGCTGAGAGAAATCCGAGAAGGGGGTAAGACATAATCTGTTTTCAAACAGACACAGTCGTGATGGTGGTTCTATTCCTTGTTCTGCTACGTGTGTTGGTGGATGGAGTTTCGGTGGTCTGGTGAAGACCCTCGCTACTCGATCCGAGTCGGTGCCGGAGACTCACCGCCGAGATCTGCAAGAAATAGGGTCCGCCAGGATCAGAAATAAATCTAATACACCAATTTAATCGCTCAAGAAAGATTTCTTCCTCATATTCGTTTCCGACAACCACCCGGTTACCTCATCCTCTCCGCCCCTTTGAGCCGTGGGAATATGAACTTGATTTCGCTACTTTTGCGTTGTGTTCTCTTTTATTGTGTGTGTTGTGCGTGCTGTGCGTGGATAGATTTATACTTTATAGTAAATAGACTAAAGGACAAATGCGTAATTTAGTCCATAAAAAGTCAAATTGGACAATAATTTTGGGACAAATTTTTTTTGCGAAAGTGGACAATAATTATGGGATGGGGGGAGTATTTAGTTAGATATACAACCATACAATAATGCATAAACAAACAAATGAAATAAAACTGGAAAAAAAAATAAGTCCAAGAGGTTGCTCATTCCCTCCAAAGAGGGCCTGGACCTTATGATTTATTAACATTTGCATGAAGGCACAAATTAATTTGGGCTACTATTGTCGGCTGAAATAAAATTGATCTGAGAAAAATGCTTGTGGCCTGGTGGGAAGAACTACTAAGAGCCTTTGGACTCAAAAGACAGCTAAATTGCCGCCTATTTACCCTATCTATTCCAATTCAATCCATTTAGACAAACGCAAGGATCATAAAAGGTGAATAATATAGTTTGAATGGTTAATCTTTGAGTAATTAACCTAATATGCCCGTATTAATGAGTACTGGCTGCTAGTTAATATGATGAAAGTGAGAGTTGAATTTAGTTAAATGTTTAAATTTCAATAATAGTAGTGGAGGTATATTAGAGAATTCATAAATAAACTTAATGTTAATGGGACTAAATTTTAGAACATCCCAAAAGAAAAAATGAGCCTATTGAATTGGAATAGGGATGAATAAACTTGATGATGGGTGGAATTAATTCGATACAAAATCAGCAACCAATAATTTGAAAACGTGAGAAAGCATCATAAGTCAAAAACCTGTCACAATCTGATTAACTTGTAGTATTGTGTTTACTCATTTGTGGGGTGAATCTCCATAAATTTCAGCCTCCAAACTGGTTGGGTACTTAAGGAATTATCTACTGTTTCTCTACACTTTTCCAGTACTGGTTAGTACTTGGTACATTTCGTGTTCCTAAACTGTTTCCCCTACTTACTACAGCTCCAGATTATGAAGAGTCGCTTCCCATTTCTCTTACACAATTCCCTGTATTTTATACTGATATTCTTCAGTCAATTCCCTTTCGTTTTCACTGATGATAATCGCACAGAATGGTTCACTAACTGCACCAATTTATTCAGCTGCGGAGGAATCAACACCGGGGATTTCCCCTTCTGGGGCGGCAACCGTCCCCGGGAATGCGGCCATCCCGGAATGAAGCTCGATTGCGACAACGACACTCCGGTCATAGAAATCATGTCCGTAAAATACCGGGTTCTCGAAATCAATCCCGATTCCCAAATCCTCAGGATTATCCGACAAGATTTCGGGCCGACCGATCTTTGTCCGGATAAATTTATAAACACCACCCTGGATTACAACATATTTGAGTATAGTCCTGGATACCTAAATGTTACAGTCCAATATGGATGCCCGCTTTTGTATATCCAGATTCCGTCGATGTTGACTTGTACTGTAAACGGAACAACTTACCAGAATGGTTATGTTGTTCCAGGGGCACAGGGCCCTGGTTCATGTCAGGCTAGTGTTTTCTTTCCGATTCGCAGCACAAGTTTTGGAGTAATGCAAGAGATGCCGAATATCGGACAGTTAATCGACAGAGGATTCGAATTGAGGTGGAAATTAGATGGAACAGGATGCAAAGAGTGCAAAAATTCGCGTGGAAGTTGCGGATATGACCTGAAATCCGGTCAGTTTACATGCTTATGTCCGTCCGGTGAGTCCTCTGGTTCCAGTGAATGCAGCAGATCAAATGTATCAATATCTGGTGGTGATCAATATCGCAGTGAATCTCTGTCTACTCTGAATTCAGGTATGTACAGAGTACAAACTGATTATATATTTTGCTAAGTTTGCTTGAAGTGAAGACCAAAGTTCATGATTATGATCTGATTATGTGCTAATTGTTGGCAAAATGGCATTTTTTTTTTAAGTTAATCATGAATTGACAATGAGATAAAGGCCTTAAGTCTATTTCTAAATTTGATATCTTGAAGTAATGGCGTGGAACCCTGCACGTAATTTTTCTTCTTTGTACTGGCACTTAGTGATGAGATATGTCACCAAAGTGGAATTTTCTAGCACATTATTGAGGGACTTAATTAAGGTGATGTAGTTAGTTGGTGGAAGTGTGGCTATTTCCGCCTTTATAATAAGATATTTAATTGAAGAATTATCTGATGGTAGAGACTAGAGACGTAGATTTTTCATGACACCGTACACTAATTTTTAACATAACAATGTTGTTGGGACAGATGAAACAATAATCAATAACCATCCTAATCGGGTTTCAAGAACGGTTAGGAGTTTGAAGTTTTGAGATTCAACTTTCTAATTTTAGTTTGCAATAGAATCTATATAGCCTTTTTTTATCAAAAAAAAAAAAAGAAGAAGAAGATTATAGGCTTATAGCGGCAGAAGTTTCAACACATAAAATGCGATTGGTCCATAACTAGCTATCTCTCTTTCGGTATAATAATGAAAAAGCCTAACATACTCCATATATGACTAGATTATACTCCCTCCGTCCCATAATTATTATCCAGTTTAAATTCTTATTTTTAGTGTAATTTATACTAAAAATGAAATCTCAAACTAGACAATAATTTTGGGACTGAGGGAGTACATTATAGGAGTGCGTCACTTTATAAGGCCATACTTCAATTACAGTTTAACTCTAGAGGCGACTCCAACCAATGTAACTTCGTCAAACCTTAAATAGTTATTGAAGGCAAATACGAAAATTTGATCTATCCTGCAATAGATAGTCGGAAACCACGAAACTCGAGTAAAATCACCACACAAGAAGCAAAAATTTGGTCTTGTTTCTTATCCTTGCTGAGTAAAAAGACTAAAATCCTTGGTAAAGATGCAATTAAAAAAGCAGCACGGAATTTCTATGCTGACATTTCACAATAGTCATTAGTTTGAGAGTGATTTTATTAGGTAGAAGGCTGAACTAACTAACTCCTATTATCTCAAATGGGACCTAATGTTCTTCACTTTTTTCCCCTCCCAAAAGAGAGAATTATAGCCTAGAGTTATAATACGAAATTTATGTAATATATATACTACTTACATATTAGTACATCATAGTTACCTACGAGTTGTATTATAACGACGACATAATATTCAGAATGAAACTATTCTTATTACATCACTTACTCGATAACGTGGCAAGATCATTAAACATTAGCGATCAACTCAATCTTGCATTATCTACATATCGCCTCCAGTAATTTCTCTTATACGTACTTGGCTAGTCTGCTCTGCCCACAAAACTTTGTATATTTCTCTTCCGTAGTCTCGTTGCATTTTAATAATTTTATTATATATCGAGTTAAAAATAGTTTTAAAAAATAATACTACATAAAGTAGAATAGGATGGAGGGAGTGCAGTTTAGTCAAGTCGTGGTTAGGAGGACTGGCAGACTTGGAATTGAAAAGCAATATAGGATATTATAGTTCAACGCCGTGTTTGAAAAATATTTGTGTGCTACTCTCACTTTCTATGGAAATTTTCCACAATTAGCCAAACTAATATATAACCTTCTCAACGACTTGGAACTCATCACTACTTCTACTGGTTGCCAGCATTTTGATCTTTCCTTTTCACTTTTCCTTCAACCACTTCCATACCTTATATTTGTATCCCTTGCCTGAAATCCCCATTGTTTATTCATTTTCTGGTCTGATCCCCGGTAAATATGACCGATTCCCATAGCCATTTAAGATGCTTCATCTCTTTACTCTGTTTCGTTTTGTACACAAACTTTCTCCGATTAGATTTTGTTTCAAGTAGCCCTGAACTTTATCAGAAGTGCCCGAATTCGTTCAGCTGCGGTGACATCACAGAAATCGGCTACCCCTTCCGGGTAAAGGACGATCCTGAATACTGCGGGTATCCCGGTTTAGAGCTGAGATGTTACCAGAGCAAGAATGATGGCCCTGTAACAAGAATTGAGATCAACAACATGGCGTATCGGGTCTTGGACATCAACCCACAATCCCAAATCATGAGGATTGCCAGAGAAGACGTGATGGAAGCCAATTGTCCGACGGAATTAGTAAACACGACTTTGGATTACGCGCTCTTCGATTACGCAACTCCGGCGAATTACACAAACCTGACATTTCTCTACGGTTGTCCCATGTCCAATCTCGGGCTAAACCCTTTTACTCCATGTGGGAACAACGGCGCCGGTAGCGTGTACGTGTTGCCTGCCGGAACTGTGGGTCCAGCAAGGTGTAACTCGAGTGTGATATATCCGGTGGCTCAAACAGGGGATGGAGGATCCTTTAATTATACGGGTTTGGACCAGATTCTCCGGCGAGGATTTGACGTCAGGTGGAAAGTGGATAGCAGGATTTGCGGTGAATGCAGTGCATCCAACGGGAAATGTGGGTACAATTTTGTCACGAATCAAACCAATTGCTATTGCCCCAACCCGCCAAATGTAGAAGCGGTGGCTTGCTCGGTATCATCAACTTCACCATCCTCTAGAGGTAATCCTACAATTCTCACCCTTTAATTCTAGTGGAGTTCTTACCTATGTTAAAACCGCAGAATCTCATATGGCTTCATAAAAATTCTAACTGTACAATAATTTTGGGACAGAATGAATATTACTTTTTTGTGTCATTCTAGTAATTTATTATTAGGTCGATAAAAAACGTTATAACACAATAAACAATTAAAATAAGACGCTAAAAAATATTCAGTCTTATTGGCTATGTTTATATATTGAGGAAAGTTTACCGTTTACGCTATCGACTTTTTTGAGAGGGAGTTGGTGATCAAATTTTTATATTGTTCTGACACTGACAAAAAATGCAATTGGGGAAGGAGAGTTTTAACTTAGATAAATATGGGGTTGATCATGGTTGTAAAATGATGGGCTATGTTTATTCTTAGCCCAATAAATACAGATCTTAGCCCTTGAGTTAAACTTAGAATACCGAGAAGCCCAACTTCTAGAAGCATTTTATATATGTATCTCTCAGGGGTTGGGATAAAAAACTCCACTTCTTGAATTAGGCATTAGGATGAGGAAATTTGCATCCTGGTCAAATCCATACACAGGAAGTCTAAGGTCCTCCATTATCAAGGTCAGGTGTCGAATTTCTTCTTGGTAATCTTATGTTCTGCAAAATGAATTTTGTTATTTTCACTGCCCGAAGGGTCTTTGGTTTTGAAATTGGAACCCTCACTTCAAGTCAAATTGATTGATAGCACAATGTAGGTTACTGCTGTTTGTTAGCAGTTGGCGTCGTTCTTTTCCTAATTTTAGTAAAATAGACAAATATCATCTCAAAAGTGCCTACATTTTCTCGGAATAAAGAGGAAAATTAAGCAGGGGAACGATAAGAGGGTATCATCTAATGCTGACATCAATACTTTGATGTTGTTCATCGTGGAAATAAATATTAGCCAGAAAACAATCAAAATGGTAACATGACTTACTCATTCTGTTTTATTACAATAGTAAGTTTCATTGAAATAAAATAAGGTGAAACTATTAAAATGAGACAGAAAGAAGAGTACTCCCAGTGAAACGACTTGTCTCAAAACTCCTCTGCTTATAATTCTAGAGGCCACTAAGATATTTTTTATGACTTTGAGGTCTTTCTGCCAGTAATTTCTAAGCAAAATGCAGTAAATCGTTTCCGCGTTGTATTAGTTTTCAAGCTAGCAATTTCCCTCCTGGACATGTTTTAACTTTTAAGAGGGTTGATTTCGTCCAAAGAGGGATGCCACCCAATCTATTTCACCCAAATTGTGTTGACTAAAACTACAAAACAATAAAAAGACTGTGCAGTATTATGGTTCCTGAAGGCGACAGTGTTTTCAATTTGAAGACTTTGTCAGCTGCTACTCTCATTTCCAATAGAACCTTCTTATAAATTATAACCCCCCAGGGAAACTGGGGGAAAAAAAAATATGGAGACCAAAGCTGCGTGAATGGTCAAATCCCTCCCCAACAAATGATATTTTACCAAAATTCTCCACTTTGTCCTCCTACTGATCAACTTCCACCAGATGAACGATACATAAAACAAAAGTTTTCTGCTCCCAGTTCCCACTTCTCCGCCTTCTCTTCCCCTGTCTTCATTTTTCTCTCTGTAAAACATGAAGCATCCTCATGATCCCTTTCCAATCCGTTCTTTCTTCCTGATAATTACCATCTTCACGCTGTTTGGCATCCCAAAGTGTTTATGCCAGGATGGGCGTTACGTATCCTGTGGAAATGTGTATCAGTGCGGAAACATCCAGTTTAGGTATCCTTTCTGGGGAGGAAATCGCCCGGAGAATTGTGGGTATCCTGGTTTTGAAGTGAATTGCGTATCAAGTAGTGTTCCCCGGATTACGATTTCATCGCAACAATACCTGGTTGTCAATTCTCCGGACATCACAGCCAATACTGTGACAGTTGCAAGAGAGGATCTTTTTAACAACATCTGTCCACAAGACCCAAAGGATACCGCCATAAACTTTACCATCTTCAATCCTTCCAACACCCAAAACCTGACTCTGTACTACGGCTGCCCCACAATTACTCCTCCTCCTCTGTTTGAGTTCCCCTGTACTACGAATGGAAACACTACCGCCAACTATTTCAATATGCTCGGGTCGAACCAAGGCATCACGATCCCCTCTGGCTGCGATCGTATCATTACCGTTCTGGTTGATCAGGATGCGGTTCGGAATTTGGGGAGCTCTGCTGGTTTAAACGGTGTTCTGAGGGCCGGATTCACTTTGAAATACGAGGCGGAAAATGCAAACTGTCTGAGATGTTTGCAGTCAAGAGGCCAATGTGGGTATGATTCCGGTTCGTTCGTCTGTTACTGCGCCGACCGTGCCTACACTCGGGAATGCAACGGCACCGCCGCCGGCACCCCTAGTGGAAACGGTATGTACGATTTTATGTGCTATTAGTTCTTTCGTCTGCAGCTTCCTCTCGTCGTTGTGGGTTTTTAACAGTTAACAGTTAACACTAATAGTCCCGTCTAGTTCCCTTTTTTTGCCTGATTTCCTCTCGTTAAATTCTATGGATTACGTTTGAGGTTTTAGGTGATTTGGGATCCCTTTGTAGAAATTTCAACCAGCGATAGAGTCTGTTAGCGTCCTGAGATCAAAACCAATTCTTATCCATTAAATTAAACCACCACCTTTGTTGTGTTATTACATAAACGTGTGAACTTTCGTGCCTTGACGATTATCTGTATATCCTTTTTGTTGTCGGTGTCTGTATGTGATTTTCCTCTTTTGTGTTCTTCAATTTCTTCTCCTTATTTTCTTGGCTCAATTGCTAGTGTTCATATGCACCTATAAAAACACCGCCTTATCAGATGGTTTCCTATGACAAAATCCTAGTCCAAGGGTCAAAAATAGAATGAAGAAAAAGTCAAAAATCAAGTGCTTAGTCTACCTGTTTTATCTATATATTTATTGATTGAATATCTTCACGAGGATTTTAACATGTTAATATACTATGCCTAAATTAACGGCAGAGAGTCACCTTTATACAATGATCACCAAGATAGTATATCGTGAAATTAGTCGCGAGGTGCGGTCTAATAACTAGTATTATATGTAGCAAAAGCAGTTGTTAAGAAACATAGATGGTAGACGTATAACCAAGTAAAGGAAATCGGAATAGTAAGAGCGACCCACCAAACGTATAGAAATCCTTATGGCATTAGTGGATTTCCCAATTAGAGGGTGAAGAAGTTGCAAAGATTGTACTTCTCACGTGCATCATTTTACCAAGGAGTGTTTGGTACATGACCATAAATTTGATCTGGCCTATATACTCCTAAATTATGCAGCTCTAACTTAATCTATTGGTAGTGTTTCGAGAGCGAAATATTTGTTGAGATCGCAGGTAGGTCTCACTAGTACTGACTTCTTTTTTGTTCTACTCAGATTGCTTATTTTTTCTTGTTTGAAATCCACTTACTAGTTAGTCTGCAATTAGATGAAGCACAGTTATAGAATATAGAAAGTTGGATTAATCGGAAATTTAGAAATAAAGATGTGTTCGAAATATAGCATGTAACTGTATAAGATTATTTTATTTATATTTCTTGTGATGAAAAAAAAAAAAAAAAACTAAACACAATTTTGGAAAAATCTGGTACCGGACATAAAAAAACATATTGGAAAGTTGAATGGGAGTCCAAGGAGAAACATTTTTAAGAAAAATCAATAGATTCAAAATGCATGGGCTTGCTAAACAACTCCATCCCTCATCAGAAACTTCTTAAATTGTTAATTCTACCAACTCCAAATAACCCTGAATGAAATTATTTTTTTATTATTCTGCAGTTTTGTGAATGACATACAAACCCCACCAATTAACCTTAATTATGTTAAGATTTGTTAGCATCAGTCATATTTTACATTAGTTTTGTCCTCATTAGGCTAGAAAGAATTGATATATGGCAGACAAACCAAAAGAAATTCCATTAATAAAGTAAGTAGTAGTCATTAGGCCAAAAAAAGCAAACAAGTACACTGGCTCACAACAGTCCAAAGAACTCCATAGTCAACCAAAGGCAGCTCCGAAGACCTTCAAACTTCAAACCTTCGAACCTTCCCTCCCATGTCTTAATCAACCCAATTTCAAAACCCCAAAATCTCCTTTCTGCCAACATGAATTCTCCTTCTTCGGTTCTTCCCTACTCCCAATCTCTTCCACTTCCCAAATGCCTCTCACTCGCCGCCTTCATTCCTTCACCGTCAATTCTTTTGAAATTCTGTTACTATTTCTCGTCTTCTTCACGCCATCATGTTGCAACGGTGACGCCACTTACTCCGGCTGTGACCGCACTTACAGCTGCGGCGCAATATCAAACGTCACCTTTCCCTTCACCGGCGGCGACCGTCCGGACCACTGTGGACTCCCTGAGTTCAAACTCACTTGCCAACCAAACACTAATATCACCGAGTTGACTCACAACTCCATCACTTACCGGGTCCTCCACCTCGATCAAACCAGCAAAAGATTAACCCTTTCCCGCTCTGACCTCTACAACAACACCTGCCCTTCTCAATTCGTCAATACCACTCTCAATCCAACTTTCTTTGTCTATGGGGATCAAGACGATTTACCCTTAACCCTGATCTACGGATGCAATTCGACGGCCGTGACTTTCACTCCCGGTAATTTGTTCGATTGCGCCATCCCCACCTCAACTTTCTCCGATTCGTACTACATTATCGGGGCGATTCCGAGTGACCCGGTATTTCGGTTTATCCCATGTAGTGTCAGTGTTACATTGCCGTTGATGAGGAGTGCTGGATTGAGGCTTACAAGTAACCAGACTAACCTTGGGGAAGCTTTAATGGAGGGTTTTGTTGTGAATTATACTGACCCTCATGAGGCTTCGTGTTCGGAGTGTACCGGGTTGGGTAGGCAATGCGGGTACGACCCGGATTCCAGCGAATTCGTTTGTATTTGTGGGGATAGGCTCTGCCCCTTGCCTGCCTTGCCTCCACAATATAGTCGAAATACTTCTGTTATCTTACCAGTAGGTAATATTTGTGCTTTTCATGGAGTGATGCCTGCTAATTAGACTCAATAGCTTTTATATATGTTTATTAGCAAATATATGAACTTTTGAACACCTACTCTGTCTTAAGCACTATGCTTATTAACAACTGAATTGGACTGATGATGATGTGAGCCTGTCTACTAACAATTTGATTCTATTGTCTGATCGTTGCAGATAAAAAGAGTGGTCTGAGTTCTCAAGGAAGCATAGGTAAACGTCACGCAATTTCAATTTACTGCATTTGTAGTTAGTGAAGGGAAAAATGAAGTTTTTAATCTGTTATTGTAAAATGCAGGTCTGGCAATTGGAGGTGCAGTACTTGCGGGTATAGGTGTAGGATGGATAATCTTCTGGTGCAGGCAAAGAAGGAAACGGCTTGCTGCTGGAGACAGTGCTTCTCGGGAACTCCCAACCGATAGCAAAGATGTCTCAGCAGTCACTGATAGCAAATCTCTCCTTACAAAGTCTGTGCCTTCTGTTGCTTTTGCCCAAAGCATTCCTTCTTATCCTTCCTCGAAAACTGAATTTGGAAGGGATACCACTTCCTACTTCGGCGTTCAGGTGTTTACTTACAGTGAACTTGAAGAAGCCACGGACAATTTCGCGCGTTCTAGAGAACTTGGTGATGGCGGCTTTGGTGCTGTGTACTATGGTATGAACATTTTCCCTCATTCAACGTTATTTGTTTTTGGTATGAATGTGTTAGTATCCTCTGCATCAATGTGATTTGCCTCCACTGAAATGTTCATTGAATGATTGAATTTAGGTGTTCTTAAAGATGGACGGATAGTTGCAGTTAAGCGTTTGTATGAGAATAACTTTAAGCGAGTTGAGCAGTTCATCAATGAAGTTGAGATCTTGACTCGGTTAAGGCACCAAAATCTTGTGCAACTGTTTGGATGCACGTCCAAGAGGAGCACCGAGTTGTTACTCGTCTATGAATATATACCTAACGGAACTGTGGCTGATCATCTGCATGGAAAACGATCCAAATCCGGCTTGTTGTCATGGCCTGTCCGATTGAACATAGCCATTGAGACAGCTGAAGCATTGGCTTACCTTCATGAATCAGACATCATTCATCGTGATGTCAAAACCAATAATATCCTACTAGACAATGATTTCCATGTAAAGGTCGCGGATTTTGGATTATCCAGGTTGTTCCCAAATGACGTTACTCATGTGTCGACAGCACCCCAAGGAACGCCTGGGTACGTTGATCCTGAGTACTATCAGTGTTACCAGCTCACTGAAAAGAGCGATGTTTACAGTTTTGGCGTGGTATTGATAGAGATCATCTCGTCATTGCAAGCAGTTGATACCAACAGGCATCGCCTCGATATCAATTTGGCGAATATGGCTGTCAACAAAATTCAGAGTCACCAGCTACATGAGCTGGTTGATCCTAGTTTGGAGTTTGAGACAAACAGTTCAGTAAGGAGGATGACAACATTGGTGGCGGAGCTAGCTTTCCGTTGTTTGCAGCACGAAAGGGACATGAGGCCCTCGATGAAAGAAGTCCTGAATGCTCTAAAAACAATCCAAAACGAAGGGTTGAATGCTCAAAAAGCCGAGGTGTTGGACATCTTGATTGATGATGGTGGCCATTCTGAGGACAAAACCTCCACTGCATCTCCAACTTCTGTTGTTCCTGATACATGGGTTAGCAGTTCTGGACCAAATTCTAGTGGGTGACACTTAATTGACAGCGCTCGAATGCTTGCTTCCAACGCTTTTTGACAGGTTTTGAGTGAGTTAGATTTGTGGAGAATTTTCTCATTCCTGCATCAATGTACTTAAACATAAGAAATGCTGGGCTATATTCTCAAACTGTGGTTAGCTTTTGTGGTGTAAAGACTTGGAAAAGTGTATTTTACAGTGGTAAAAATCACGAAGACGAGCGAATGTACATTGTGATGACTGATTAGTACTAATATAGAGGTGCTTTTTTAACTAGTCGGAATTACCAAACACACTCTTCCTTCATAAAATCCAGTGGCAGAAACAGAACACCACTTTTGAGTTCAAAGTTCAAACCTTTTTTTTCAGAAAGCTAATGTAAACGTTCAAATTACTAGCTTTCGAGTTTCGACCATGTGGTTTGAGGCAAACAAAATCCGAGATTATTTTTACAAATTTTACATATTCTTTCCTTGTAGTGTTTGATGCCATTGATAGGGGGCATATTGAATGTTGGCTGCACAAGCATGATGGAGAAAACTTTACTCAAGTTGGAAGCAGAGGATTTCTTCAACTTTTTCACATCAGGATTTGACACCCTTTTAAAGTTGAATTCATTTTGTGAAGAAAACTATTACTTATACACTAATATTCTCTCCATCTTATTGATAAAGCACGAATTTTTGGAGGGATTTAAATACAACAGGAAGAAGTGATGATCACAATAACTAATTTGACATGACAAAAAAGTATGAATGATTACACCTGCAATTGCTACTGACACAAAAGGGTCTAAAATTCAATCATGGAACGCTTGAAATACAAAAACCTTAAGTGTGAGTTTTAGTTTAGTTTAATGGTTCACAAAACCACGCGTTGTAAACATCCAATTATGCACAATTTCGAAAATTGAAATCTCCAACATTACATTGATGATTGATGAGCCACGACGTTTGGTTCCAGAAAGACACCACAAATTCTAACGTACAGATGACGAGTATTAATTGCAAAGGAAACAAAACATTTTCACATTTAAACCAAGGGCACTAGGGCAGGGAGAATAAAACTAGTCATCAACGTTGAACAATTAAAGGGAAAAAATTGGAAAATAAAATGAAAATAAAAATATTGACTAATCTGCCCCCGCCTCCGCCACTCGCCGTCACCGTAAAATGAAATCCTTAATCGTCCACATTAGTTTAATATAACCGGCCGGCTGATAAAACTGTTCATCATCAGTATGAATAAATCAAGAAAAAAAAAATAGCATTACATAGTTAGATGAATTAATTAAAAAAAAAAAACAGAGGGGACCTACGTCGAATTGTTCCGCACTCCGAAATCATCGCCACGTGTAAAAGATGATGCCTTGTTACGAATGGGAAAAAGCCGAAAAAGACCCAAACAAAAAATATAAGTACAATACAAATCTTTATCCTTAATTTGCAGTAATAATAAACGATAAAGCCGCCTGTAAATTTTCGTATTCTTCCTAGTTCTTACCTCAAGAAAGTCTGAGCTCAATCTTGAATTTTTTCGATACAGGCGTTGTTCATTTCGTACAACGCTACAATTTGAGTATTCGTATTTTGTTTTGTTTGTTATAATCTGTTCAATCTCCCCAGATTTAGTCCGTTCGTTTTTTTTTTTTAAAAAAAACAACCCAAGTACAAACAAAAACGAGATATCCCCCATTTCCCCTTCTAAATTCCATGGACACCCTTTCTTCGTACGACAAAAACAAGAGGAACAATCCTAGATCTCACTTTTCTCCCCTAATCTCCCGCTGTTTTGTCCACTAATTCGTTATTTCTCGCCGCAAACCCGTTTTGATTTCTCGGCCTTGTTGATTCTGGGCTTGGGCTTTGATTTTTTTGTTTGTTTATTTATTAGTATTGTTATACTTATGGCGACGTTGCAGAAATTCAAGTTGCTGGCAACCCAGTGTGCGGTGGCCGGAAGTCCGACGAGGAGCCCGTCGGCGAGCCCGGTAATACACCTCCGGCGGAGGAAGACGCTCCGAATGCTACTCAGCCGCGGCGGAAATGGTAGCCGGAGGCTGTCTCGAGGGGAGGAAGATTCGCTGGATCGGTTAAGGAACAACGAGAGGAATTCGCGGGAGAAAGGGAAGGAATTAGCGGTTAGCCAAAAGCTGAGGGACTTGTTCGTTTCGTCTCCGCCGCAATTTGATGAAAGGGTGTCGGAAAATGTGAGAGACGGGATGTTATCACGCGGCGTTGATGCTGCCGGCGGCGGAGGTGCCGGATTGAGGAGATTCGGTGGGAACAGATCTCTTAGACCGTTATCGGCCACGTTCCGGCAACGGTTGCTCAGAAGGGCTTGGAGACCTGTGCTGGTGGCTATACCAGAATAACTTTTTTTTTCTGCAAAACTGTACTACGCAATATTTTTTAGTATAAAATAATATACTAATATAATATACTGCATTAATTTTAATTTTACACTTGAATTATTTCCTCTTTCTTTTTGTTGTGAGGTATTCTGGATTCAAAAAAATACGAGCTGAAATTCCGCCAGTTTTGATCGAATGTGAATTCTGGAAAATCATTTTTCTATGGTTTTTGAGTTTCTATTTCAAGGGTTTGGTGTTGGGTAGTTCAGCAGCCGTCTTGCCTCTTTGATGCAAGTATGGCCGAAGAATACGTTTTTGACTTTTAGTTGCGATCCGGCACTAAAATTCATAATAATTGTCACCCCCATATTGAGTAGCACACTCTAATGGGAAATGGATCCCCCAATCCATTTGTTAGCACTATATCATTCCGTATTTATTTTTATTTTCCGGGTTCAAAAATAATTATTCTAGTATTATTTGTTATCTTAAAAATTACAACGTGACAGTATTGCAAGACCGTCTGTGTGACACACAATTATTGTCTTGACGGTTCTAATTATAAGACACCAACATGAAAGAGTATTCTTTAGTTGGTAATCAATCAATATTTAAGTTGGAATTTGGAAATGTTGACAAAGTATGAGCACCCAGCCCAAAGCCATAGAAAAGCTCTACTTATGTCGTGCGAATTGAAGGAAAACTGGGCATTCTGTTCCATTTTATATACTACATAAAACACAACTGGAAAGGGCAAAAATTGGCCGCAAAGGCAATGGGTTGATCAGCTAAAGTCTTTGTGCATCTCGATTCTAACTGTTAACAACTAATTTCATAGGATTAATCTTAATCACATAATCCTCCCTTCTCCTCATTAAAATCGTCCATGTTATTCTACCGTTTTTTTTTTTTTAATTTATCAAATTCTGCTAATATAAAATAGGACCAAAAGAACATACAACATCAACATGATGTACATTTGAGTCAGAGTCTATGGTATCAAATTGAATAACTGATAGTGACCAAACCAAAATCTTGGGTGATATCCTAGGATATAGTGGCTGGCCCAAAATCATGTAGATCTAAAAAAACAACCCGGCAATTGGTTTCCTTTCCGGAGCTTCATTTCTGTGGAATTTTGATTTTTCAGCATACTTGACTAGAAGTAGAAGGGCTTTTTAATTTTGAATGTTTCTATGTTTGACTCCGGAATCAACCAAGAGACTTATATTTATTTAGTTTCGAATTAATTTCACTACATATTGCAACACATTCATTTTTATGCAGGGAGGAAGAAAAAAAAGAGCTTTTGAAATTATACACTTTTCCGCAAAATGATTCACTTTATTGCTTGCTGCTGAAACTCAAAAACTGAAGACCATTATTAATAGACTCTTGTCATTATTTTCACACATCTGTTAAGTACTATTAAGCTATGGTTATTGTTCCTCTTTTTTTTTTTTTTTCTTAACACACCCTTCGTCCCATTTTTGTGACAGAATGAGTACTAATTGCTAACTTGGAAGCAATACTAATAATATTACCAATTGAGCTGATCACACGTCATTAGGCCTACTAAGAAAGCAACAAATGATGTCATTTAATTTGACCTAGAAGGCAAGGAATCCAAAAAAAAATTGTTTGTTTCCTTTTCTTGATGGTATTTTCAAATTAAATTATTATTAACTATTCCATCTCAGCATACTTTTTTTACATTTTCAATACATCTTTTTATATTCTCAATATAAAAAATACTTAAAAATATACACTAAAAAAACGAAACAAACAAACCCGAATTCAATTCTCCAAATTTGTGGATCCCTTTTAAATTTGCAATTGACCATCATTATATTGCCTTTTGGGTTTGGTAGTGGGGTCTTAAATCTCTCGAAGTGTCACAGATCATGAGGACAGAAATTGGAAAGATGTAAAAAGAGGTGAAATTAATAATTTAAATTTTAAAGCTCCCTCCTGTTGCTGTCTCATTTTCTGATCTTCTTTATTTTATTCTTTTGAAGGAAATTCCAATTCACTTTTGACGAAACGCAAAGTTGGGTTCGTAACCATGCTTTTATATTTTAAAGAAACTGGGCCCTGATTCCGAAACAATAATACGGGCCGAAGCTTTGTATTTAGAGAACTTGGACAATTACATTTCGTTCCGTACGGATTTGGGCTATGTTATCTTATCAAAAGACTAGATCCCAACCTAATCCAATCCAATGTGGAAAAAAGTAAGCTAACCCATCATTGCTTTTTCCCCTTTGTGGGCATATGCTAGCTTTTTAGGAATTAGAGGATACTACAATTTATATTTTTTCCTTTTTCTACATGGTGGAGTACACAGCATAAAAATTATAAAAAGTAAATACTGTAGTGTTGTACTAAGTAGAATATGCTCTCTATTTTTTTTTCTTTTTTTTTTCTTAACTGATTTATAATTATTGGCACACAGGAAGAGGCAGAGTTTCTTTCTTTTTCTCTCTTTTTTTTTTTTTTCTTCAGAGCATGGTAGAATAAAAAGCACTGTAATTGGATTTTGTGCTCTGCTCAGCTCAGTCTGAATAGTGCAATGGAGAGTGGAGACTGTCTGAATAAAAGCAGTTCACTGGTACAACATTTTTGACTGCTTTGCATGAGAATGCATATATGACCGGGGATTTAATGAGTTTTTATAAGTATCAAAACTAATCGATTTTTTATGCTAATTAGTGAACCTGCAAAAAAGGATGGTAAGCAAACAAAAATTACAGCAATCCCGAAGCTGGGTTCCGGAAATAGTAACCTCCTCCGTCCCACAAAAATAGTTCATATTAAGTTTTTAAATTTGTACTAAAGATAATACAAAATTTTAAACTCAATTTGGACTATTTTTGTGAGACGGAGGATACTACTTATCAAACTGTGTTTATTTGTACAGAAGTTTGCCCCAAAAACTATGGCCTCCCCTTCCTTAATTGAATGCGGGACATTAACATGTGGGAAGACATTTTGGAAGAAAGGGTCGCGACAAAAACCATGTCGTCCAAATGGCTTAATTCCCCCCACCAAATTACAATGTGTTTCGCTTCTTCTACTTGTTTTAAAAAGCACTGCACCATCCCCTGTTTTTCTTTTGGTCCACTCACTCTATCAAAAATGCCATCCCATCTTTCCATACCATTTCACTCATTTTAGACTATTAATAATTAGTCAAATCTCTGTGATTAATCATATGTGATCCATGGTGAATTATCATTCATTCACATCCATCGTCTTCTGAAGGGCTAATCCATCTTTTAATCTCTGTTTTCTTTTATTTTTCCACATCTCTGCTCCAAATAGTATGGTAAAACCGAATTTCACAGGTGCATCAATTCATATTGGAGGCTGGCGTTGATATTAGCTTTTAAGTAACAGTGTTTTAGCATTAAGCCTGCATCATCATCATCATCATCATCATACAGGATGAGAAAGTGCTTCTTGTTGAGAATTTTGAAGTGGAATCCTGACGTGTTCGGCCCCCCTTTCCATTTGGGTTGTGGTTTCTTAAACTCGATTCGATCTCAGAATGAAAAAAAAAGCTCTCAATTATTCATTCGGGCTTTGGTTATTTATTTATTTTTTTTCTTGTAAAGGATGATCTTGTGGAATGGTTAATTCAAAATAATTTGAACTACATTATCTTGTTGGTATATATACAGAACTATGAATGTATTAAGCGGACGCAAATCTTATATATTTTTGAACTAATCTCCCTAGTCCATTTGATGTGAGTGGATCTCGTATGAGACTTTATACAATTCATTTATATATTGTGTATAATTTCTTGGACCTTTTAAAATTCCCTTCCCCCCGCCATTTTCTTAACCAGTGATGAAAACGAAAATACTTTGAAATGTTGCAATACAAAAGGGGTAAAGAAGATTAGATCTTGACGTGACATTGCAAAAAATGATAATTAACCCAATTTATTTGCCTAACATTATAGTGTTATAAAAAGGTATTTTAAGCTCTACTAGCGGGGTCTTAAGAAGACTTTTAGACTTTGAAAAGCAAATAGGCATTTTGCACTAATCTTCTCTTCCCTTGAGTCTTGTCTTAAGTCGTCGTTTAGTTAGCTGTCAAAGTTCGGTGACTGAAAACTAAGTGCCAATTTAAACAAGGGCAATTACATTGGTTGATGTAAATATAGACATTAAAGTGTTTAGTTTATTAACTAGTTTGGTGCTAGATAATTCCAGTGCATTTTGTATCTTGTTAATTTCTTCTTTCATGTAATATATTGTTATGCGTTGGTAACAGTGATTAATCCGTATTTAAATTAAAATCATCGAGTTATTTTTTATTAATGAAAATGTGACGGGTCTTCTTTTGTTCTCAGCCCCCACACCCTCTCAGAAGGTATCCCATAATTAATAATGCATTGCCTGTAAATTGGGTTGTGTCATCTATTATCTATCATGGATTGTGGTCCATTTTTTCCTCAGTTTGCCTTTCTCTTCTCTATTATTGCCTGCAACTTTTTTTTTTTTTTTTCATTTTTGGCTGTCTCCATACGCATTTGATGAATTATATCAAATGTTTTTTTTCCTGTGCGATGGATTTCATGTAAAAAAATAAATAGACCAATTTCACAGGCAAATTGATAACTGGTAACGTACAATCCAAGAATTGAAACAATGGAAAACATAAGAATAATAAAAAAAAGAAATTCTACTATATTACGAGTCAAATAGATGGGCGTTTTGTTGGCTGGCACGTTGTGACACAATCATGATATGACATTTAAAATATATATATGGCATTCCTCCTCCTACGTAGTACTAACACAACATGGTTAGGTAACCTTTCGTTAACAAACGTCACTGCAAATTGAAATACTATCAATTTAGAGAAAATACTATAATTATTGATTTTTGGTTTGTTGAGTTTGCAATTAGGGATTTTGTTACCTTTCCTTGTATGTATTTTAAATATTCATTTCTAATGTCCGTCCATCTGAAAATAAAAATCGCGTTACAAATTTTTTTAAATATATAAAACTTTTATTGTGTCTCAATAAAATTTATAACGTTTTTTGCATTAAGATAACAAATGAAATTGAATCCAACAACAGAAACGTAATGGTGAAAAACTCTTCTACAAGAACAAAGATTGGTACTATTTTATTATTATTATTATTATTATTATTTGTTGCACAAAGATTGGTAATTTAATATTATTAGTTCTTTTTTATTTTATTTTAGAAGATAGTCTCTCGCCAAAATTAGAACAAGTCCTCCCAAATCAATATTTTCCATTTGGGGCAGAATTGTCAGATCCCATTTTCGTTGTCAGAGAGAGACTCGGAGTTCAGAAATTAACCTCAAACAACGTTACAACTTTTACAAATATACGAAGAAACAAGAACCAGCTTATAAACAACACTTCTGTTACTCACCTCCTTCGGCAATCCCACGCGCCACCGCCGCCACCACCACCGCCACCACAGTCAACCACTTTACCAACGGGTGAACAAACCCAGAAAGAAGATCTCAAAAGTAGTGATAACCGAGGTGATTATTTGTTAAATCAACAACAGAGAGGAGAAAAGGAGTTTTCTAAAAACTAAAAAAGGGTGGCGTTCTTTATGAATTCAAACTTAGCTTTATTTAGCTTGAGGGAGAAATGGGCGGGGTGACGTCATCCATCGCGGCCAAGTTTGCCTTCTTTCCGCCGAGTCCTCCGTCGTACACGGTGGTGGCAGATAATTCCTGTGGTGGGAAGCTCTGCATACCGGAGGTTCCGAGGAGAGATGACGTCGACGTTTTGAAGCTAAGAACTCGGCGGGGAAATGATATCGTGGCCGTCCACGTGAGGCACCCTAAGGCGTCGGCCACCATGCTTTACTCTCATGGTAATGCTGCAGATTTGGGACAGATGTTTGAGCTCTTTGTCGAATTAAGCCTCCGTCTTCGCGTCAATTTGATGGGGTAAAGTTTCTTCCTTTTTGCTTTTTTTTTTTTTCTGCTGTTGCTGCTAATTTGCATTTCTACTTGAATAAGTCGCTGAAATTTCAGTGTTTTTGGCCTCTTTCTATTCTTTGTTTCATGTTCTGATTTTTTTTCTTTTTCGAGCATGAAGATTGAAAGTTTGTTTAATTCGGTGATTTTGTTTTAGTATAAAAGAACTGTCGGCTTTCGGTTGGTTCAAAGAAATAGTTCTGCGTTCCCGGTAGATGAAAGGAGGATTCTTTAATCAAATACGGCATAGTTAGCACCAAAAATATAGTCGGCCTCAAAGAACTGATGCTGAAGACGCTATAGAGTTCGATGGTGTTTTTTAATTTCGTTCAAGTTTGAAATTTTATGAAGCTTCAGGGAGATTGAACTTCTGTAGTTGATTGTGTTACTTTCTTCATCAACACTGTAGCTACAGATTCTAATGTCTAAAGAAGAACAGAGAAAGCATTAATCTGTGTCGGAAATTACTCCTAGCTAGCCATTTCCATGCTTGTAGTTAGCATGTTTACACTCAGTCATACAACTAGTTGCAATTGAAATAACAATTATATACTTATTAAATTCTTATAAGCATGTTAGAAAAAAACCTATGAACTTCCTGTTGCGTATGAAACGAATGCATAGCTTTTCAAATATTTTACTCTCTCCTGGTGAAGGTTTTCATGTATCTCAAATGAAATGAATGCATAGCTTTTCAAATATCTCATCTCATCTCAAATGATAATAATGCTTACCCTTGTCCAAATTGGTTGTCCACAAATAAATAGTATCTCCTAATGATAAAACAGTAAAACATTTCTTTTCTTCCCTGAACAGTCTGTTGTCAATTATTTGTGGAAGCAAGTATGTTTTTGATACTTTATCAGACTGACATGAAACTCTGTAAGTAAAGCAAGTCTCTGATTTCAAGATCTTCTATTTGGTTTTTTTTGCTCAAGTGTAGACATTTTGATCTTCTAGCTTGGATGTAATTTTTTTTCTTCCATTTGATCATTACTAAAGCTAAGGGGATATTGCATTAGGCTCCGGTTTTCTAGCCGTTCAACATTGGTCATTTTAATTGCTTTCATGGTCTTATCTGGATTTTGTGGTCATTTGGTCTCAATTCTGGTTGATGACTGCTTTGGGAAGGTATTGCGCTATAAATTTCCATGAACTGTCTTTCTCTCTCTTACTTTTTGCACTGGCTTTGTCGGTTTAATGATGTTACTCCTAGTTTCTGTTCTTCAAGTCCTCATTCTGTCTCTTAGTTCTTAAAATGATATTCATTCCCCTAATTTTGTTACACATTGTACTCTTCAGGTATGACTACTCTGGCTATGGTCAATCAACCGGAAAGGTTAGATCCACTTTATAACACCATTAGTAGATAGTTTCTTTTGCTTCCCAGTTACTTAATGGTGCATTTGTTCCCTCTGCACACCCTTTTGGATGCAGAAGTCCAATGATTGTTCGTAGCTTTTATCTTTGCCTATCTATGATTGTTCTAATGAAGTTCCTAGCATGAAGCACTCTTACATGAAATTTAAGGAATAGGATCTCTTTGGTGTCTGAGAATCCATAACTTTTAGGATCTTTAGTTTCATTTAACTAGAAAGGTAACGTGGTTGTGCTTCTAAAGCTCCGTTTTGACCCTGAAATTCTAACGTCAACTGGAGGAATAAAGTTGACTGCTTTAGCCTCATCATGTAATTTGAACAAAAAAGGTTCTGCCAGTAAAATGAAGTTTTAACCACATAAATCCTAAAAAGTGTATTTTTACCCCTTTTTCCACTGTGAAGCAGCCAACCGAGTATAATACATATGCGGACATTGATGCAATATACAAATGCCTGAAGGAGCAATATGGAGTGAAAGACGAGCAATTGATTCTCTATGGCCAGTCTGTTGGCAGCGGCCCAACTGTTGATCTAGCATCTCGTGTCCCAAACTTAAGAGGCGTTGTCTTGCATAGTCCAATTATGTCTGGTTTAAGAGTACTGTATCCCGTGAAAAAGACATACTGGTTTGACATATACAAGGTAACATGAATTTATGCAAGCATGCTTTAGATGGCTTCCATTGGTATAAAAATGCTTACTCAATGATAATCTTTGTTTCAGAATATTGACAAAATTGGATTAATAAAGTGTCCTGTACTGGTGATTCATGTAAGTTTTCCTTTTCTCTATTACCTGAATCTTCACCTTTTGGCTTCGTGCACCTTTCTCCTTCCATGCTTCCTTAAGGAACCTTTTTTTTTTTTTTGAAGATTTCCTTAAGGAACTGGTTTTGGTTTGTTTTAAGCAGAAGTGTTTTTTTTTTATAAAATATAAAAAGTCACCCAAATAAACATATCCAAGCCTTAATTTATTGTGGGATTGACTGAATTTGTCAGTGATCTATAATTAAACATTGAAAACATTGGAAAGAATTTTGTAATCCTTCAGAAACAACTTAGTTTTGTGCTGTATGATTCCCATTAATGTAAACATTTCCTACCAAAGCATTTGAATAACGTTATATAATCCATCATTTAGGGAACAGCAGATGAAGTTGTGGACTGTTCTCATGGAAAGCAGCTTGCGGAGCTTTGCAAACAGAAGTATGAGCCTTTGTGGATCAGTGGGGGTGGCCATTGCAATCTTGAACTTTATCCCGAGTACATAAAACAGTTGAAAAAATTTGTATTAACTCTTGGTAAATCGAAGCCAGCAACAAATGGTTCCGAAAAAGCACCTACTGATAATATTAACCAGAGCAAAGTAAGTGAAGGCTCCACCAAAGACACATTTGAGCTGCGGCCTGAAGTTTCAGAAATTTCTAGGAACAGTTTAGATAGTCGGCTTGAAAAGTCTAAGAAGCCAAACAAGCCTGAAAAGTCGAGAATGAGCACAGACCGTTTTGATAGATTTAGGAGGAGAAAGGGTTTGGTCTGGTGATTTTTCTGTGTGTAACTTATTCAATGATAACACGCTAAAAGAATGCATGATTTCTTGTATCTGTAAAAGTGGATAAAGTCTGCACAACTGCACCTATCTTGATGTACTAAGTTGGAGAGTAGAGAGGAAACAAGTTCCTTTTAATCCTTCTTCCTTACTGTGTATATTCAACTGTTTTACTTTGATTTAGACTTTTGACTCGTTTGTAGTTTGCTACCTCATACTTATTTCACATTCATGTATAAGATGAAAATGTTGTCTTATGTCTGTTTCTTGATTGTTTATTATAGCTGATCTTTCTTTCTTTTGATGAATAAGATCTGGCGTCGTGAAATCGACTTTTGGGACGTGGCATGCTTACCCAAAAAGGTGAACACGATCTTCAATTTGGTTGCCAGTTTAGAGGGATTTACTGAAGTTTGAAAAGTCTTCACGAGACATTGACGTCCAATACCAGTAAACTTGATCAATTCAAACTGAAACTCCATTTTCTTCTTTCACACTTTCAGTTCTTGAAGACTTGAAGAGTCCACGGCCACACTAACAGTCAAGAGTTCTGCTTAATGATGATTTCATGCTGTTCCTTCTGGTCTCCTATCTCAATTCTCCCAGCTTATGTTTCTTCTCTGTGAAGGATGGATTCCCTTCGCACTGTTTCTCTGTTGGGCATTGTTATTCTAAGCTTGAGTTTGATGCACATCCCAACATCTTTCTGTCAGGATCCCCAATATTTAGCCTGCGGTCGTGAGTTCCGTTGTGGAAACATTGCTTTCGCATATCCCTTTTGGATTGAGAATGAACAAAGCTCTGCTTGCGGTTATCCAGGTTTCCAGGTAACTTGCCAAACTAATATCCCCCGGATTTTGATCGGGCAAGTGACATACCGAGTCCTAAAACTTGGGGGAACTGTTACTATTGCAAGAGATGATCTGTGGAACAATTTCTGTCCAACATTTCTCATGAACACTACTTTGGATTTCAACATCTTTAGTTATTCAGACAGCAATGAAAACCTCACGCTGTCTTATGGTTGTACCTCTTCTGCTCCTGCTGCGGAGACAAAGCCTTCAAATGAGTTTGTTTGTGTTGTAAATGACACCACTTCTTCTAGTTTTTTCACCTCAACTAATGTAATTAGCTCCAACACAACCAACCCTCTTCCCCTTAAATGCAATAGTAGCATATTTGTACCAATTCATCAGACTGCTGCTAAGAATTTGAAGGACACTGCAGCTCTAAGAGCTGCGCTGGCTGCTGGCTTCACATTGCGATATGAAGCAAATAATACAATCTGTAAAGGATGCATTCAGACTGGTGGGCGATGTGGGTACAATCATGCTTCCAGTTCATTTGTGTGCTACTGCTATAGTGGTGCACAGGATTTTGTATGTTATAATGGTATGTACTTCTTTTCTGACGCTTTGCCTTTACGGAAATGGTAAGACTATCTTATGCATTTAGCCTTGGATTGTTTCCATTACAAGTTATTATCCCTGAAACATTTTTTTTGTCTCCTTAAATGAAACTGCAGGGGCAGGCAGTCGGTGGATATTTGGAGCAATTGGTAAGAAATAAGAATTTGTGCATCTTACATGACGTCAATCTCGTTTCATCTATCCATTAAAATTGACCTTTGACATTAATATGCAGGCCTCGCAGTAGGTAATGCAATCCTTGCATCATCAGTGGTTGTAATAATTTACTACCTTGCAAAAAGATACTCATGGTTGGAGTCAATAATCTACTGGAAGTTGGATGAAGAAGGCAACCTTCTTGTTCAGGAATTTATGAGGAATCACGGATTCATTGCTCCCAAATTATATACATATCCAGAAATCAGGAAGATGACCAATTCATTTGCTGAGAAATTAGGGCAAGGAGGTTATGGTTGTGTGTACAAAGGTAAGCTACCTGATGGTCGTCACGTGGCAGTGAAGGTCTTGAATGAAAACAAGGGGAACGGCGAGGAATTCATCAATGAAGTTGCCTCTATTAGCAAGACTTCCCATGTCAACGTTGTAACTCTCTTAGGCTTCTGTTACAACAAGAAAAAGAGAGCATTGATTTATGAGTTTATGCCTAATGGATCTTTGGATAAGTTCATATGTAAGAAGGAATCATCCCTGGATACGACGAAGGATCATCTGGAGTGGAAGTTGCTGTTTAAAATTACAGTTGGAATTGCAAGAGGTCTGGAATATCTGCACCAGGGTTGCAACACAAGAATTGTTCATTTCGACATAAAGCCTCAGAATATACTTCTGGATGCAGAATTCTGCCCAAAGATAAGCGATTTCGGACTGGCTAGATTATACCAGAGGAAAGAGAGTCTTATGTCAGCGTTGGGTGCAAGGGGAACTGTAGGATACATTGCACCAGAAGTGATTTTTCGAAACTTTGGAGGTGTCTCTCATAAATCTGATGTCTACAGTTATGGCATGATGGTTCTTGAAATAGTTGGGTTGAGAAGGAAACTCGATAAGGATTCACAACAAACAACCGAAAGCTATTTTCCAGATTGGATATATGAACATATAGAGGTTGGAAAAGACCTGCCACTAGAAGGCGTCTCAACTGAGGAAGAGGAAGATACTGCAATGAAGATGATTCTAGTGGCGCTATGGTGCATCCAGACAAATCCAGCTGAGAGACCATCAATTAGTAAGGTTGTGGAAATGCTTGAGGGTAGCCTTCGGTTCTTACAAATCCCACCAATGCCTTCTCTGGTCTCCCACACAACAGTGAATTTCAACCAAGAATCTTGTACAACATCATCAATTCTGAGACAAACTTGGCCAGATAGTATTTCTAGTTATCAGTAAGAGCAGAGAAGAGTACATCAGGTGCCTGTCCCCTTCCAAGGATGTATGCAATGTGTATTTTAAATGTTTCTGTTTCCATTTCCTCTTGCAACCCAAAATGTAAAGTCAGGTTCTTGAAATCTTTATTCTTATTTACCACCAAAACGCAAGTTCTTACATAAGAAAGAGGGATCATCACATGATGTGTCAAGGGGTGATTTGGAATGTGGCATTACGACCGCTGATATCTTCGTCGGGATAATTAGGTCGACCACAATCTCGATGTAAAGTAAGGCCTTTTCACAACACAGTTTCTCAAGTTAGAAAGGTAATTCCCAAAAGTTTATACACAAGGTTGAACAATTCGTACGACCCTCTATTTTGAACTTAAAAAAAAAAAGCAGTTGATGGAAGACTCAACTGTATGAGTCAATGTTTATTTTACTCATGTTGTCAAGAGCTTTATTTGAAAGATTCTGCATCTCCAAGATCCTGTTCCTGTTTTTCCAGTTGACTTGTTTCTTGCACGCGAAAGATGCATCTCCTTCGCATTTCTCCCCTGCTCATTGTTCTTGTAACCTTTGCGTTGACACACATCCCAAAAGCTTTCAGCCTGGATCAAGAATTTTTGGCCTGTGGTGTTGGCTATCGGTGTGGAGGCATTAACTTCACATATCCTTTCTGGAATGGGAGTGCTGGAAACCTTGTCTGCGGTTATCCAGGTTTCCAGGTAAGTTGCCTAGCCGATATACCCCGGATGACAATCGGGCAAGTAATATACCGAGTTCTCTACCTTGATTACCCTTTGAGAACTGTTACTGTCGCCAGAGATGATCTTTGGAACGATACTTGTCCTGGAGTTCTCAAGAACACTACTTTGGATTTCAACATGTTTAATTACTCTAGCAATACCCAAACTGTCACTCTGTCATATGGCTGTATTTCTTCTGTTCCTGGTGGTGGTGCCACAGCAAAGCCTGTGAATGAGTTTGATTGTTTTATAAACGATACAACTACTCGCAATTTTTTCACAAGAAGTGATGTAATCAGCTCCAATACAAACAACCCTCCTTCCTTTAAGTGCAATAGTAGCATACTTGTACCTGTAAATCGGTCTGCAGCTCAGAATTTGACTGCTACTGGAGCTCTAAGAGCTGCGCTGACTGCTGGCTTCACATTGCAGTATGAAGCAAATAGTAGAATCTGTACAAGATGCATTCAGACAGGTGGCCGATGTGGGTATAGTTATGCTTCCAGTCTATTTGTGTGCTACTGCTATGATCGTGCCTATGATTTGACATGTCCTGGTATGTGTGTTTCTTTTTTCAGGCATTTTAGCTGGGGTGGAAAATTAAAATTTACTGCAATTAGCTTATTCCGTACAGTTTAAATTTCCTTATGAAAGCGACCTGGAATTTCTTGACCGACAATTGAACTGCAACCCAACCATGAAAGAGGTGAGGACAGGGAAGGCTCGGCATGGCTCCATTTTGGGAGCAATCGAAATTAAATGATTGTGTTGCATTCCTTATAAACAATTTTTTTTAGAATTTATTATACTAGGTTTTTGTCTGCTTTTGGTGAAAGTAGAGCACATCAACCGAACCACTCAAATATTTTGTTCTGGTATATATAATTAGTTGTGTACTATGTATGTTGCTGTGATTTTTCTAACGCTTCTCTTATCTTGTGCTTTAGTTGGCAACTTTGGTGTAAAACAGGTTTAGCGCCTTCAACATTTGCAGGTAATCCTTAAAATCTGTGCTTCAAAGTTGAGTATCACCCATTGTTATGCTAAACATAAAATACGCCATGCAGTGATCATCATATTCTCTGCTGGATTATTGTTTGGCACAATACTGTTCTGCTGTCTCCGCAAAAGGAAATCATTGTGGGAGGCAGTGATCTACTGGAATTCGCAAAAAAAACATAATGAACTAGTTCAAGAATTTATGAGGAGGTACGGATCCATTGCCCCAAAGCAGTACACCTATTCAGAAATCAAGAAGATGGCCAACTCATTTAAGAACAAATTAGGCCAGGGTGGGTATGGTTGTGTTTACAAAGGTAAGCTTCCTGATGATCGTCAGGTGGCTGTTAAGGTCCTGAATGATAGCAAGGGAAATGGAGAGGATTTCATCAATGAAGTTGCTACTATTAGTAGAACTTCACATATAAATGTTGTCACTCTTCTAGGCTTCTGTTTCAACAGGAAAAAGAAAGCATTGATCTATGAGTTCATGCCTAATGGATCCTTGGACAAGTTCTTGTGTAAAAAGGATTCATCACAGAATGCGACAGTGGATCATTTGGAGTGGAAAATATTGTACAAAATTGCAGTTGGCATTGCACGAGGTCTGGAATATCTACACCAAGGTTGCAACACAAGGATTGTACACTTTGACATAAAGCCTCAGAATATTCTTCTGGACGCAGACTTCTGTCCCAAGATCAGCGATTTTGGCCTGGCTAGATTATACAAGAGGAAAGAGAGTATTTTATCTACAATGACTGCCAGAGGAACCATTGGATATATTGCTCCAGAAGTGATTTTTCGAACCCTTGGAGGTGTGTCTCATAAATCTGATGTCTATAGTTTTGGAATGATGGTTCTCGAAATGGTTGGTTTGAGAAGGAAATCTGAGACTGACTCACAACAAACTAGCGAAAATTATTTTCCAGATTGGATATATGAGCAAGTGGAAGCTGGAAAAGACCTACCACTCGAAGATGTATCTAATGAAGAGGAGGAAGAGACAGCAATGAAGATGATTTTAGTAGGGTTATGGTGTATCCAAACTAATTCAGCTGAGAGACCATCAATTAGCAAGGTGGTAGAAATGCTTGAGGGTAACCTTCAATCCATACAAATTCCACCGAAGCCTTCTCTAGTTTCACCTGCAGCTGCCACTTCCAACCAGGAATCTTGGGCAACATCATCCATTTTATGAAAAACATGGCCAGACAGACACTTCTTCCTGAGCAAAATTACCCAACAAATACTGTGTAAGCTGCCTGCTTTCCTTCCATTAGCATACACAAGTTGTAGGTTTAAAATTAAAACTTTCACTAGGTATATATTGAGAGACAGGAACCCCTCTACATTTTAATCTACGCAGTCCAAATCTGTAAACTACCATTGCATGACACTCTCTACAGTTCAGTTAACCTTCGCAATGTACCGTGATCACTGTCCCGTTTTGTTAACTAGCATGAATCTCAAACTAATTTTTCTAAATCCTTTTGAATCAGAAAGTTTCATTCTTTAATCTACATAAGCTAAGCAAATATTTCGAGGTCCGAAGTGGTTTTGAAATCTTGCAACGTCTAAGAGAGAAGACCTTCACTTTCAAAACATATTTTCCAACTTGGCTGCGGATCAACTCGGGTTTGAAAAGTCTCGCGAGAATTTGAGGTCGAACCCTGATGGATGGAGCCACACAACTGAACCTGCTTTTTCCCTCATTCATTAATTATGGATCCAAGACTTCGACTTTATTAGTCAACGGTTGTCGTGTCGAGTGTCAGCTTGATGATTATGCAGTTCTGTTCTGTCCCAGCTTCTACTTTGATTTTTTGCCAAACTGAGTGTTCTTCCCGGGTGAAAGATGCATTTCATTGGAATCATTCCCCAGTTGTGCATTGTTCTTCTTCTTCTTCTGAGCTTGGGTTTGATTCACATCCCAACATGTTTCTGTCAGGATCCACAATATTTGGCCTGCAGTGAACCGAACCAGTGCGGTGGTATTGACTTCAACTTTCCCTTTTGGAATGGGGATGAACCAAACTTGGGTTGCGGTTATCCAGGTTTCCAGGTAAGTTGCCAAGCTGATATCCCCCGGATTTCGATTGGGCAATTAGCCTTTCGAATTCTCAACCTTGATTACCCCGTTAAAGGAACTCTTAACCTTGCCAGAGATGATCTATGGAACACAAATTGTCCTACTTTTGTCAGGAATACAACTTTGGACTTCACCATCTTTAATTACTCTAACAACACCAAACTCATCACTCTGTTTTACGGTTGTACTAACTTGTCTTCCTTTCGTGCTGCTGCCTCCTCAAAGTCTCCTAACTTGTTTGATTGTTTTGTAAACGGTACAACAACTTCAAATCTTTTTTACCCTGTAATGGATAACGGAATCAACCCTTATGCTGTTAAATGCCACAACCGCATATATGTACCTGTTCATAACGCTGCAGCTTGGAATTTGACGGATAGTCAATCTCTACGAGATTCGTTAACGGCTGGCTTTACATTGAAATATGAAGCAAATGGTACAAATTCAATCTGTGAAGGCTGCATTCAGTCAGGTGGGAGATGTGGGTATAATTATGCTTCCACTTCATTTGTCTGCTACTGCTTTGATCGTCCCTACCTTCTGGCATGTAATGGTATGCGATTTCTTCTCAGTTCTTTCCGCCTTTCTGTTACGGCAGGCATTGATATACGAGTGCTTTAAGCCTTACCATTCTCCCTGAATCTTGCCATTGTTTTCGTTATTTGAAATTTTAGGGGGAACCAGGAGCAGGGGACGGAAGTTTCTGGTCATTGGTAATATATAAAAATTTGTAGCACATTACTTTAAGTTCACTCCCATTTCGTAAGTTTAATCTCAGGACCTTTGGCCTTTTTTAATTTGCAGGCCTTGTTGTGGTAGGCAATCCTATCATTATATCTGCAGTGTTGATCTTAATTTACTGTGCCAAAAGGTACAAATGGCTGAAATATGGAAAGTCGGACGAAGAGAGCAACCATCTTGTCCAGGAATTCATGAAGAATTATGGATCCATTGCTCCTAAGCTCTATAACTATTCAGAAATCAAGAAGATGACTAATTCCTTCGCTGATAAATTAGGGCATGGAGGTTATGGGTGTGTATACAAAGGTAAGCTACCTGATGGTCGTCTCGTGGCGGTAAAAGTCTTGAATGATGATAAAGGGAATGGCAAGGATTTCATCAATGAAGTCGCGTCCATTAGGAGGACTTCTCATGTTAACGTCGTGAAACTTTTGGGCTTCTGTTACAACAATGAGAAGAGAGCATTGATATATGAGTTCATGCCTAATGGATCCTTGGACAAGTTCATCCATCAAAAAGAGGGATCATCATCGCCTGATGCGACAAAGGGTCATTTGGAGTGGAAATTACTATATGAAATTACCATCGGCATTGCACGGGGATTAGACTATCTCCATCGAGGTTGCAACACGAGAATCGTCCATTTTGGCATTAAGCCTCAGAATATACTTCTGGATGAGGATTTCTGCCCCAAGATAAGCGATTTCGGCCTAGCTAGATCATATAAGAAAAAGCAGAGTATTTTATCCACGATGACCGCCAGAGGAACTATTGGATACATCGCTCCAGAAGTAATATTCCCAAGCTTCGGAGGTGTGTCTCATAAATCTGATGTTTATAGTTATGGAATGATGGTTCTCGAAATAGTCGGCCTGAGAAGGATACTTGAGCCTGATTCTCAACAAAGTAGCGAAAACTATTTTCCAGAATGGATATACGAGCATGTAGAAGTTGAAAAAGACCTACCACTCGAAGGCCTAACGAATGAAGAGGAGGAAGAGATTGCTACGAAGATGATCCTAGTGGCACTATGGTGCATCCAGACAATTCCAGCTGACAGGCCATCCATCAGTAGAGTGGTCGAAATGCTTGAGGGAAGCCTTCAATCCTTACAGATTCCACCAAAGCCTTCTCTATTTTCTCCTGCAGATATGAATTTAAACTTGCAGCAGTCTAAGGCAACAACATTATCAAGTTATGAGGCATAACGGTCTCAGGTCAACCAACACTGTTATTTATAATTGTCCATTGGGTTGCTTGTATGGCCATGGAAATGGTAAAAGCCGCGAAATTCTATAATTGTATGCTAATACCACAAGTTATGAGTGTCAGCCTTTGAATTGCTCTCTTTGAGATTCTAATCAGAGGCTTGAACCTAAAATGCACTAGTAGTTGGATTAGAGTTAGGCTCATTGCCTGTGATATAGAAAAATCAAAGTACTATATTTTAATCAAACTTTGTAGCAGAGAGAACAAGTTCTCTATCAAAGGAAGATCCGTCTTGAAACTATAAGAAGGAACTAGTGCTACCACTTACTCCTTTGCACTCAACATGTGATTACAACTTTCAGATCTATATTGCAGTTGGATATGTCCTTAACTCAACTTTCGCTTTGGCACGCCGAGATGTCAGTTTCACTAAATTGTGAGCTTCTGTTCCGTCCATCCTTAAACTACAAATAGGACTCTAATTTTGGGACGAAAGAAGCATCTTTTAGCTTGCAGATTGGTTGTGAAGCCAAAATGCAGTGAATTTGATTTTGCGCAAAGAAACAACCAATGAGTTGAAGAAATGCGTCAGCTAGGTCATCCTCTGCACTTTCACTGATTTCCATCCATTCAATATTATCCCACCGCATCAACTCTACCTGCAGAATTTGCCAATACGAAATGGCTGATTTTTTATTTATTTTTTGCTGAAAACGAAATGGCTGATTTTATGAACAGAAGAAGCCTATATTTATTTTTGGAAGGAAGGCAGCAAGTTCCCTTAATTTCAAATCAAACAAAACCAAGTCAAAGTCATCCCCAACACTCCAAACAGAAGCTTCTGAGTAAGGGACCTCTTCTCTTCTGAGTCTATTTTAAAAAACAAGAGGTCAAAAGCCGTTGCCTAAAATTCTTCAGATGCAAAAGAATCACAAGTCTAATTTCAGTTTACTCTCACCAAAGTTCATTTCCTAGTAGGAGATGCTGAATTGCTTTCCAATCCCGTCTTTCTTCCTGATAATTACCATCTTCACGCTGTTTGGCATCCCAAAGTGTTTATGCCAGGATGGGCGTTACGTATTCTGTGGAAATGTGTATCAGTGCGGAAACATCCAGTTTAGGTATCCTTTCTGGGGAGGAAATCGCCCGGAGAATTGTGGGTATCCTGGTTTTGAAGTGAATTGCGTATCAAGTAGTGTTCCCCGGATTACGATTTCATCGCAACAATACCTGGTTGTCAATTCTCCGGACATCACAGCCAATACTGTGACAGTTGCAAGAGAGGATCTTTCTAACAACATCTGTCCACAAGACCCAAAGGATACCGCCATAAACTTTACCATCTTCAATCCTTCCAACACCCAAAACCTGACTCTGTACTACGGCTGCCCCACAATTACTCCTCCTCCTCTGTTTGAGTTCCCCTGTACTACGAATGGAAACACTACCGCCAACTATTTCAATATGCTCGGGTCGAACCAAGGCATCACGATCCCCTCTGGCTGCGATCGTATCATTACCGTTCTGGTTGATCAGGATGCGGTTCGGAATTTGGGGAGCTCTGCTGGTTTAAATAGTGTTCTGAGGGCTGGATTCACTTTGAAATACGAGGCGGAAAATGCAAACTGTCTGAGATGTTTGCAGTCAAGAGGCCAATGTGGGTATGATTCCGGTTCGTTCGTCTGTTACTGCGCCGACCGTGCCTACACTCGGGAATGCAACGGCACCGCCGCCGGCACCCCTAGTGGAAACGGTATGTACGATTTTATGTGCTATTTGTTCTTTCGTCCGCAGCTTCCTCTCGTCGTTGTGGGTTTTTAACGGTTAACACTTAACACTAATCCGTCTAGTTCCTTTTTTTTTTTGCCTGATTTCCTCTCGTTAAATTCTATGGATTCCGTTTGAGGTTTTAGGTGATTTGGGATCCCTTTGTAGAAATTTTAACCAGCGATAGAGTCTGTTAGCGTCCTGAGATCAAAACCAATTCTTATCCATTAAATTAAACCACCATAATGAAAGCGAACAGAAAGTGTTGATCGACCTCTGTTTTTGTTTTGTTTTTCCTTCACTCCAAACAGAAATGAACTTGCTTGTTGTGTTATTATTACATAAACGTGTGAACTTTCGTGCCTTGACGATAATCTGTACAAAATGGATAGATTCGGATTTGACAAATCCAAGACAACTAGTTTTATATTCATTTATTCAACCCTTTTCGTTACAAAGACTTTTGGAAAGTTCAAGGGTCAGAGTTCAAATTTTCTCTGTAAAACCTGTTTTTGGTTCTCTTAAAATTATTTGCAGGAGGAAGCAGAAGTAGTGGTTGGACAGTGAAGATAACCGGTAAGATAAAGATATTTTTGTGCATCTTACTTAAACATAAGGGGTGGCTGAAGACGGGAAGTTTAATTGTATCGTATTTACTTTTGACTCTTTGAGTTTAATTTGCAGTCCCTGTAGTTGCAATCTCTGTCACCCTATTGACCGTGGTTCTAGTAATTTATTACCTAGCAAAAAAGTACTCATGGCTGGAATCAATCAGCTATTGGAGGAAGTCAGACAAGGGAAGAGACCTTGTTGTTGAGGAATTTATGAGGAATTTCGGATCCATGGCTCCTAAGTTGTACACATTCTCTGAAGTCAGAAAGATGACTAATTCATTTGCTGACAGATTAGGCCATGGAGGATTTGGTTGCGTATACAGCGGTAAGCTACCAGATGGTCGTCGAGTAGCTGTGAAGGTCCTGAATGATAATAACAAGGGGAATGGCGAGGATTTCATCAATGAAGTCGCATCTATTAGCAGAACTTCCCATGTTAACGTTGTAACTCTTTTAGGCTTCTCCTACAACAACAAAAAGAGAGGGTTGATATATGAGTTCATGCCTAATGGATCCTTGGATAAGTTCCTATGTAAGAAGGAATCCTCTCCGGATATGATGAAGGATCATTTGGAGTGGAAATTGTTGTATAAGATTATAGTTGGAATCGCGCAAGGTCTGGAGTATCTACACAAGGGTTGCAACACAAGGATTGTACATTTTGACATAAAGCCACAGAACATACTTCTGGACGCGGACTTCTGCCCTAAGATAAGCGATTTTGGGCTAGCTAGATCATATAAGAAAAAAGAGAGTATTCTATCCACAATGACAGCTAGAGGAACTATCGGATATATTGCCCCAGAAGTGGTATATCGAAGCTTTGGGGGTGTTTCGCACAAGTCTGATGTCTATAGTTATGGGATGATGGTTCTCGAAATAGTTGGATTGAGAAAGAAACCCGACATTGATCATTCGCAACAAATTAGTACAGATCAGTATTTTCCGGATTGGATACATGAGCACCTGGAAGTTGGAAAAGATCTACCACTGGAAGGTGTGAGCAATGAAGAGGAGGAAGAGACAGCAATGAAGATGATCTTAGTAGGGCTATGGTGCATCCTAATGAATCCAGCAGAGAGACCATCAATTAGTAAGGTGGTAGAAATGCTGGAGGGTAGTCTTCAGTCCATTCAGATTCCACCAAAGCCTTCTTTAGTGTCTCATGTAGCCTTGAGTTTCAACTAGGAGTCTCTTACAACATCTTCAATTTCATGACTATCAATGAATGGCTGTATGGCTATGAATATTTTCCTTAACTTCAAGGAAAATATTTTCCTTTCCTTTTTCTTTTTTCCCGTCAATTGCAAAGAACAGAAAAACGCAGAACTTCAAGGAAACTTATTTATGTCCATGAAAGCCAGTTTAGGCTTAGCCAAAATTTAAGCCCAGTTTGTACATCTTTAGTCCTGTATTTATTTTTCTAAAAAGAAACACAAGAAATCGCTTTATTCTTTGATCAACTGTATAAGCCACTGATATCGCGATAGTGAATACTTTACTATATGCCAGGAAAATGAAAAATTGGAATATGTAAACATTGTACAAGGAAAAGGAGCATTGAAACTAGTGGAAAAGCTACATGCAATGTAAGCGAAGAAATTAATCGGTGTTGTGTATAAGCTACACAATTTTATTATTATTTTTTTCCAATAAAAGAGGCGAAAATCCAAATATATTAAATTTAAAAATAAATCATGTGTGGCTAAGAGATACTCATAATATTGTGCTCCGACCACAGCTTAATTCGTGATAGTAGATCGTGTTACCAATGCAACTCCCTAAGGCTTTCAGCAGTTAAAGATGTCAAAACATCTTTAGCCCCAGGTCCATTCTCGAATAGACCCCTAATAGCCTCCAGGTTTTCAGTTAAGTTGCCCAGATGATGATATCCCTCGAATCACCATCGGGCAAGTAATGTATCGAGTCCTCTACCTCGATTTCCCCGTCAAGAAAACTGTTACTGTTGCAAGAGACGATCTTTGGAATAATACTTGTCCTAGGTATCTCAAGAACACTACTTTAGATTCCAACATCTTTAGCCTCACTAACAAAAAATGTAAATCTTACGCTCTATTACACTTGTTCCTGGAGGGACTAAGTCATGGAATGAGTTTGATTGGGTTGTGAATGGTACGGCCACTACTCGAAATTTTTTCTGTCCAGGTGATTCGATTAGTCCTTTTGCCTCCAAGTGCAATAGTAGCATATTTGTACCTGTCAATCAGGATGCAGCTCAGATTTTGATAGGTAATGGAACCCTGAGAGCTTTGCTATCTGCTGGCTTTACTTTGCAATATGAAGCCAATAATACAGCGTGTGACATTTGCATTCGGACTGGCGGGCGATGTGGTTATAATTATGCTTCCAGTTCCTTTGCGTGCTACTGCTTTGATCGTCCACAGGATCTATCATGTCCAGGTTTTTGTGCTTTTTCTTTTCTTTTCTTGAACATAGTATTTGTTCTCCCTGTTGCTGTGATTTGCATAACACTTAAATTTTTATCTGTTAATAAAGATGTAGGATATGGACTTAAATCCTTTTTCTGTTAACAAAGATGTAGGATATGGATATACCAAGAGAGGGGTTTCAAGAGTTGCACGTATTCGGTAATGTTTGTGCATCTAAGTACAGTCCTCCCCTGTCTTTATGCTAACATAAAATGCATATACAGTTCTCACATTAGTGTCTGCTGGATCATTGCTTGGCTCAATACTTCTCTGCTGCCTCGCCAAAAGGAAGTCGTGGTGGGAGGCAATGATCTACAGGAAGTTGCAGAAAAGACATAATGAACTCGTTCAAGAATTTATGAGGAGTTATGGATCCATTGCTCCTAAGAGATACGCCTATTCAGAGATCAAGAAGATGACCGACTCGTTTAAGAACAAATCAGGCCATGGTGGTTATGGTTGTGTTTACAAAGGTCAGCTGCCTGATGGTCGTCAGGTGGCTGTTAACGTCCTGAATGATAGCAAGGGAAATGGTGAGGATTTCATTAATGAAGTTGCCACCATTAGTAGAACCTCCCATATTAATGTAGTCGCTCTTCTAGGCTTCTGTTTCAACAGGAAAAAGAAAGCATTGATCTATGAGTTCATGCCTAATGGATCTTTGGACAAGTTCTTGCGTAATAAGGATTCATCACAGAATACGGTCATGGATAATTTGGAGTGGAAAATATTATACAAAATGGCAGTTGGCATTGCACGAGGTCTGGAATATCTTCACCAAGGTTGCAATACAAGAATTGTACATTTTGACATAAAGCCTCAGAATTTACTTCTGGATGCAGACTTTTGTCCCAAGATCAGCGATTTTGGCCTGGCTAGATTATACAAGAGGAAAGAGAGTATTTTATCTACAATGACCGCCAGAGGAACTATCGGATATATTGCTCCAGAAGTGATATTCCCAACCTTTGGAGGTGTGTCTCATAAATCTGATATCTATAGTTATGGAATGATGGTTCTCGAGATAGTTGGCTTGAGAAAGAAACCCGAGATTGAGTCACTGCAAACCAGTGATAACTATTTTCCAGATTGGATATATGAGCGTGTGGAGATAGGAAAAGACCTACCACTCGAATATGTATCAAACAAAGAGGAGGAAGAGACCGCGATGAAGATGATCTTAGTGGCGCTATGGTGCATCCAGACAAATCCAGTTGAGAGACCATCGATTAGTAAGGTGGTGGAAATGCTAGAAGGTAGCCTTCTATCCATACAGATTCCACCAAAGCCTTCTCTAGTTTCTCCTGCAGCCATGAGTTTCGACCAAGAAGCAGGGCCAACATCATCATCCATTTCATGACAACTTATTTAGTTAGCTATAAGTAACTATCTAATAGCCGGAAAGTTGTAAATTGATTACTTGTTTGTATAAATATTTGCCACCAGTTGTGGATTCAGACTGACGAGTCCAGATCCATCACCTCCAACGGGCCCGGCCCACTACTCGGCTTTAGGGTCAAAACCGCCACGGATATGGTGGTTTATTATTACTAACCCTAGTAATAATCGGATGCCTCCCAAGTCTATAAATAGGGACCTATATTCCACACTAAAGGTACGCAATCTTGACTATCATATCAATACAGACATAACCCTATTTTCTGACTTAAACTTCGGAGTGTCTACCTCTGTTTTGCAGGAAACCCTAGTCGGAGTTTCACCCTACACCGGCGGTACAATTCCAGGTATCGTCACAGACCTTCAATAGGTAAGAGATGTTAATGGATGGTACTGGCACCAATTACAGTTCTTTGTTGTTTGTCAATTGCATTGGAGAGAAATACCATGAGTCGCAATCCTAGTTTCTTGGAAACTCAAGGTATGATCATTACAAACTCATTTTTCTATGGAATCTAGAGTTGCACTCTTCAATCTGTACAAGCTAATCAATGTTTCTGGTGGTAAAAAGGTTTTGAACTCTCTAACAAAATCTGAGTGGACAAACAATGTTTTCATTGAATTTTAGGCATTCATTCATGTCTGACTATTAAACCGAGCCGCCGAAACATCCTTACTGCCCTCATTTTTCTTCCTTTTTCAATAATTGATGAAGACTTTCGACTGAAAGAACCAATATTTATGTATTGGATCCACAATTCTTAGCTCCTAACTCCATATTTTCTTATTGAAATTTCTTCCCCTTTCAAAGATGCATAATCTCCTTCGCATAATTTCTCTCTTGTTCGTTGTTCCGCTGAGCTTGATTTTGATCCGAATCCCAAAATCTTACTGCCAGGATCAACACTTTTTAGCCTGCAGCGATGCAAATCACTGCGGAAACATTAACATCACTTATCCCTTTTGGATTGAGAATGAAGAAAACTCTGGTTGTGGTTATCCAGGTTTCCAGGTAAGTTGCCAAGCTGATGTCCCCCGGGTTTCAATAGGGAAAGTAGTATACAGAATCCTAGACCTTAGTTACCCTGCTAATGGAACTGTTACTGTTGCAAGAGATGATCTCTGGAACACTGTTTGTCCTACATTTCTCCAGAACACTACTTTAGACTTTGATAAATTTAGTTACTCTAGTGATACCGAAAACCTCACTTTGTCTTATGGTTGTACTTCCTCTGCTCCTGGACTGTCAAAGCCTTCCAACGAGTTTGATTGTTTAGTCAATAATACAATCACTTCGAGTTTTTTCAATGTAATCAGCTCGAATACAACCAACCCTTCTCATTTTAAGTGCAATAGTAGCATATATGTACCAGTTCCTCATGCTGTAGCTCAGAGATTGAAGGATTCCGAAGGTTTAGGAGCTGCGGTGGCTGCTGGTTTTACGTTGCTATATAAAGCAAATAATTCAATCTGCGAAGGATGCTTGCAGTCTGGCGGGCGATGTGGGTATAATAAAGATTCCAGCTCATTTGTGTGCTTCTGCTATGACCATGCGTACAATTTGGTATGTAATGGTAAGTCTACTTTGTGTCTCAGTTTTTTACATTTTTATATTACACCGGATTCGGTTGAAGTTACTGTTGCGCACAGTTCAATGTGATCCTTGTAAGGCTAAATTCCTCTTTCTCTTTTAATGGCATCGTAGAATCAGGGAGTGCTGGAAAGCATTCTAGATCTGCAGGTAATGCATAAAAACGCTGTGCATCTAATTATTTGAAGTCCTACTTGTTTGTTACGCAAATTGATAACAGCTCAGATGTACATGCAGTTCTGTTGCCTGTCATTCTTGTGACCATTTCATTATTGACCACAACAACAATCTGCTATATCGCTAAAAGATACTCATGGTGGAAGGCAGCCGAGGGAAACAACCAATTGGTTCAAGAATTCATGAGGAGTCACGGATCCACCTCTGCTGCCAAGCTGTACACCTATTCAGAAATAAAGAAAATGACCAGTTCTTTTAAGAACAAATTAGGTCATGGTGGTTATGGTTGCGTATACAAAGGTAAGCTACCTGATGGTCGTCGCGTTGCAGTAAAAGTATTGAATGGTGACAAAGGGAATGGCGAGGAGTTCATCAATGAAGTTGCTGCTATCAGCAAAACTTCACATGTTAACGTTGTAACTCTATTAGGCTTCTGTTACAACAGCAAAAGGAGAGCATTGATCTACGAGTTCATGCCTAATGGATCCTTGGATAAGTTCATATGTCAAAAGGATTCGTCACAGGCTATGACAAACGATTACTTGGAGTGGAAACTATTGTACAAAATTGCAGTTGGCATTGCTCGAGGTTTGGAGTATTTACACCAGGGTTGCAACACCAGAATAGTTCACTTTGACATCAAGCCTCAGAATATACTTCTGGATGCAGACTTCTGTCCTAAGATCAGTGATTTTGGCTTAGCTAAATTGTATAAGAGAAAAGAGAGTATTTTATCGACATTGACTGCCCGAGGAACAGTTGGATATATCGCGCCAGAAGTGTTTTGTCGGAACTTTGGTGGTGTGTCTCATAAATCAGATATCTATAGTTATGGAATGATGGTTCTTGAAATGGTCGGCTTGAGAAGAAAACCCGAAATTGATCCACAAGAAACAGGTGAACTGTACTTTCCAAATTGGATATATGAGCATGTGGAAGTTGGGAAATCCATACCAGTCGAAGGTACAATGCATGAAGAAGAGGAGGAGACTGCAATGAAGATGATCTTAGTTGGGCTATGGTGCATCCAAACAAATCCAGCTGACAGACCATCCATCAGTAAGGTTGTAGAAATGCTTGAGGGTAGCCTCCATTCTTTGCAGATTCCACCTAAACCTTTCCTGGATTCTCGTGCAGCGACGAGTTCCAATCTGCAGGAGTCTTGGACAACTACGTTAACAACTTCTGAGGCATAAGGTTTCAAGTAAAACAGAAACACTATTTATCAATTGTTTTTTCATGTAGTTAGGCCACTATAAGGGTATAGGCTTCTAATTGTGTACGAATGTTACCTAGTTATGACTGACATCCTAATCTATTACTCTCTCTTGAAGCTTCAAATTTACAGGCTTAAAAACTTGATAATTGAAAACAAATATTCAATCAACACTCAACAGTCAATACAATCAAAATAATGCGCGTGATTTTGCACTATCTACGCACTATTTTTGAACCATAAACCTCAAGTAAAACAGCCTGGACAGTGCAATCTCTTCTGGTACTGTAGCAGAGAGAACAAATGATATCAGTTGCAGATATATCACGAGCTGCAAAGTTTACCAAGAAGAGCAACCGCCTTGAGTGAGAATTCTTTGACTGATTTGCTTTATGAAAAAACAGAATGATAGCTGTACCATTCATTCACAGTCAAAGTAAGCCACGCATATTTTTTGCATTATTGTTATATTGACTGCGAATTTGATTGAATAAGTCTTAACGAGGCCTTCAATTTCTTCTAGTTGTTTTTCAGAAAAGCAATAAAAAAATAAACTAATAAAAGTATCGAAGACTTGACTCAATGAGTCAACTGCTGTTAAGTCACATTGTCAGCTTGACATGGTGTTTGATGATTTCCCAGCGATCCTTCAGGTTCTCCCCATTTCATTTTTTTTTTTTTTCAATTGGCTTCATTTCTCTGGGAAGGATGGATCTCGTTCTGATCATTTCCACATTCATTATTCTTCTAAGCTTGTGTTTGATTCACGTCCCGAAATCACTGTGCCAGCATCCACAGTTTTTGGCCTGTGGTGGTGGCGGCTTTCAGTGTGGAGACATAAACTTCACTTTTCCCTTTTGGACTGGGAATGAACCAAACATTGGTTGCGGTTATCCAGGTTTCCAGGTAAGTTGCCATAACGGCGCCAGGATGAGGATCGGAGATCTAACATACATAGTCCTCGCCCTCGGCCTGGATTACTCCCCTTTGAAAACTGTAACTGTTACAAGAGAGGATATGTGGAATAATACTTGTTCCGCACTTCTCAAAAACACTACTTTGGATTCCAACATCTTCAGCTACGCTAGCAACACTCAAAACCTTACTCTTTTTTACGGTTGCCCTTCTTCTTCTCGGTCCAGGGCTAATCCATCGAATGAGTTTACTTGTGTTGTAAATGGTACCTCAACTCGCAATTTTTTCACTATGAGTGATTCCGATACAACTTTCCTTTCTCAATTTAAATGCAATAGCACCATACATGTACCAGTTCATCAGACTTCTGCTCAGAATTTAATGGATGTTGTTGGCCTAAGTAATGTGCTACGCGCTGGCTTTACATTGCAATATGAAGCAAATAATACAGCCTGTGAAGGATGCATTCAGTCAGGCGGGCGATGCGGGTACAATTATGCTTCCAGTTCATTTGTGTGCTACTGCTTTGATCGTCCCTACGATCTGGCATGCTCTGGTAAGTTTACCTCTTTTCAGGCACTTCTACTAATATTCCCAGTCCTTTAACTTCATTCTTACAGTTTTTGGGTGACAGTATTCCAATCCTGACCAATCAAATGGATTTAAACTTGGTTTTTCCTTGGAGCAATCCAATCAGTAATTCCTATGTTCTTGATTTATTATTTACTTTTTAATTATTAGTTTTTGGTTATTGTTCATTCTCTAGCACTTCTTTTGTCTTCTGTTGACAAAGCAGCTCGAACAAGCAGTACCGTGAAGTTTTCTCGAGTTGCAGGTAATCCATAGAGTTTGGAGCATCTGACTTAATTCCACCAATTTTATAAAGCTAACTAATTCAAACTACAAATGCAGCAATCTTTATAGTCCCTGCAGTGACTTCAGTAGTAATCATAATATTAATCTACTGCCTTGCTAAAAAGAACTCATGGTGGGAGGCACTGATTCACTGGAAGTCGAAGAAAAGAAACAACCAACTCGTTCAGGAGTTCATAAGGAATTACGGATCCATCGCTCCCAAGTTATACACTTATTCAGAAATCAAGAAGATGACCAGTTCATTTAAGAACAAATTGGGCCATGGCGGTTATGGTTGTGTATACAAAGGTACGCTGTCTGATGGTCGTGAGGTAGCTGTCAAGGTCTTGAATGATAACAAGGGGAATGGTGAGGATTTCATCAATGAAGTTGCCGCTATTAGCAGAACTTCCCATGTTAATGTTGTCAATCTATTAGGCTTCTGTTACAACAGGGGAAAGAGAGCATTGATCTATGAGTTCATGCCGAATGGATCCTTGGATAAGTTCATAACTAAGAAGGAATCTTCACAGGACACAATGAAAGATCAGTTGGAGTGGGAATTGTTGTACAAAATTGCAGTTGGCATTGCACGAGGACTGGAATATCTGCACCAGGGTTGCAACACAAGAATTGTTCATTTTGACATAAAGCCTCAGAATATACTTCTGGACAGAAACTTCTGTCCCAAGATTAGTGATTTTGGCTTAGCTAAATTGTACAAGAGGAATGAGAGCATTTTAACTACAATGACTGCTAGAGGGACCATTGGATATGTTGCCCCAGAAGTATTTTGCCGAAACTTTGGTGGAGTTTCTCATAAATCCGACATCTATAGTTATGGAATGATGGTACTTGAAATGGTCGGCTTGAGAAGGAAACTCGAGCCTAATTCACAACAAACTAGCGAAAGCTATTTTCCGAATTGGATATATGAGCATGTGGAAGATGGAAAATCCTTACCAGTCGAAGGCGTGGTGAATGACAAAGAGGAAGAGAATGCAATGAAGATGATCTTAGTAGGACTATGGTGCATCCAAACATATCCAGCTGACAGGCCATCAATCAGTAAGGTTGTAGAAATGCTTGAGGGTAGCCTCCATTCGTTGGAGATTCCACCAAAACCTTTTATAGATTCCCCTGTAGCTATGAATTCCAACTTGCAGGAATCTTGGACAACGTTGTCGATCTGCGAGGAATAAGGTTTCAAGTTAACCACAATCTAAGCATAATTTACCGTGGTTTGCACCATGTAAGCTTCGTTTACTTTATTTGAAGACTTTCAGTTTAATTTGTCAGGAGTCATGATTATTTACATTTTCCAGATTGATGGATAATGACTTCACGCTGTTCCTTCCGACTCCGGGCTCCAATGTCAATATTTCCAGTTGAATTTTTCCTCCGTCAACAATGCATCTCCTTCGTGTCATATCTCCCATGTTCAATATTGTACTTCTAAGCTTGGGTTTGACTTGTATCCCAAAATCAGCAACGAGCAATGCCCGCTAATGTGCTTCTTTTTGAGCCCTGCGCCTTTTAAAGAGTGGACCGTTTACATGTGCTCTGTAAGGATATCATAGCTTAAAAACCTTACTGTCTCAGCCAGTTCTTTCTCCGCAGTTTCACACATTTCCACACAATTATCTTCTGAATCAACTCTGCCTGCAGAATTACTCATTAGAAATGGCTGGTTGCATGAACAAAAATAGGACCCCAGATGACTCATTTAGATTAAGGTGGACAGAATGTAGGTTCCAGAGCACATCATAACGGCAGCCCATAATTGGATAGCCACTAATTCTCAAGCTTATGTAAGAACCCTTTTTGTTGGTATAACTCAGTTGCCGGAACCATTCCCAACTAATTTGCATCTACTGGCATTCTGGGGTATGGCTCAAAGTTACAAACTTGTCAAAAACACAGAACTTTCAAGCGCTTGGATTCACTTGGTTCCCTATGGGTACCAATCCTTGCATGATCTGGTACAGAAATTATGCAGCAAATTGAAGTCAATACAATCCAGAAAAGGAAGTCATAATTCTGGTAAATGGGATAAGAACAATATCACTACATAATCACACATGCTTATATGTTATCTACCTAGCCATATAAAACACACTAACAAGTGGCGAAAACAAAATGAGATCACTCAGTTGGGCTAGGCTGCATTCTCCCTGTTGTTGTTGATTGCCGCTTGGCAATTGGTCGATTTTGGTCCTAACAGAAATAGAGCCTGGTAATGGAATTACAAACTGACCAAAACAACCACCCAAGTCATTCCAAAGCATGGATTCACATTACAACTTTTTGGCTTCATCCTCTACAGGGTCACGAAGAGTGTTAAACATCCAATCCATCCATATCGTGTAGTGACCATAATTGTGGCGATATGTGGTGTGGTGAATGGTATGGTAACCAGCGCCCATTACTGGCCATATTTTACCGTGTATACAATCATGGATGTTCGCAGTCCATATAGCCTCAATAAATAAGAGCGCTATGTGTGTTGTGAAATGCATTGGCACCAAGAAGAGTGCAACCACATGTGGAACTGCCTGCAGTATACCATCCAAAGGATGGAATGCCAAACCTAGCAGCAAAAAAGATGGCTTGTTAGTCTGTAATCTATGCAGGACAAAAACAGACTACTTAACCATGATCCTTGAAACCGGGCAAACACAGCAAGGAGTCAAGTAAAGAAACAGATAGAAACCTAATAAGAACTAAAAGGAAATCTCTCCAATCGATAAACACCAAATATCTGAGAAAACGGAGCATCAGAAGAAAGTGAACAAAAAATACACAGAGGTTATAAAAGAGGCCTTCTACATCAAGGATAATGAAAAGTTCCACCATCAATGAGAACCAAGCACTCAAGTCTTAAACAATAATTTTCACAGAAAGCAGACTATAGAGATTTGAGGTGTTTAATGCTCTGATAATGGATACACTTCTAGAGTACACAAGATTACTTAAGGACCGAAAAATTAAAGAGTGTCAACCTGAGGCATTTTACCATATTAGAATCTTCTACTTTAACTCTTATCTTAGAAAGGTCATGTTTTGAGCCAAAACTTTCGGTAGTAGTATTACATTAATCTGATTCACACTACTGCATCAAAGTTACCAAAGAAAAGGTTTCGTTTATAGCAAGTGGAAAGGAATCTGATATAGAAGCTAGGCCATTCTTGAAAAAACTGCTTTGTAGGTCAGCTTGCAAGTTACAAAATGTTAAAACTTAAATTAGAGAATCCTGACACCAGAAAGGCTTGAATACTGTGAACAACTCTGCATTAAATGACAATTCCCATCAACCAATGTGAGACACAGAACCAACCGATAAAGCCAACATCTTAAAGTCTTACGTCACATTGAACTACGATAACTAGCCATCGATCACTTTTGTTCTCAATAAACATAGATGGCAAAACTCACCAGCAAATGGAGACAGTGTATTTTGCTTGTTGTAGATGTGATGGGTAGCATGGAGATACTTGTACAGAGGTTTTATGTCATGCAACTCTCTGTGCATCCAGTAAATCCCAAACTCCACAATAACAAGGTAAATACCGATGTATAAAATGTACAGAGGCCATCCAACATCACTTATCCTCGAGAAACACCTCGTCCACCCGCTTTCAATCATGTGCTCAGAGAGTGTGGGAAGAAGACAGTACCAAGGCATAGCTTTCATCGCCACGTATATTTGCAAGAGCATGGCTCTATTTGAAGGGATTGCATCTGGAACAAAAACAATCATCAAGAACATGACTTCACTCCACCTTAGCCCCCAAAAGAACAAGATAAACATGCAGGATTACATGCAGCTATGGTATACTACAATCAATGACAATCAAGAGCACCACACCAACATCTTAAATGCAATGACAATATCCTAAATGCAAATTCTCCAGATTCAGAATCATCTATATAACTGTTAACTTCTAGTGATGACTACAAGTCATGGATTCAAAAGGATTGAGAAAGTCAACGGGAGGTCAGAAACAACTGAACAGCCAAAGAGATTTGAACAGCCGAACATCATCTAACTGGTAAAAAAGAAACAGCGAAATATCTAGATTTAACGGTAAGTAACTATGATCTGGATCACAGACACCAGTGGCCACTTGTCAGTTGTCACCCGAGGAACAGAAAAATAATTAACACAAGGAAGCTAAGTGCACGTATCTCCACAGTAACATCACTGAAATGAAGGAAACTGTTGGATTTCAATCATAATTAAGAAAAAAACAATTCGGAGGATGTTTTTTAATTCCATTGATCAGGGAATGCTCGATACGATAAGAATCCAAGAACAAGAGCATCATCGGAATCCGAATCGAACCCAAAAACAGAGGCGGAGGATTAATATTTAACACAATCAAACAAAAAAAAAAGGAGAAATCAAAATTACCTTTGGGAACGTAGACGTTCTTCTTCAAGTAGTAAATGTAGAGGCACCAGAGAAACCCGGAAATGAAGTAGAGCAAGGTGCCGCCAATGTAGTTGCGGAGCCATCCCCGGAAGAAATGAGGGAGAGGGGCCCACCAACTCTCCGGCAAAAGGGAGCCCAGGACAATGTCATTGTACCACGACGTCTCCGCGACAAACAGCTTTAAGTAATCATCGCCCATCTCTCTGACTCCCGTTTACTCTTTCCGCCGCCGCCGCCGCCGCCAACAGGAAAGATGTTTGAGCCGGCGGAGATTTAGAGGAGAAAGAAAAGAAAAAGAAAAGGGAACAGTCGAACGATGTGGTGGTATGGTATCCAGACAGAAATTTACAGACTGGAATTGAAGAATGGGGGAAGTGCGCGTGTGAGACGTGCGGAGGCGCGTGGGTGACGGTTTAGTTGGGGTTTTTTTTTCTGGGAGTGAGCTTAATTAAGAGATGATGGAGTTGAACAAGCTGTTTTATAGTAGTAGTAAAACACAAAGCATGTGATGATTCCACTTCCCCCTCTGATGTGAATCTTTTTGGTCTTCTTTGTCTCTTTCTTTCTGCAACTTCAATTCCCTGATTTTTTTTATTTTTTATTTTTGTGTTTTGGTTTTATGAAAATCAAGAGATTAATTCATATTAATAAATGAATATGATTTTCAATAATTTTGCTATTGTAACAAATATTTTCTCTCATCTTATAACCTATTAAGGATAAAACTTTAGATGAGGATTTATATATATTTTTTACTTCATTCGAGTCGAATAGAGATGAATATGAAAGAAATATGACGATATAGATTTGATGAATCGAATACAGATCAAACTGAACGCAAATGAACCTTGAGTGACAAAAATAAATTCAAAAGAGGGTTGATAAAAGCGGCTAATACAAACTCTGTGATTAAATTAGTTATTACTCCTTTCATTAGTCCTCATCATATCAAAAGAACAGTAACCGGTTAGGAAATTAGTGGTATTATACTATTATTAAAGGTCCTTTCGAAAGGACTCCTTTCCCAGCTTTTACGTACGTACCAGCAGAAAAAAAATGAGGACAACAATGCGCCTGAGTGAGATATTTTGTGATTTGCAAATATGTAAAAAAAAAGAAAACAAAAAATTGATAAACATAGTGAAAGTACACAGTAACTTATATAGAATATTCTAATTTCCTATTTTGTGTATTTAAAATTTTATTATTCTCTTCTTAGGAGAGTTTGGCCTCCTTATAGGGACCTAGGCTCGAATCCGGATTAGTCAGAACAATAATTTTGGACATCGGGTGCGTAATAATACTCCCCAAAAAGATTTATTTTTTTCTTAAAATCACATTTTTTATCGTAATTATTAAGTAGACATTAGTCACTATAGATTTTCATTATACTTTTTTCACTATCATAGAAAAGAAAAATTATGATAAAATTCCAATAATTCTTAATTCTGATTAATGATTATTATATGCATTTATTATAAACTATCAACAAAATAATATAAATTAAATCATCGATGATACATTAGTCGGCATACAAATTAAATCACCAATACTTTATCACTTCCCATTGTTGTTGTTGTTGAGATTAATTTGTTTCGTGAAAATGAGAAAATTAATGAGCAGGCATAAACAAAAGAATAATAATTAAGCAAACAGCTTACAAATGATTAATTATAGTATGGTAGTCTCCCCTGATTTAAATTAGTGTGAAACTGTTGGCTACCACTGGAATTCTAGAAAGGGAGTTAAAAAAAAAAAAAAAAGAAAAAAGAAAAACAACTTCTACCCACATGTCCTCTGGACCGACTCTCAGGCATTCAATCTTTGACTTCCAAATTTTCATCGGAAAAATAAAACAGTCACCTTAATTCAGATAAGTAACCGGCGTTACCTTAAAAGACAACTATTTACATTCGATTTTGGCACAAGCCAATGTTATCAATATCCCACCAATTGCTCTTAACACTGCATCTAAATAGATCCCAGCAAGTTGTGAGATATTGCTCTTTCTACTTTGAAAATTATAGTCCCACACACACACACACAACAAAATTTGTAACTTGAAGAACCATGGGAAAAAGGAAATCACCAATTGCTCTTAATACAACTTCTCAAGTACCGTAACAAAATTAATAAGTAATACCATGAAAGGGGGAAAAAAATATGTAACTGCAAATTCCAAGTAATACTTATCATGATCAGCACAATGAAATCATATTAGATTCACATTGATGGGATCAAAACCTAAATCAATGGCTCAATTGTATCCGGTAAAAACTTCCGGGCAAAAAGGAAACAGGTTGCATGCTCCTTTCCATTGTGGGTGCAGTCAGCGTGCTTCCGGATTCTTTTTAATTCGCTGGTGACATTTCGCCGACCGTATGTGGTCGGATGAGGCCCGCCCTGGGACCAATCAACCCAAGTAACGGTTCGGTTCGTGTTCATTTCCGGGTGAAGAATGTTGACCAAAGTCGGCAAGTAATGTTCCTCACACAGGCAGGGTTCGCGACAATGCTCCCGGAAAATATTGTAGTATTTTCGGTCGGAGACGATCAGGACGGCCAGATCACGGTGGACTTCGAACCACTGAGACCCTTTTCGCCATTGTTCGACGGTGATGTGGGGCATCATGTTCGGGCTGTACCGGCCGCGACCCGTCTCTCTCGGGTCATCCTGCGATGCGACGAAACTTTGGGTGGAGTTGATGAGGTAATCGTAAATGGTGATGAAGTCGAATACCGGAATGCATGAATCGGAGAGTAACACGAATCTTTGGTTGGAAATGTCAAGAAGAGCGCTTGCTAGAAGCCTTCTTTCCGCATCAATCATGCTCGTTTCCCCCCATGAAACTGACTGCTTGGATCCATCAATAGAAAAACAAAAATAATAAAAATTAGTGTTACTACCTCTAGTTTCCTATATATAGTGTTAACTTCGAAAACTGTTTTCCATCTCCTCGACCAATAGAACAAAACAAACTATCTTTTTGGGGAAGAAAGACAAAAGTACTATTTCTTTCGACTTGAAATGATTGTCCAATTTGGGTTTTCATTTTTACCACAAATTGAATTAAAAGTGAAAATCCAAATTGGATAATACTTTTGCGAGAAAGAAAGTACATAACATTACCTTGCTAGGTATTCTTCTATTATAGAACACGGAATTTGGAGGCCATGTGTCCTTGTAAGAAGGATTAGGATGAATGTAAATGGAGTAACGTCCTTCATGGCCTAAGAAAAACAATTCCCACAATTGTGCAAGAGGCAGAGGACCCGGTGTCAAGAACAAGAATGCCACTTTTGGAACAAAAATTTGCGGAATTGGGGTAGAAACCTTCCTTAGCAACTCTGTGTCGCTCATGTTGTGAATTAGATAAACCCCTTGTTTTTCCAAAGACATTCCAGTAACTTTGGAAGCTCCATGAAAACCGGCACCGGCGGCCTCGGCGTTTGACTTTGGTGGTGGAAGAAGGCGAGGTGACGGTGGTGATGAGTCTTTGAATGTTTCATGGGAAGAGGATACTGGAAAAGAAACCCTTTTGTAATACAAAGTGGAAACTATACAAAAGGATACCATGTGAAGAAAGAGAAGGAAATAGAAAACCCAGAAATTTATTTGCAAAGGCTTATTTTCACTGCCCATTTCTTAAGGGATTAATTGATCTTGCATTAACCGCTGGTACGAAGAGGGTCAGAACTCAGAAATATATGGAATGGAGATTTCATAGTGAACAAAGCAATCAAATAGTTCCAAGGAGTCACCTTCTATCCGCGTCGATACCATCATGTTCAAATCTCATTTTTACGTGTTAATTTAGACGTTGATCTGCATATTGAAGCATTTTACGTTACAAACCATACAATTTGCATTAATTTAATTTACCACCGATTTGGCAAAATTTTGTTCCAAAAGCTATCTGAGCCTAACAAAAAAGGGTCATTTTGATAGTGTTAGCTAGCTTGACAATTACAACCACTAATGAATTGCCTATTTGTGGGTTGCGAACGACTTGGATATGGATCTAATTACTACAAGAAAGTGATTCCCCGTTAAATCTATATATAATTTCTTATGAAAGAAATAGCGGGTTGAGAGGCTTAAGAATTAATCGAGATTGATGGCTTACTTTACAGGTTTGGTTGATTTTTCTTCTTCTTCTTCTTCTCTCTCTTTTTATTTTTATTTTTATTTTCATTTTCATTTTTTTTGTCAAATTCTAGTTATGGGGGACTTCCAGTTAATTAAACAAATAATCTTATTTAGGACAGACGGCTCTAAAAGCAAGAAAAAGAAAGGGATTGCGAGGGAAAAAAAGGAACACCAGAGAGGATTCATGGAAGAAGATACAAGGAGAGGAACAAAGATTGCTGCTTCTGAGTATCTTTCAATAGATATTTCATGTAGAAGATTTTAATAAATTAACAAAAGTAACAAATAATGTATTCCAATTTCTTTTGTTGGAGGGAGCACTACCACATTACAGTACTGACATGTGAATGTCGTCTTTGAAGTTTTTCGTTTGAGCATTTTTTTTTGTTCCCATCTAAGCATTTACTCAGTGTAATATCCCGGCATATCGTCGGCAAGTAATGTTCGTCGTTGTAGCACGGCGGGAGAGAATACTGCCGGAAAATTCCCAAGATGCCAATATTCCAAACTATATATTGATCTGATAAAAATATCAATGTTTTCAAAAAATCTGGTTACTTACCTTGCTATGTATCCTTCTCTCATAGAAGACTGAATTCTCAGGCCGAGAAACGTTGTAACTTGTAAAAAGGATGGGGATGCACGTAAATGGAGTAAAGCCCTTGATATAGCCTTTGAAAAACAATTCCCACAAAGGCGCCAGAGGCAGAGAACCCCGGCGTCAAGAACATGAAAGGTACATTTTTGGAACGAATTTGTGTCTGGAAATAATGGCGCGTCTTTGGGAACCGACGAACGTCACGAACCGTAGAAGCCCTTAAAAACAACTCTGAATGTGATATTCTGAACCCTAGACTGGAGGTAGAAGAATTGATCAGTGTGACCAAGATCCAATTTTTTGAAAGATGATGTAAATGATTTCCTCCTTTTTCTTTTTTTTTTTTTTGGTAAACAAATGAGTTTATGTAAAACAAGAAAGGATTGAAATAGAGAATGTAATGTGTTTGGGTCTTTGACGAGTTAAACTTGTTTTTAGAAAAATTTATGGGACCGGAGAAGGGGGGGGAGAGGGGGGGAAGAAGAAGAAGAAGACGTTGATCACTTGATCGCCTTATTTGAAGCATGCATGCTTTGTCGTCGTTGCAGTTTGCATTAATTTTCCACCTGTTTGACAAATATTTTTGTTCAAATTTAATCCTCGGAAGTTGTTTGATTCTTTAGGGTATCAATTCTTCCTAAACTTTCCCAATTGTTATAAAAAAATTTAGCATGAAAAAAAAAATAAAAATTATTCCATGGAAGTTGTCTAAACCTAACAAATGCGCACAGCCACTTTGTCAGTGTTAGCTCAAGTATTGATCTGTTCTGTCTTATTTTCTTAATTCACTTCATACTGCATAAGTTTAAGGGTATTAAAATAAACACAAAGATATTATTCACTTTGTCTTAAAATTATTATCCAATTTAGACTTTCATTTGTAGTTTAATTTGTACTAAAAATGAAAATCTAATTCTGGACAATAATTTGGGACGGAAGGAGTAACCAAGTGAAGAATTGCCCCGTTAACTTGTAAGTCGGACTTACGAGTGATTTGATTTGGCCCCAACAAGTAAGAACGTCTAATGCATTTGCAACTAAACTCTTGCTCAAAAAAAATATTCGATTTTTTCGCCTCTTAATGTAAATACTAATGTAAACTTCACTGCAAGATAGTCATCCAAGTAGCGCGCCTGGAACAATGAAATATAAAGTCATATTACAGTATGATAAAACTTTTGTTTTGTAATACTGTGTCTAAAAGAAAAAAGAAAAAAGAAAAAGAAAAAAAAAAGTCACATTTTTTATTCAGTGACGACTCGAAGAAAATTAACCGAAATAGATAATTACACGATATCTTCATATATAATTATAATTTAACTCCGAAAATACCAATACATTAATGAACATGGAAAAAAGAAAGAAAGTAAAAACAAAACGACTAAAAAATGGGGAATATTTAAATTACATAAACCAAACTTATGCATAGACATGTGTTATTTGGAATGTACTAAAATCAAGGATCGAAACCAATTATCCTTGGAGCGATCCGTAACAATGGCTCTATGGTATCAGGCGAAAATTTCCTGGCAAAAAGGAAACAAATTGCATTATTCTGTCCATTAAATGTACAGTCTGATACACCCCGAATTCTTTTTAGAAGTTCATCGGTGACGTCTCTCTGGTCATATATCGCCGGATGAGAGCCACCCTTGGACCAATCGACCCAAGTAACAGTACGGTTCATGATCTTTTCCGGCCAAACTATGTTCGACATCGTCGGCAAATAATGTTCGTCGCTGTAGCACGGCGGGCGACAATACTGCCGGAAAATCTCGTAGTATTTTTGCTCTGATACAATTAAGAGGGCCAAATCACGGTGTACTTCGAACCACTGAGACCCTTTTCGCCATTGTTGGAGGGTGATCGTGGGATTCATTTGCGGGTTGTATCGGCCCCGACCCACTTCCCTTGGGTCGTCAAATGATCCGATGAAACTCTGTTTGGAGTTCATCAAGTAGCGGTAAACGGTGGTGAAGTTGAATGCCGGAATGCATGAATCGGAGAGTAAAGTGAATCTTTTGTTTGAACTGTCAAGAAGTGCGTTTGCCAGGAGTCTTCTTTCTGCATTCATCATGGTAATTTCGCCCCAAGAAACTGGCTGCAATTCACCAAATTCAAAATGCCAATATTTTAAACAAGAGTTTAGACCAAAAGCCTTAACTTTTTCTTTTTTTTTTTTTGTTTGGCCGGGTCAATCGGGTGACCAACAGTTTGACCATTTTCATGTTGATCTGCTAATTAGTTTGTGATCAAACCCGAACATGGACATACAACAACAGTGATTAAAATATTTGTTGAGAGAGCTTTTTTTTCCGAAAGAAATTTACCCGGCTCAAATTCAGATTAGTCGGAATATGACTTCGAGCACGGGTGCCCAGTATTCCAAAAAAAAAAGGAAGACAAACAATTTGGAAAGAAAAAAAGAAAAAAGAAGATGTTAATGAGTAATTCACCTGACTAGGTATTCTTCTCTGATAAAAGACGGACTTTTCAGGCCATGAATCTTGGTATGAAGGATGAGGATGGACGTAAATGGAGTAAAGCCCCTGGTGGCCTTTAAAGAACAATTCCCACAAAGGCGCCAGAGGCAAAGGACCCGGCGTCAAGAACATGAAAGCTACCTTTGGAGCAAACTTTTTTGAATCTTTGGGAACCACGGAAGAAGCCCTCCGAAACAATTCTTCGTCACTCAGATTGTGCATTAAGGGAATCTCTTGTTTCTCGATAGGGATACTGGTTGTATCGTTGGAGGCACCCTTGACTGGAAGTACGCCGGCATTGGCGTTTGACTCCGGTATAACTGGTGGTGGTGGAGGGGAGGCATCTTCAGGCGGCGGTGGTCTTGATTCTTCGGCACTCGTGTTGTGCGTTGAGGAAATCCCCTGTTTTTCCAAAGGGGTAATATATGTATTGTTGGAAGCTCCATTAACCGGAAGCAGGCCGACGTTGGCATTCGACACCGGCGTAACTGGTGGTGGTGGTGGTGGTGGTCGTGGTGGTGAAGTGGAGGCATCTTCATGAATCGGTGGTTTTGATTCTTCGTCGCTCTTATTGTGCATTAAGGAAATCCCCTGTTTTTCCAAAGGGATATTTCTTGTGTCGTTGGAAGCTCCATTGACCGGAAGCAATCCGGCAGTGGCATTTGACTCCGGTTTGACCTGTGGTTCAGGCGGCGGTGGAGTTAGTTCTTCGCCATTGATTTTGTGCAATGAGGGAATCCCCTGTTTTTCCAAAGCTACATTGCTTGTGTCGTTGGAAGCTTCATTAACCGAAATTACGGCAGCAGTGGCATTTGACTCCGGTATAATAGATGGTGGTGGCGATGAAAAAACACCGAATGATCCACCTAATTGGGAAGAAAATGTCAAGACGGCGGAAGGCAGATTTGACAAGCTTTCGAAAGACAAAATGGAAACTACGCCAGCGGATAAACCAATAACAGCTATAAGGGAATATAAGACGTAACTCCTTGGAAAAAGTTTCTTCTCATTGCTCATTTTTTTTCCCTCCAAAGACTTGATCATATGCATTAATGGTGGATACGTAGTCTGTAGAGGGCTATAAAAAAAAAGAAAAAAAGAAAAAAAAGGCCTTAGATTTTGGAGTCTATAATAAGATGAACAAGTTCATTTCTAAATTCTAAACTCTAAGGTAGCATTTGGGGCCTTTTTAAAGCCAGTCTAGTATGTGTTCGGTAACTGGTCTATTACCACTTCACTCGTTTTATATGTTTCACGGTTTGCCTCCAAAATAGTACAATGATACTCTCTCCATTCTAAAATATGTATCGTTCTGTACTTTGTACATAGTTGAAGAAACTCTTAAATAAGGTAATAAAATTACTTGAATATCCTCAATCAACCCTATTATAAAATTGTACACCAATAGCATCAACTCTTTTGAGGGTAATTTTGGAAATTTTTGACAAAAGGTGCATTGAAATGTGAGAGCGACACTTATTTTGAAATTTCTCCATTTTGCTAAAACGACACTTATTTTGGAATGGATGGAGTATTTTTTTTTCCGGGTGAAAGAAGTATTGCAACTTTGGATATTCTGTTTAGATCAGTTTACTATTAGTAACAAAACTTGGTTGTAAATTTTATATTCAAACATAGTCCCAATCAAACGAGATCAAGCAATTTTACTAAGATTATCAACACATTAAGTGGTATATGATCCTCTTCAAATTGATATTTGTGTAATATGTATATACCTCGTAGCATTTACGCGTCACCAACCCCCACAAATTAACTTCTTACATATGCCGTCTTTGGGTTATTATCAACAACTAATTAAGAATTGGTAGCTTGAGATAAAGGAAATGACAAATTTGAACTAGGGATACACAACTCATGAAAAGGACCAAAATTTAACGAATAAAAATATCCCTGATTAAACAAAAAAAAATAAAATTGTGAGGATTACAGAACTATTTTTCTCATCTTTTTGTTCCTTCCTTTTTTTTTAGAAAAAAAAATAGAAAGAGTAAAAATTGTTTCATTCTATTGACTAACAAGAGTATCAAACTCTCCATGCACATACCTACAAAATTCAATGATGGGATTGCAACAATGCCCTTTTCCACCGGAGGTATCAATCTCACACAAGCTAAAGTTTTTGTATTGCTGACAAGTAAATGAGTGATAGAATTACACTTGACATATGATGGTTTTAAATTATTTCGAGTTTAGGTTTTAAATTATTTTTCAAAAGATGATGTGAAGGAATATTCTAAAAAAAAAAAGAGTTTGAGTCGGTTTGAATTCGAAAAAAAAAGAGTTTGAATCGGTTTAAATTCGAATTACCGGATACTTAATATATATAAAAAAAGAGGTTTAAGTGTTTGACTTTCATACTAAAAGAGTAAATTGACTTCTTTTTTTTTTTTTTTTATAGATTTTGTTGGGCAACGGGGAAAAAAAAAGAGGCATACACATTACCAAACCATGCAGTTTACATCAATTTACCACCGATTTGGCCTAAATTTTGGTTTAACGTGCTTGAAAGTTTTATGAACCTAACAAAAACCAGGCACTTTGGTTTTTTTTTTTTTTTTTTTTTTTTGTGAAGAAGAAGAAGAAGAAGAAGAAGGCCACTCTGGTTGTATTAACTCGAATACTAGTATTGCCGGTTCTATTTATAAAATGTAAAAGTTGAACTAAAAAGTGCTTGGTTTTTGAGTTCCGAGTGATTTGGTTTGGAGTTTGGACCCAAGAAGTAAGGAATTAATCCAGCCATTTGCAACCGTGGCGGGTCGCGAACATCTATTTTCTATTTTATTCATTGTAAATACAATTGTAAACTTTGTTACAAAACTGAGCCTCACAACTAGACAAGTTGTTTGTAAATGATAAAAGTACATATAGAAGTATACATCTTTGAGAAAAGTCATGTTTACTATCTTATCCGTTCAGAAACAATCGTCTAAATTAAATTTGTTTCTTAATAAAAATTGTATGAAAATGAAAAGTCACATTTGATAATCATACCGGGATGGCGTCTCTTTCCGCTCATCCATTGAGTACTTGAATACTTTTTTTTTTTTTTGATACAATAAAAAAGAACAAATCCTAAAAATCTATATTATAAAAAATATTTGGTGAATAAAAACTCTCGACCAAGTCGTGTTATCTAATACTACTTGAACAGTCTCTTAATTGTACTTTGTAATAAAGAAAAATGTTTAAATCGAATTTAGTGAAGTTCCAACCTTAATTACCATCACAAATTTATACGTGTCTAGGGTTGTAGCATTGAAAATAACAATGCGATGAATTTGATTTTTTTTTTTACTCCCTTCATTCTAAAATAAGTGTCATCCTACACTTTGCAGTTTGCACATAGTTTAAGAAACTCTTAAATAGAGGTGATAAAATAACTTGAATATCCTTAACCAATCCCATTAAAAAAATGCCCACTAATAGTATTAATTCTTTTGAAGATAATTTTAGAAACTTTGGACAAAAAGTGCATTAGAATATGAGAAGGACACTTGTTTTAAAATTTTTTCATTTTACTAGAATAATACTTATTTTTTAACGGAGTAAAAAAAATTAATAGTAACAAAAAGTACATCAACTGCCAAACTGTAATAACGGGGATCGAGGAAAGATCTAGGACTCATGTGTTAAAAAGGAGGAGAATTTTCGGGAAAAAGGGACAAGAAGAAAAAAAAGAGTTGACCGGCGTATCAAAACTAGCATATCATTAAGATCAAAACCACATCACTTTTGGAGCTATCTGTAACAACGGTTTTATAGTATCCGGCATAAATTTCCTGGCAAATAGGAAACAAATTGCATTATTCTTTCCATTATACCTACAGTTTGACTTATCCCGTATCCTTCTTAGGAGTTCGCCGGTGACATCTCGCCGCCTATATTTCGCCGGATGCGGCCCTTTACCTTTGGACCAATCGACCCAAGTGACGGCCCGATTCATGCTCTTTTCTGGGCATATGATGGTCACCATTGTTGGCAAATAATGCTCGTCACTGTAGCATGGCTGGTGACAATGCTGCCGGAAAATCTGGTAGTATTTTTGGTCGGAGATGATTAATACGGCCAGATCACGGTGGACTTCAAACCACTGAGACCCTTTTCGCCATTGTTGGATGGTGATGGTGGGCTTCATTTCTGGGTTGAATCGACCGCGGCCATGTTTTGACGGATCATCAAATGAGCCCAGGAAACTCCGGGTAGACTTCATTAGGTACTGGTAAACGGTGGTGAAGTTGAACACCGGAATGCATGTATCGGAGACTAAAACGAATCTTTGGTTTGATCTGTCAAGAAGCGCGTTTGCCAGAAGTCTTCTTTCCGCATCAATCATGGTAATTCTCCCCCAAGAAACTGACTGCATTCGTCGAATTCAAGATGTCAAACATTCCAAACATTAAACAATTTTGCATGGCCAGTTAAAGATATTCGAGTGGCAAAAATGGATTGATCGCACAAACTATAATAATTGTTCTGATTGTGTTGAACTGGGGACAAACTACTGGCCTACAGATGAAACTATCAGATTAGTTATTATTTTTTCTTTTTTTTTTTTTTGGGGGAGGTTTACCTGGAAAGTTTCCGTTTGTTTTTCCGGTCAAGAGGAGCTCTCATTTCACTAGAAACATATACGCGTGTCGGAAACAGGGGCAGAACAGGGGTGAAAAATAACATCAATTTGATGTTGATTAAGCCACACATTCCCACAAATGGTGTTGTTTAATTTGCTTGAAACTTCAAAAGCATGATATGAGTATGCATTTACAAAAAGTCCAACTTTTATTTGCCGTGGCAACTGGGTAACAACAGTTTGACCATTTTGATGTTGATTAATGAGTTTGTAAATGCCGAACGAACAAGTTGGAAATAAGTGAATCAGTTATCCTTACCTTGCTTGGTATCCTTCTGCGATGGAATACTGAATTTTCAGGCCAAGAATCTTTGTATGAAGGACTAGCATGAATGTAAATGGAGTAAAGACCTTGATGGCCTTTGAAGAACAATTCCCACAATGGTACAAGAGGCAGAGGACCCCGCGTCAAGAACATGAAAGCCACTTTTGGGACAATCTTTTCTGGAAGTAACCCATCTTTGGAAACCATGGAAGCCCTTGAAAATAATTCTTCATCACTCAAATTGTGCATTAATGATAATTTGCCCTGTTCTTCTACCAAAGAGGCATTATTAGAACTATTGGAAGTTCTGTTGACTGGAAGTATGCCGGTGGAGTTTGACACCGGTAAGAAAGATGTCAGCAGAGGGAAGGAAGATTCAGGAGGCGGAGGCGACGGCGATGAAGTTTGGAATGTTTCTTGTTGGGAAGATAATGTAAAGATGGCTGAAGGCAGTATTGACAAACTTCGTAAGCACATAACCGAGACTATACCAATAGATAAACCAACTACAGAGAGGAGAGAATAGAAAGTATAATTTCTTGGCATAGGTTTCTTTTCAACCATCATTTTTCTTGTTCTTTCAAGGGATTAGTCGTGGATAGGAAGAGGGCTAGAAAAGATTGGAATGGAGTATGGAACTTGCTGGCAGTGATAGATATCTCTTTGGTAAGTGTTGATGAAGTTATTTGCTAGGTGGGAGACCATTTGCCAAATGCTAAACTAGCATTTGGACTTTTAAAGTTGGGCTAATATCACTAATTATACCGGATTTGAACTGAATATTTAACTTGTAGTCTTACTAAATTAACCAACTAACCGTATGTATAGATTATTAATATTAAATCTCAAAGTACCCCTACAATTTGATGAGAGAATGTTATTCTCATCGATCATGAATCATGTAATAATCATAGGAGTGAAATTACTTTGAAATTTGTTTTAAAAATTCCACTAGAACTTCATAAGTTGATTGATCCCTTCTATCAAGTTGAATAGGAGCAGTAGAGTACATATATTTACCTGCTCTTGAACAACGTATCTGTTCTCATCAAGCTTCTGCTTTGGAGCTGTTTCAATCGTCTACAGCACCAAGATATGCGATTCTGCCATTTTGCAATTTCAACAAAGTATGGTGTTTGATTCATACTCATTCATGCCCTATTCTTTGCCAGGGGTTCATTTTTTGCAACTTTATATACAAGTCTTTATTTGCAATGTTCCTACATAACAAGTTTCTGACAAAACTTTCACAAAAGGAGACCGCATCGTCTTAACTCAGAAGCTGTTCTTAGAAACTTCATAAACAAGCTACGAACAAAGTCAAATGGACTTCTTCACACCACCGCATAAACCCAATTAGGTTCATCAACAAGAAGCTGGACTCTTAACTCTAATTACAGAAATCAGGGGGGAATAAGCACAGTGAGTTACAATGGTGTTCAACCCAGTAACCTTTACCAAGAATCCTTTCTAACTAAGAACTTGATACTCTCAGATTGCAGGACTAAGAGCACGCTCAATTTCCTCAAGGGACCGGCCCTTGGTCTCCACCACGTTTCCACCTATGTACATGACTGCTAGAAGACATATAGATGCAAATCCCAGATAAACTGTACTGATTCCATACTTGTTCACGAAACTCAAGAAGTACAAGCCAATGACAAAGTTGGAGATCTGGTCAAGAGAAGAAGAGAGAGTTTAGTTTAAATTAAAGAGATAATGATGCACTAATGCAGAGAGTAAGGTGGTGTGAGACAAATGACCAACAAATATAAAATCAGTTTTGAAAGGAACTTTACGTTGAATCAAACCAGATATACTAGCTATAAATCATGAACACTAAATATTTTCATCCTAAAAGTGCACTATCATCAAAGCAAAAAGTGGATGAGGATGACCAATGCATGTGACATCATATTTTATACGCCGACTTACCCAGTGCATGCCCAAAGACAAGGCAACTGCTTTTGCTCGAATTCGAGAGGCAAATATCTCAGGTAGAAGAAGTGCAGGAACGGGACCAGCACCAAGGGAGAAGGATAAGACATAACTGCATCACAAATGAGAAAGGTCAAATTGCATCAGAATTCAAATCTTCAAAAACACAACCTGCCACTGCAATGAAAGAGACAATCTTCTGCAAAACTTAGTACACTTACAGAACAGTGCCGATAACAGCAAGATTGCCGGCATATGGAGCCAAAACATTCCATGTGAAGGACAGGGATAGCAGCAACATAGAGGCAGCCTTAAAACAGAAGGAAACAAACAATGTAAGTTCCCAAAGCAAACTCATACATGTTAAAGACACAGTTAACAGACACAATTCGGAGTACACCATAATAGCAAACAATTCAACAAGAATCCAACATCCACCCATCACCCAGAAACATGAGACAGTGTTTATCCAAGAGGTTTAACATTAGAGCAGAAAACACCTTCCAAACCCAGCAATTCTAGGGATCATACAGAATTATAAGAACCATCAGGTTCAAGATCACAGGATTGCATTCCAACTCCTCAATACTCTAGACACTCCTGCCTTTAGGATATAAGGGAAGATATATCAGTGGGCAACCGATGAATATTTGGTATTGTCCAGAACACAAACACACAATATACTTCTGAACAAGTGAAGCTCCAAGCTCAGAAGAAGAGTGATTAATACGTATTATTGCGACATGCATACTTGGTCCAACTTTACAGGAAAGCAAAGTGTAAGAATTCACATAAGTATTGCACATACTACTCTATGCATACCATTCCAGCAAAGCTTGTGAGCAGAAGACTTTTCCTCCCCTTTTTGTCCATCAAAGAGGACGCAATAGTGGTACCTGAAGACATTTAGAGACCAGTCAGATGAGATCAATCACTACCCATGGAAGAATAAATTTAAGAACATCCAACCAGGAAACTAACCAAAAACATTTGCTGCTCCAACCAGAGCACTGGCTGCAACGTCAGACTGAATGCCAGCACTTCGGAAAACTGAAGTTGAATAGTATACCACTGCATTTATCCCAGCCAACTGTTGCAACAAAAACAGAGCAGCCCCAACACTGACCACTGCAGAACAGAAGTTAGTTTGATTTCTCCCAGACTATATAGAGACTAAATCAGTTTCCAGCTTCAGGGATAACTACAAAGGAGGGACAAAGCAAAGCCATAAAGATATGCATATACAAGTTTACTCAGATAAAATTTCATCAAAATAGCTAGGCACAATCACCGGCATCATCAAAAGAAATGGTGATAATACATTTATGATATGTTACATACAATTTGCATATTCTTTAGAAAAGAAACTGATTCCACACACGAGCACAGCTTAAGTTGCATCATACAAGCACCATCTTATCTCAGTTATACAAGAAGTCAGATAAATGGCTTTTACATGTGAAGGAATACCTTTCCTGTATCGGCCACTAAAAAGATCAAACCATCCAGCTTCTGGTTCAGAAGAGCCTCGGGCAGCTGACCTAAGATCATCCATAACCTCAACAACTCTTTCCTTTCCATAGAGCCTTTTTATTGAAATTTCAGCCTCAGCTATCTTCCCTTGCTGTAAGAGAAAGGTCCACCCCAACAGTCATTATTGAGTAAACTTGCATTAGTCCTACTGAATCAAACAGACAGCGAACAGATAATAGCATCAAAAGGTTGGGGAATAAAGAAGGTGAAGCAGAACCTGGAAAAGCCACCTAGGGCTTTCTGGAGAAAATGCCATTCCTAGAGCCAACAGAATGGATGGAACTAGAGCAATGCCAAACATTGTCCGCCACCTTACCGAAAAAAATGCAAACATTACCATAAATATTCTAAGAAGTTTGCTCAGTTATTATGTTCAGTAAAAAGGCACGGAAAAGTACCACAAAGGATTTCCCGCTAAAGGTAATCCAGCTACCAATGCTGCAAGGATTCCAATACAGATAAAGAGCTGGTTAACCGATCCAAGTGTCCCGCGAATTTCAGTAGGTGAAATCTGATCAAGGAAAGCAAGTTATGACACAGCCTGGATAAACTAAGAATAAGCCAAAACACAAGCAATTCTACACCTCGGATATGTAAAGTGGCACAATAGCAGATGAGATTCCGATACCAATTCCAGCAAGCAAGCGACCAACTATCATTGTCTGCACATTCTGGGCGGTCATGCTGAAATTTGATACTCTTAAATCTTGTTGCCAATTGAAAACATAAAATGTCACAGCCTAATTACAAGGGTTGAAGGTACAAACCAAAGAAATGCTCCAAGTGCAAGAGGAATAGCATCCAGAATAAAAGTCTTCGTACGACCAAATTTGTCAGCCAAGGATCCCCCAGTAAATGAACCCACGGTAGCACCAGCGAGAAGGGTGCTCACAACCCATCCTATTGAAGAACATAAGAAAATACTCTCATTGGAACAAAAAACTTTGCCAGAGATGTCCATGAACATAAAAGAGAACAACCAATAATGAAAACATAAGAATAATGAGACGGAAATAACAGTACAAGATCAGTACTTGCCTTGTGACACAGTGTTCTCAGCAATCCCAAGATCCTTGGCGAGGTACTCCAGAGCACCATTTACCACCCTAAACAGATAAGGTGAAAAGAGTAAACCTCAATTTGCTAGCAAAATATCATTCACAACCAGCATAAAAATTCACAACAAGAATACATACATAAGAAGGAAAAATAGTTTTGAAGAGAAGTGAAAAGAGTGCAGTATGTGCTCATAGTTGGCCATACCCCAGATGATATCCAAACAAAATGGCGCCCAAACACGCAACACCCACATAAGGCAATACTGATCCAGATGATTTGCTGTGGATTTTGGCAGGTTCAATGTCCTCAATGTCTCCTCCTGCAACTCAAATCAGATGAATGTCACATGAGGAAGTGAACAATGCAGGGATTATATGATGATCCGTAGGCGTTGGTATTGCACTGTAAGTCAGGTAATCACAATGGCAAGAAATAACAATGATTTCGGTTCAATCAAAGCAACCAATATTCATCAATGACTAAAAACCAATATTCTGAAAAACTCTAAGCAGAGTCTCGCAATGATAAAAAGAACATAAAAGTATGTTCTTTTGCTCCATCAAATGCAAATTACTAGCATTCTCATTCAAAGTTCCCGTATTATTCCAATAGGTCGCCCAAAACACTAGAATCTTGGTCCAAGCAAACCGGCATTCATCCCCAGCCCAGACAAACCAAGAAAAATAGGGAAACAAAATCAGCAACGACATCCGATTCTCTATGACTACTATGTAATCTAAGGAAATGAAAAGGCAAACAAAGAAACCTGAAGAAGCCTGTGACTTGATTAATCTAGACTTGGCAGTTGATCCAATCCCAGTGTTCACCCGGCCAAGCTCGATTCCCATGGGAAGCGAGTCAAATCGCAAACCGAAACAGCTTCTCCTTTCTGTCATACGGAGATTTCTGCTTCTGGAAGAAGAAGAAGACGGAGATGGAGAAAGAGCTGTGATCCTATTCGGGTTAGATAAAGGCCTTCGTTGCTCCAAAACACCCAAGCCCACTACTCCGCTCCCTTTCACTGTATAAACTGATGCCTGCATTTTTGCCAAACCTATATACACACACACACACCTAGAGTAGAGATATATAAAAGTCAAACAGTTTATTAATCAAAGCGAAGAAAAGTACTAAAAACGCTTCCTTTATTATATTGTTACTACATTGCAAGAAACGTGAATTCTTACAGAAAAAATTAAACGGGTATATGAAAATCTGCACCCCGGAGAGAATGGAAGCGTGAGTTTTGCCGGTGGGGGAAGGAATTGTGTGAATTTGGAAGAGCTTTTTTTCCGAGTTTGAGCTGATCAGAGTAATGGTGTGGGGCAAACGAAGACGAGAATACTGTAGTTCCAATAATAATAAAATAATGTTATAAGCAGCGTCTTCTGGTTCCAAGAGGGACGAAAGCTTCGGTGAATCCGATGGATTTCTCTTTTGAAGGGATTGATGAAACTGAAAGTCCTCGTAATCTTATCATTAATTATATAATCAGAACGGATAATTAGGAAGAAGTTTTATCAGTTCTTCTCTCTTGAAAATGTTCAATTGGATATGACTCATTTTGAACTTCCTTAGTTACTCCCGAAGTTACAAACCACATTTCTTTTTTTATTATTTTCAGAAACAACAACAACAAGAAAAAGGAGCAATTTTTTTAGTCAGAAATATCTCTTAAATAAATCATAATAAATGGTTAATGTATTAGTGAATATAAAAATGTTAGTAGTTAACTACAATGGAAAATCATTTCATCTTAATATTTACTCCTTTTTCATATTATAATTCAATAACTATTTATTTGCCTTTTCTTATGATTTTTTCAGTATATTTTATCAATAATTATCCAATCTTAGCACACATTTTTATATTTTCAACACTACTTTTTATATTCTCAATATAAAAAACACCGAAAAACACACACTAACAAAACGAACCAAACATACTTCTTTTATAAATTTATCATTTTGTAGTAAGAAAGTTAGAGAAAGAAAGAGGGAGACAGAGAGGCAGAGAGAGAGAAACGAGTTTGGTATTGGGATTTTGGATTAGATTTGGGGGCAGTGGTGAGGTCGGAACTCGGAAGAGGAGGCAGACACACGTGACGCGCCAGTTTGTATTATGAAACGCGCACGTGATGTGCGTGTGACGGCAGTAAATCTAAATTTACTTTCACCTTGAATGTGTGTTCACTGTTCCGCTCCCATTTTACTCCTCAATCCCTAAATCGATGAAAATCTCTTCTCCACACTGCCGGTGCCAATTTGATTTTTAGGTTTCAAGTTGCGTACGAATCCCGTCGGCGACCTGGCTATCCGGCGAATCTGACGACCGGCCGATAGATATGGAGCTGCTGGTTGACCGGCTTAGCAATCTTCCAGAAGAGATCATTCTCCACGTTCTATCGTTTTTGCCCACAGATAAGGTTGTTGCTACCAGCATTTTGTCCAAGAGTTGGAAATCTCTTTGGACCAAGGTTAATACCTTCGATTTTGATAATCGATTGAGGGTTTACAAGTCCGGACTTTCGATAGCTCGTGTCTACAAAACCATGGCTTTTGATCAGTTCGTTAACAAGGTTTTCTTCCAAAACAAATGTCAAACACTGGACAAGGTTAGTATCGTTTGGAATCATTGGAAGGGGATAGAGCTAGGTTATTTCTCAATATGGATCACCGAGGCAATTGCTAGGAATTGTTATACATCTGATGCTGATTGTTCCTCCTGGTAGTCCGCGAACGAGTCGTTTAGTTGAGCTTCCTGCAGCCCTTTTCACAAGTAAGACTCTTGGATCTCTCAAGTTAGATGGACCTTTCCGACTTAAGGCCTCTCCTGTGGTTTGTCTTCCCAAACTTACTGCATTGCATTTTCTTTACTTTATAAATGAATAATACAAACACCAACCTGATGAGTCTTTCCATAGAGTTATATCTGGTTGCCCAATTTTGAATTCTCTCTGTCTCTGCCTCCATAGGGTAACTTATGACGATTAGCTTCCCCTTCCCTTAGATTTCTTCAACTTATTGTGGACAATAGGATTGATCCCTACAAAAACAAACTGCAGTTTAGATTGAATGCCCCTGCTCTTGAGCACCTCATTTTGTCCGGTGGGTACGCATTGTTCTCAGTAGGAGCTTTACATTCTTTGCTCAAACTCGAAGTGGCGATTGAGCTAGATCTTTCGATTCATGGTACCAAGAAAAGAAATCGTCTTGTTAAGTTATCTAGGCACACAATGGCTGTTTTGGGGTCTGCCAGTGCTAGATTGTCCACAACGTTTGAGTGGTTAACCGAATTGTACATAGAATTTGATTGTGGTGACTGGGGCTTTCTGAAAGATTTGCTGGAGTTTTCACCGAGATTGCAAGTCCTTAACATGTCAAAAAGTGGTTGGTGTACCTGGGGCCATGATCATGTATCTAAAACATGTTGGGAGGAACCTACGGACATTCCGGGATGCCTTTTACACAGTTTGGCACGCGTTTCATTCTATGGATTCGAGGGACTGAAACGTGAGCTTAAACTGCTGAAGTACATTCTTAAGCATGGCGCAGTGATGAAAACTATCTTAATAGGGTGCAGTAAGGAGGAAAAAACCGTCCAAAAAGTTGAGAAGTTGCGCAGAGTCCCCAAAGCTTCTCCTTCCTGTGAAATAGAATTAAGTTCTGGTGCCCGTGGTGCGACTTGGAATTGACGTTTTTTACATCCTGAGACTTCTTGTTTGTTCTGAATCCTCTTTATTCAATTGCGGAGTATGTGTAGTTTGCTTATGGTTGTTGCACCATAGGGCTTTCTTCATGTTTTGTTTCGATTCGCTAGCTAAATGTATATTCTGGCAACACTATATATGACAATAGTGTTAGATCGGCCAGGTTCAACTCTTTCTCAAAGAGTTGTTTTGTAAGTAAGCTATGATTCCTCATCATCAATATATGTATTGTTGCTCTCCAGAAGTTTTTATGTTTCTGTGATCTGATTCTCCCTCCCTGGAAGTTTTAAGAACCTTGGTATCGTGACATAGCCAGATTCCATGAAAAGGTCAATAGTTACAGAACTGCCACCTAAGGATTTCCATGTGATGGCTAGTGTTGCCGGGGGTGGGAGGTGGTGGAAAGAAAAGAGTGAGAAATCGAAATCAAATTGGTGAGAGATATTTAGTGGATTGGTAGCAAAGCTCATTTGAGAGTATTCAGCAACTGAACAATTACAATCATCCATTTCAATGAAGAAACACGGAAAACGAATAGATCATGCAAGTGAAGCATTGGTTCAAAATAGGAATTATGCAAACCCTTCTGTTATTGTACAAGGTTAATAATACTAGTAATGAAGCAGAATCTCTTATATATCTCGTCATCATCATGTTTACATGTCATTGTCAAAAATATCAATATCAATATTTTCTTCTAAACCAATACTCGTGAAAGGCTAACCATTGTCGTGTTCTATCGGAAGTTTATGAATAATTTGACGATGATCTATTGATGATGAAACCATTGGCGGTGTTTCTCGGCAATACAAATGGGCTCAAGCCCATGTGTAAATTGAGCATATTTTAAAATACAAGAGACCCAAAATTAATTGGCTTTTTGGATGATAAAATTTTGGGTTAAGCCCATCAAAAGAATAAATGAGGATCAAAGGAATTTATTAGTTCGGAGTAGAACAATGTATTATGAAACTATCTCCAGCTCTCCAGTTCATTCTTTCAAACACTTGAAATTTGGAAACACCGGTGGGGCTGTGGCTAAGCAGAAACTTTGTATACCAGATACCATCAAATTTCTGGAAGTAAAAAAACCCAGAATTCCGCTTTGAATCCCTGAAGATCTTCAATCCTGTTGAAGCAAGAGTTCGGGGTTAGTGGACATTTCAATCTTTCTGTTCCTTACTTTCTTTTTATTGATTTTTGCTGTGTTGATTATCCATGTAAATGGTCTCCGTTCTTTTGTTCCCCTGAATCCATGTACTTCAATTCATGTTTCTAGTGTTTGATATTCGAGGAAAGGGAAAATTTCCCATTTCCCAATCCCACTCTGTCAGTTAAACGAGTGAATGACTCACAAGTTTGTTTTGTTGGAAATTATGCGGCTTAAAGAGTGCATTTGGGCATGCAAATTGATTTAGCTTGCCATATTTTTTTTATTTAGGTCAATGTTGTATGCCATTTCTGCGCCTACACCTTGTACCAGCATATCTTATCCAAGAAAACCCTGCTTCAAACTCCGGCAGTTTGCTCCCCAAAGGCTTCGTGTGTGCGCTTCTTTGCCAGAACCGAATGGGGCCAAAGTGGAATACACCCCATGGCTGATTGTTGGATTGGGCAACCCTGGGAATAGATATCAGGGGACGCGCCACAACGTAAGGAAGCTCTAATCGAAGTGTTATTCTTATGGAATTTTCCCTATTACATAGTTCGGGTTTAATTGATAGATGGATAGAAGAGGTAGATGGAAATGAATTTCTGTAGCGTAATTCATGTTTTTCTGATTTGTTAGGTTGGTTTTGAAATGATTGATCATATTTCCCGAGCAGAAGGCATTCCGCTGAATACTATACAATCAAAGGCATTGATTGGAATAGGTGCTTATTCTACCCTATTACCCCCCTTACAATTCTCAGATGTTAGGTTCACCGCAGCTTAGATCTTTTCTTTTCTATCAATGCAGGTTGCATTGGAGAAGTTCCAGTTTTGCTGGCCAAGCCTCAGGCATACATGAATTACAGTGGAGAATCAGTATGTTCTCATTTCCCATCAGAGTTGATAATTCTAAAAGTGTCCTTTTACTGTCTATCATGAAGAAGTGTGTCTTCACTTATCTTTATTGATAAATCAAGGAATCCAGTTTCGATACTTAGTTCTGTCAACAGTTAACTGTTGATTGTAATCCTGTAAAAATCTTTATAGTGAATGGACACTAGTAGTAGATTAGCTAGCACCAGATCATTCAATAACAATTAGATCTCAAGAAATTGCTATCCTTTGTAAAACGAGGATAACTTCATTTACTAAGTGTCTCTCAAAACAGTCTAATGTGATATTGCAGGGTGTTCTGAAACCTGTTCGACCTTAGTTCGGACACTTATATGACACATCAGCTCAGTAATTATCCATTTTGAAAACATTTCCGTTGCCTTCGACTTGCATCTTAATCAGTTCCTTAATAAGTCAGCAACCCAATATAATGGGAACTACCGTGTTATTATGTCTGTACTAAGTAAACAATGGCCTCCATGATGATTATAAGTTTCAGATTGTTTCTTCTTCATCTAAACATCCGGTGTTTCGATCTGTCCAATATTCTTTAATTTTGCCAACTTTCTCATATGTTCAAATTAAAAGAACACAATTTTATTGTTTATTCAACATCTGTTTCCTTGTATCTTTACATAATTCAACCACAATACCCATCTATGCATACTGTTTTGTAATCGGGATTGCAGATCTGGTTTTCCTTTTCTTTTTTGTTCTGGGATGATTAAGTCGGTCTGAAATACTTGGTGCTAAACTGTTTTTCCTCTTTCTTTTCCTATGTTGCAAGGTCGGACCACTAGCTGCATATTATCGCGTACCTCTGCGCCATATCCTTGTGGTATGTTTATCACATCACTTTAGGCCATGCTTTTCTGTTCAATATATGTGAACCATTGCTGAAATAGCATTTTCTTGTGAATAATGAATTTCTCGTCCTGACTTTTGTTTCAGATTTACGATGAGATGAGTTTACCTAATGGTGTCTTACGGCTTCAGCCAAAAGGAGGGCATGGCTATAACAATGGGTACTGAACTACTGATTCATACACAGTGATTTGCTGGAAAAATGTTTGACTATGATGATTGGAAACTTTATCCTTACTAAACATCTGCCTCAGAAATCTGTATTCATTGTTTCAGGTGTCCATTTCCTGTTTTCATGATGCTTCAACTAGCTCCCATGCACAGTATAAATTTAAAACTTTATTATTGTATTCTAATTACAGTGTAAAGAGTGTGATTGAGCATTTGGACGGTCGTCGTGAATTCCCACGTTTCTGCATAGGTTAGTTTTTTTGGAATCATTCTCTAATGCTATTAGACAATCATTCTTTTTTATCTAAACTCTGTGATTCTACTTGTACAATAGGTGTCGGTAATCCACCTGGAACAATGGACATGAAGGCTTTTCTACTTCAAAAGTTCAGCGCTGTTGAACGGAAGCAGGTAAGCATACTTCTCTGAACATAGACAATGTGAAGCAATTGGCATGGTTCCTTCTTAAAAGGATGGTGTTGGTTGTCTTCTCTATTCTTGGGCATAGAGCGTGGCAGATCTATTAAATCCATTAGATATCATGTTTCACCTAAGATTTCCACATACAAATAGTCTTAATTGCTCATGTATCTGGTTTATCTAAGCCACTGAACTTGATAAAGGATACACCGTGGTTGATTGAGGACAGTTGGTGCTGTCATGGGTGTAATGTGTAATCCAGTTGCGGCTCTGGTAATAACATGTTCCGATGACGTTGCAGATAGATGTTGCGCTGGAGCAAGGTGTTGAAGCTGTTAGAGCCCTGGTAACTGGAGGATTCAACAGTAGAATCACAAGATTCAATCTTGGACAGAAATACAAGTACCACAAAGTTTAGCTGTTTTAAGTGGAAGCCGAAGTTCACAAAGGCAAACTTGTACAGAGAGTGGTCTTCTAGCAGAGCATAATACCAAAAGCCCAGCTTTCTTTTAATTCTATATTTTATGTTTTTTTAGGTACATTTTCATACTTTCAAGATCAAATAGAAAGATTACGCAAACAACTGTTTACACTTTTGAAGCTGGGTAGATCTCAAGAGGAGGATGTTCGTACTAATGATGGCTGTTGCATGGGCATGGGAGATTGGGAACTCATTCTCCTTTGTTTACCTACATTCCCTAATCTCCATGCTTTCAACTAATCCAATCAATGTACAATTTTTACTCGAATCCATAAAACAAAACGCTATTAAATTTAAGATATCTATGGATGGATTGTATCTAAAAAGAAATTCATCATATTCGAAAACCATCGCTCCTGCCATTTGTAATAGTTTCCCCAATGGCCGTCATTATGAGCCATATAAGATAGCTACAAAATTTTATCCGGCATATTTTCTAACTGACGATGAAGCCTAGGACAACAGCACGTTTGACGTTTTCAATTCACAAACCGGAACCAAAGACACAAACTTCACAGTTGCAAAATGGCAAATGATCTTTAAAGCTTTGTCCTTTTTGACAAGTTTTACTAAATGTCAGCCCTACTTTTCGTTAATTACTTTTCTTTGGGGGGTCAGTTAAATAAAGTTAAACCAACCTACTGTAGTATTAGTTTACCAAGAACACGATCAAATCTCCCAATTAACGATATAAATCGAGAAAAATATCACTGTTCCCCATTTTCTTTTTTGGGGATTTAAATAATTCAGACCCCACCTAAATATTAACGTTGGAAAGCTAGTTCAACTGTTCACCTTTCAGCCTTCTCTCTCGGTTTTCTTCTACTTTCTATTAGACCGTTGGGAAATACATCCTCTTCTTCAACTATCACAAAAGCTCCATTACAATTCCATCAATGGCTTCTCTCTACACAGCCCTTGATCCCACATCACTAATCCTTTCTCAATTCTCAAACTCATCCGATCAGCCTCAGATGCTTCAACTTTCTACACAGAGTTTGTATATGGAAAGGGGACCAAGGTACAACGATTATGCTGCTCTTAGAGAGTCAAAGCTGAGGATGAGGTCCATGAAACAACCGATCCACGAGGAATTCCAAGAAGAAGAGATGGAATTGGTCACGACCCCACCAAAGAAACAAGTCAAATTTCAGGGTAATCTAGCCGTTACGCCTTCTAGACGGACGACGAAAGGGTCGTCTTCTTCTTCCTCTATTTTGACCCAGTCAGTGCCGGACTTTTCATCGGCTTTGCGGAAGGAGAATCGGAAACCGCGGGTTCCTCCGCTCCCGACGATGATGGAGAAGTCATTAACGCCGCCGCTGAAGTCGAGGAGTGGGAAATTTGATGGGATGGTTGTGGGGAAATTGGGAGGAGGTTCAGGGAGCAAGTCGGTGAATTCTGGGGATAAAAGGGCGGCTGGAGGATTGATGGCTGCTAGGAAGAGCTATGCAAGTATTGAGGATTTGAGAGGATTGGCTTCTGATGCAAGGAGTGCTATTATTGCAGAAAACAGGGGAGGAAAGATTGGGAGAGGAATTGGCAGCAAAACCATATTGGGTTACAGCAGACAGTATTGATGATATTAAAAAAAAGTTGGCTTCTTCTTTTATATTGGCAAGATTGCAAATTTCCTGAGATTTTCTCCTTCCACTGGGTTTTTCCTTTGATTGTTACCAATTCTTTTGTTGGGATGATATAAGGTCTTTCATGTAGAAAAGCCTTTTAACAACCTAGTCAGTAGATTCTTTTTTGTTCTGAAAATTATAGTATGGTTTTGTTTTTTGTATAGGGTAATGGAAGTATAGCGAACCAACAATGGTTGTTGATTGTAATGTGCTGATAAGCTTTATGCAAGATGTTCTGCTTTATGGACTTATGATAGATATAGAGTTACCGCCTCAGGCCTATTCATTAGCATTCTTTTTTTTTCCTGAAGAACAGTGCAGAAGCAATACTATTTCTCTACACACACTATCAATAACTTGTTTGCTCTACATAAAATTCTTGATTCTGTTCTTGATCATCAATAACCTGCTTCAATGGTCAACAGAAGGGAAACTACTTACTACTATACTTCTAATGCACAAAAGCCAACAGCTTTTTTACTTCTAGAGATGGCTTTTTTCCCACAGTCAAATCCAAGACTTCTAACAAAACAAAATAACACCTAACATTGGGGTTTGCAGTAAAGAACCATTAGGGAGCAGCAGTTAGAAGATACTACATTTATAGTCTATCCGCAGGTCTATTCTATCCACAGGTCTATTCTAACAATTAACACATTCTGGGTTGAAGCCTGTGAATTCAAGCAGCATTTCTGAAATTAGGGCTTGGAGTATCTGCTGGTCGATTTCGGTACCTGTTTCAAATGCTTCCAGCTCAAAGTCAGTCCATTTCCCCAAAGAATGACTCATATCATGTTCAATCAGTTCATCTGGAAACAAGCCCGCCAATGCAAGCCACCTTCCAATTTCTTCAACAATCTCACATATCAGCATTTCGGTTTTCATGCGTAGAGGCAGTCTTGTCCACGCATTAAATCCAGTGTTTGAATACCGGCTAAATCTTGATTCTAAATATTCTACAAAACAATCCAGAACAAATCCTTTGAGCTGATTTTTGGCTTTAGTATCTAGACCAACTATTGCGCTGAACTTTCTCCACATTACACTAGCTAGCATATCAAGTTGATCCAGGACAAAATTGCTTATTGAAAAACCTTCATTTAAAACTCCATCAGGCAGAGCTGCATTTCCAAAAATCAGTTCAGCATTCAAAATGACCTCCTTCGCATGGACGAGCTTACTTCCTTTCAAATGGAGATCATCAAGGTTTAAGGTGACAAAAGCTTCAGAAATTTTGTCAAGGAGATTAACTACTGAGTTTCTATAAAACTTTCCCATCCCAGGTGAGCTCACAGAATCAAAAAATTCTTTGTCAGGCTCTAACAACATGGGTTCTTCATGGCATTCTGTACAATCATCACCCCCATTGTACCCTGTAATTAAAGCAGATTTTATGAGAACAAAGAACTATTGAGTACTACAAATCTTTACCAACAGAAGAGTGCATCAGTACTCACTTGAGCTGTCGTCAAGACTACTGGAGCAGCAGCTATCATTTGAAAAACAGGGCTCAAGAACAGATCCAGGACTGAGGTGCTCAGAAGTAAGTAAGTTTCCAGCTGAATTATTACTTGATTTTCGTTTGGCCTGTTAAAAAGAAACAAACACAAGTTAAAGATCAAAGTTTCCAATATTATGTAGATAACAAGTAGAAAATTTCAAGGGAAATAAAAGAATGTGCAAAACAAATCTGATGGCGGAGAGAATTCATTGAGTCATGCTCCAATGCATAAACGGTTTTTGAGGTGGTTCAGTCTGCAAAGCAACATACCTGGAAATTGGTGGAGGCATTTCTCTTAGAATGCTGAGCATCATCACAAATACAGCTTTCTGTCTTAGTATCTCCATGAGAAAGATCGGCGCGATGACATGGCTTCTCTGTAGTCAAGGCCGAAATCAGTTCCTGGAGAATCATGGCAGTGGTTTTCTTCGGTGCAGAGTGCCCAAATGCACAATCATCCTCCTCTTGACAAGTTAGTTCCTTCAGCTTTTGTTCTAGAAGTGCACCTAAACTATCCCCAGTCAAAGGCAATTTTCTCAAAGAACTTCCATCAACATCGGTAGAGGGTGCTGTCTTGTGCACAAGTTCACTATTACGAACATTCTGATTTCTACAAACCTCCACATTTGAATGGATTTCAGACTCCCGCTTCCTTGAGGATTTAAAAGTAAAAGATACATCATCAGCATTATTTTTTACATTATCACCACTCAAACTTTCCTGAAGATGTCTTGCTGAATGGCTAGATCGGCCCCTATCTTTTCCAGATATTGTATTGTGCCTGCTATTAGTTTTTGCCAAAGAAGAGCTCATCAGATAAGGACTTTCAATTTGTCTAATGCTATCCACTGATCTCCTCTTTCGTACGGGAGATGAGGAATCGTGTCTCCTGTCTGCAGTTTTCTGATTTGTATCAAGACAGTAGCCATCCACTTTGACAGGTATCCTTAATTGAGCACTGTCACTAATGTTTTGATTCAGTGCAACAAAATCTTTTGCCTCATTTATGGCATTTGCTGCTGAAGTTACTCTGCCATGTTGGAGCCTACTTATCTTCGGCCTTGAAGGTAGCCGATCCCTCCCTTGAGATATCTGATTTTCCCCGTGAAATTTGTGCCTAGCATATACAGAAGGAGAATCCTTCTGAAGCTTGAACTGTGGGCTACTTGCTTGCCACTGTCTTCGACATTCTTTGTTGAGAAACTTTTTCTCTGGAACAAAATCAGTACAAGCTTGTCTAGATTTCATTCCAAACACAGCAGGCAATTGTGGATCCAGTTTATTTCGTTCCATTTCCCTCTGTGTGGTGAAGATGGGAAGTCTTGGATTACACTTTTCTGATACTTGATCAGAGAGGTGCGCAATTTGTGATGTGGGCGATGAAACAGATGGTTTTTCATCTGAATGTGGTCGGATGTCAGCAATATCAAGCACATGACCGCAGTTTCGGCAAGACGATGATTGCTTATTAGAACTATTGGCAGAACTCTGAAGATAGAAGGCATGCTCATTGGTCTTCAAATCTGCTGCTTCCTCCAACAATACTTGAGCTTTAGGATGAGGACTATACTCATTTGAGTAAGTAAGGGAGCCTTTTGTCCGACTCCTCTGCAGTCCAGGCTCCAAAATTCTAGTAGCAGCACCAATTAGCCGAGATGCATTCTTCCCAGAAACACTACGAGGACTTTTCACAGGAGAAACCAGTTTTTGTTGATGATGTTTTTTGGATCTTGACAATACATTTTTTAGCTGCAGAGCTTCAGTTCCAAACCTAGTAACCTGCCTTCTCTCACTCAATCCAATCTTCTGAAGCTTCTGAGGCCTTAGCTCTTGTTTTGTCTCTCCTTTTTCTAAATTCAGTTCTTCCCTCCCAAACCTTGTACTACCATCTACAACCTTCTCCCCTGCTTTATCAGCAGTACCAGATGAAGGGCCATTATTATCTTTATTCTGCCTTGCCGTAGGCATTGATTCCAAACCCATAAGTCTAGCAACCAATCCAGGTGTTCGCATTTCTTTCCTTTGTTCGGAATCAACACTGCAACCCGCAGAAATCTTCTTCCCATGAGGAAAACCTCCATTGTTTTCATCAGCAATCTATAGATTTATGGAACAAACAATGCACCAAAAAATCAAAAGCAGTGGATGGATCTTTCATCTAAACAGCTGAATTGTTCACAAATAATCATCAAATTAGAGCAATAATTCAGTTCATACCAGACGGAGCTTGGGTAGCTTCTCATCTCCAGCAAACTTATTTGAAGATTTCCTCAGACGAACTAACAAAACCAATCAACAATGTCACAATATCAAACTTAAAACATACAGTAAATGGTGCTAAATTGATAATGTAAAGGATAAAGAAAAACAGAAAGATAGAGAACAGTAGAAAAGCAAGAAAGACTAACCTGGAGGAAGCAATTTCTTAGAGAAAAGCTTCTTCTTTGCAAGCCTTCGGTTCCATTCAAGTAATTGAAAGAAGATGCCTGCGCACCCACCAGACTTCTGAGACTTCTTCTCCACAATGGCTAGAGATGAGGACGATTGCACTGAAATTTCACTCATTTCTTCCCCCCACAATGCACAGTAAGAACCGTCTCAATCCCAATCTTCTGAGATCGAAACCCAAACCCTCCTCACCGGAGAACCAAAAATTTCACATTACCCGGCTCTACCTTCCCACCAATGACAAGAAACACAGCAAAAAATTCAAACTTTGGACCCAAATAAGCAAATAAAGAGCCCACCATTGGTATGTATGTAGTCACTCTTCTGACTGCTTATCTCATCACATCAAAACCAGTACAGTTCACCAGCAAATAAAAACACAAAACAATGAAAGGGAGAAACACGAGAAAATAGTATACCCCTTTACTCTTTCACCGTTTGAGGAACCCTTTTGGTTAGAAAGATCACATGATTTTCCGTAAAGGATAGAGATAGGGTAAAAAGTGCCCACAAGAATTACCAAAAATAAAAGGAGAAAGAATCTAAAAACAATGTCGCAGCTGAAACAGTGAAACGTAAGCAACTTTCACAAGAAAACAGTCCACTAAACAACAGAAAAAACCCACCGCAATAAAGAATACTCTCCCTCAGGCGTCTCAGCCCAGCTCAGCTTCACTTATTAACAGTGCAAAACAAAGATACCCCACTTCTGATTGTACCATACATAAACCACCAAACAAACGTTCATCCACGTAGCTCCTTAAGTCTTAACCCACTACAGTCTCATAAAGATTTGTACTTTACTAACCTGTCTAACCATAGTTCATCATTGATTATCATTTGCATTCCTCTTTCCTTTTTTTGGACCAGAGTTATAAGAACAATCAAAAGCAAACTCAGAAGAACTGCAGGTCAATAACAATACAAGGAGCGCTTAATTTACGAGACCCAATAAAGAGATGGGAAAAAAATAATCAATAGAGGGATTCTTTTGCAGAAACAGGATGAAAAAGCTGAGCTGTGAAAACGGCTGCTCTGCGAAATTTTTACTGTTAAATTTGGGACTGTTTGAGACAGAGGAGAGAAAGTAGACAAGACTGAGGGAGACTAGTTGGGGGCGCAGGATAAGAGATGAATGAGACAAGAAGTTGAGCCCCCACGCGTTCTGAAAGATTGGTCAATCAGCTTGCTTGGATTTAAGTTGGTGTTTTATTTTTCTAGCCACCAAGATTACTACTTGAAACCACCACTTTCAAATTTAGACCATTTTACTCTTGTCATTTTTTCAAATCAAATAACTTGACTAAAATAACTTAAATAATAAATTATTCATAAATTTAATGGCCTAAAAATTAGATTAACTAATTACAAAAAAAATCAAAAATTTGAAAATTAAAAAAAAAATGGGCGACCGAACGATCCACCCGTCCCAAATTAACTCGGGACGCGCAAGGAACTCGTCCACTTGTTCACCCGAACGAGTTCCTTGCTCGTTCCGGGTTAACTCGGAACGGGTGGACCGCCCGGTCGCCTGGTTTTTTTTTTAAAATTTTTAATTTTTTTAAAAAATTTTTAAATTTTAGATTTTTTTTTGTAATTAGTTAATCTAGTTTTTAGGTCATTAAATTTATGAATAATTTATTATTTGAGTTACATTAAGTATCACCAATTTTTGTATTACAAAAAATAGTTAATCTATTTGCACATATTTATCACAATCTTTGTAGTACAATTATAATTTTTCATTATAAATGTATAATTATTATTTTAACTAAAAATTATCTTTAAAATAATGATTGAAGTAAAATTTATATTTTAATATCAATTCAATTAAATTAACTTAACGAATAATCTTAAATTTGTTTTCAAGTAAAAACTAATTACTTGTTTATTTTCAAGTAAATATAAAATCGAGAGTTTAACCATTAAAGTATAAATATTGTTAAATGACAGGAGCAAAATGGTCCAAAAATTTTTTTCGTGACTTTGACTACTAAAGTGGGTGGCTTCAAAAACCCACCTCCGGAACGGAGAACCCATTATCATCATCTTTCAGTACAAACCCAAATTTCTGCAACCAATAATTTTACTGATTTAAGCCATACCAAATTACTATTTCTTGTGCATTTTCAAGAGTTATTATAAAATGGGAAAAAAAAAACTAAAATTAAGAAGAGTGGGAGAAATTGGGGAACGTTGTGTCTACGTCTGTCTGCTAAATTGCGCTGTCTGGACGTGGAAGTTTTGGATTTCGGATTTCGGATTCGGAGCGAATTTTTTGAAATGTGTCAGTGTGTGTGTGTGTGTCTGAGGTTGATGGATACTCGCATTACGTGATGAGGACGATTCACGCGCGGCCAGAAATGATAACAAGTCATCTTGTCCTTGCATGAACAAGTTGGGGTATGTGGAGTTAAACTTTACAGATTCGCACGAAGCGAGTGGGAAAAGTGGGAAAACTTTGGTGTTGAAATTTTGTTTTAATTGGCGTATTTACACATGTGAGTCCCCTATAATTTGACAATTCGAGGAAATTGAGGGAATTAATGTGTACTTTCTTCTGTGGGTGGTGTGAACTTTGGCATCCTATATTTTTTACGCAAATTTTTACCACTCTTTTTGCTTCAAAAAAGGCATGATATACATTGAGTGTTTAAAATTTGTATTTTAAAAAATATGTATTATACCGTGATTGTATTATATAGTCGACACCCTTATAAAAATTGAATTGCAATTTATAATCTCATTATAAGAATTTTCTGAATTTCTTTCAATCGTGGTAATTTCATTATTTTTGCCTGGTTGCATAAAGAAAATGTAAACTAACAATAGATTACTAGAAAAGCACAAGAGAATTTTCTACTTAGGGTTCGATGGTTCCTAAATCCTAATTAAATCTGATTTAACACCGTCATTTTCATTGTCAAATTATATGATGAGACATTTACATGAGATTGTATTAAATTATGTTGTTGTTGGCAAGTCGACTTCATATATTATGAAGAAAGTATTGATTGTAACCGTCTAATGTCGGTCTATTTTATTGTCATTTATTACTATCGCAGAATAGTAGTTTCTATTTTATTTGTCGGAAACCACACATTTTCTGGTATTTGACTTACTGAAGATTCTTCAGGAGCTGTAATCCCTGTCTTTGACTTAAAAAAAAATAGTAATTACTCTCTTTGTTCTAGAAAACAATATACTTGAATTTAAAAAATCATAGTACTCCCTCTGTCCCAAAATTATTGTCCAGTTTGATATTTCACTTTTAGTATAATTTAAACTAAAAATAAAAACTCAAACTGGACAATAATTATGAGATAGGGGAAGTATTATTTTTAGTAAAAATCTGAAAATTCAGTGGTGTATTTTTTTTTTTAATAAAGGAATAGATGGAGACATGGAGTACTTATTTACGACAATTGATTCTCGCTTATTTTTGCATGCAACAGAGTGTTCATCATTTAGTGAGCTATTAATCCGTTTACTGATCGGAAGATGTAAACGAGACATAGCATTATTTCATCATTTGCAATTTTGCATGACATTTTCATCTGGACGTTGCCTTCCACATGCATGTTCCACTATTTCCAAAATAGAAATAGAAATGGGCCTTTAACCCAAAAGAAATTTCGATGGACAAAATTACAGAACATTAGTCTGCAATCAAAGGGCCCATTTCCACCTATACAGGTTATTGACAAACACTTGGTTCTCATATTGGTGGGTATTTAGGATTGTCTTTGGATTTTACACATAACAACAATGCTCTCTTCGGCAGTATTCTCACCAAATTAAAAGGAAAATTTAGCTACTGGAAAACTAGATCCTTATTGACGCCTGGGAGATGAATCAAGCTCTCCTAGCAAAGTCGTGGAGAGTTATTAGTAATGAGAAGCCTCTTTTCTCTTTGGTGTTTAGACAAAAGTATTGCAGGCGAACCGACTTTCTTGTATGCAGTGCAAACTCACATTCTACCTGGGGCTGGAGGGGTATGTTATGGGGAAGGGACTTGTTGAAGAAACATCTGAAATGGAAGATTGCAAGGGGGGATCGTGTCAGCATTAAGGATGATTGGATCCCGCGGTGTTCAAATCCTCTGAGGGATACTAATCACAGTAATTTTAGCGTTCTGAAAGTAAAGGACTTGATAGATATATGCTTCCGGAGTTTGGAGATTGCCATTACTTCAGGTGTTGTTTCCTCCTTCAATCATTAGTCATATCCTTTCTATTTACATTCCTTCTCAGTCCAGACCTGTTGAGGATGAGCTGTATTGGAAGCCTTATAGGAATGGCATTTATACTGGCAAAAGCGGCTATTATACATTACACCAAGATAATCAACTTGAGAAGGCCTCTAACCAAAATGTTTCCTCAACTTCCAAGTTAGTGGGTACTCTCAGCATGTAGAGTGGGAAGATATTTTGGAAAATTAAGACTCCAGCCAATCTTCAATGGTTCTTATGGAGATCCATTTTGAAGACTCTCCCTACATCCACTAACCTCTTGCATAGAGGGGTTGTGGTCCCTGTTTTGTGTTGTAGGTGCGGACAAGTGTCAGAGACAACTGAGCATGTGTTCTTGGAGTGCAAAATGTCTCGAAAGATTTGGTTTCTTTTCCCGCTTGGTTTTAATTCTGATAGAACACAACATAAAGAATTTGCGGAATGGTTAAACGAATGGCTTCTTGAAGTCCCAGACCCCACTCTTATTCAGTTGTCCTTTCAAATCATGGGAAGCATTTGGGTCTCAAGAAATAAAGCTGTCAGGGAGAACTCGATTGCGACGTGGGAAAGAGCAAGGAGGCACACAATATGTTCTTACAGTCCACCATCTCCGACTGAGCCTCAGTATTTGCAAATCGAATCGATGAATCCCTCAACTCCGATCACGCTTAACACAACATCACATCACATCTATGTGGATGGTTCTTTCTTGGACAATGTTTGTCAAGGTGCTGCAGCTTGGGAAATATGGGATTCACAAGGAAAAAAGATCTATGCCAATGGTCTAAGATTTGCATCTGTGTCTTCCATATAGTCAGAAGCTTTAGGATTGTTGTATGCTTTACGGGATGCTCTTGCTTTGGATGTATGTTCCTGCAGGATTTACATAGATTGTATCTTGTTTTCAGACCTTGAAGAAGAGAAAGTAAATCTGCCTATTGAAATTAGGAATATCAGTAGGGATATCCTTGGTCTAATGAATCTGTTTGATTGCTGTAAGGTTATTAAAGTTTTTAGAGGTTAGGTAGAGAGTGTCAACCAAGTAGCTAAGCAACTAAATAGAGTTTTACAATTTCCTGTTTAGTTTTAATAAAAGGTGTGCTTCATTAAAAAAAAAAAAAGTAGAAGATGTCTCTCACCAGATAGATTATATTCGTACAAGTTATTATGCTTAGGGAAAATTTCACATTATGCACCCTATGTAAAATGAATCAACAAATTCAGAGTATATTTTAAAACAACATAAAACAACAAATTCAAACATAGGTTGAAATTTGGTGAATTGTTCCAATTCATGAGTGATAAAAATTGTAGTATATTTTATTTTATTTTTACATTGAGCTTGAATGACATGCCTTGTTTTTTTAATAAATAAAATAAAATAAAAATTGAAGTAACCACAAGAGGCTATTTTTGAAGTAGGCTTAGGGCCTGTTTGATAAAAATTAATACTTAGTTTTGAATACTTAATACCGAATAAGAATATTGAATTCATTAAACAGTTAAGGAATAAACAATAAGCTAACTTTTATTGCTTATGTTTTGTACTACAGTTTCAGCACCACTTATTCAATAAGATGTTTAATTTTTGTTATCAAACATATTGAAATCAATAAGTACTTAATGGAATAATTTTAAGCAATAAGTAGTGTTATCAAATAAGCCCTTAGCATAGCAAAAGAGAATTTCCTTTTTCCTTATTATTTGTACGAATCCAGATAGTGAAATGGAATATCTCAATATCTTTCATACTGTTCATATATACATACTGACTTATCGTATTTGTTTATTTTCTCTAATTAGTACATTCATGATTAACCATTATCTTGACGAGTTCTAATTTCATCTAAATAAAATAACCTTTGTGTTTTTCATCTAAATATTCGGGGTTTTTTGTTTTGAAAAAATTTGGTTTCGAAGAGTAAATGCATGATCCTTCAAATAAAAATAAAAGAATAACAAAAAAAAATGTCCATTAATAAGTTCGGGCGGTATGTATAAATTAAATAGATATAAGGATTTGATTGTAATAAGTTAGAAGGATAGGTTGGTTAGTTCGTCTATGTATAACACTAACTTGTGTACTGCTCCATTGGGCGGTTACTCCTTTTTTATTTCTACTTCGCTAAATACACTACACATAAAAGTAGAATCCAATTGTTCCAAATTTCGCCCCGCTCGTGATTTCAAGTTTGACGTAAGCGATTTCTTTCCTTCGATTATAGTTAATTCTTCCATTCTGATTAAATTGAATTTAAATTTTGCCAACCGTATTGTTCCAGTAAGGGATTGTGTTTATGATAACTTAATTGTGTTTTGATTGATTTGCCTTACCATTTTCCAGTATTGGAGTTGATGTATGTTGAATCTACCATTATGATCATGTATCTGTCTCGATTCTCTGTTTTATGTTTGTCGCTAGTTATTCCACATATATTAGGTTCAGTGTGATAAAATGACTAAGTATATAAGTTAATTTGCATGCTTAATATGGATTAAAATAGCAGGTAGTTGCTTATATGTTGGATGATTATGAATATAATCTATTAGTGTGTGGGATAGCATGTCCTACTTGTTTTTCTAACTCATAGGTGCACAATATCATGAGAACTTACTATGAATGTAGGCACATCTTGAAGAATCATACTGCCGAGGTACTTCTTTGTTAAAAAGATTTCTCAGTTTATTGTTTTATTTATAGTGGCATGTTCGTTCTCTGATGATAGTTCTAATTTTATATATGTAGTCAAGAGCGGCTCGACGTTAACTGAGGTTTAAAGCGAGTATAAAACTGGATTCTTTTAAAAATTTAAAACACTATCAACAACTAATGTTCCTCATGTGAAATTTATGAGAAAAATTTAGTTTATGTTTGTTATAGTTTATGTGAATATCATTTTGGTAAAGTTTTTGTACATAAAATCTTTAGTTAATGTTCCTTAACAAATAACAAATCATTTCATTTTGATTTTTTTAAAAAAATAATGATATAGTCACAATGTATTAAATTATTTCGATTCGTTTAACTTGCAGAATTTCTTTCTAAACAATCAACTGTCATGGTAACAGTTGATATTATAATACTAGAACATATCGAGTTTTATAATTAATTATAGCAATTAACATTTTTATAATCTTAAAATAAATTTAAGAATCAATATCTCCAGTCATGTTCGTATTAATGTAAATTTGCATGACTAAGGGAACTATTTATGTTAATTGATTTTAAATATACATTATCAACATAAATATAACATTTTTTTATTTTTTATATTGGTTGAGTAGAGAAAATAAAAGTTTTTTAATTAATGTCAAAAGCAAATACTTTACTTGGTTTATAGTAAAGCCACCCTTGTATTGTAGTAAAAAACCTATATTTGTGTGATGTATATTTACAAATTTTATTTGTTGTTACAAATGATTTAGAGTTAATTAGGAACTTAATATCGAACTTGATGGTAACTAGATTATTGCGTGGTAAGGATATTAATAGAGTGAAATTACCATGGCTGGTCATTAATTACTTGAGACACTCCTTTGATAACCGTGTTCCTAGATCAATCAGCAAACATTTTTCTCTCAGAGAATAATATTACTTGTTAAGGTTGATTCATAACATTGTTGACCGTACTATGCTTATGGAGCGAGCAGATTGTCTGCGGGTTTAGATCGCTGAAAGTCAGGTAGAATTGTTGGGAGAGCTAGTGGAGACTCAAGACGCACTTGACTTGGCTGAGGAGATCTACCTATGGAGTCGCGAGCATTTCCATGTTCCCTCTGGTCATACTTTTGTCAATATATTCAGTTGTTCTGAAATCATGTTGCTCGAGACCATTTACCTAGAGAATCATCCACCTGTCATCCATGATCCAATATTTTTCGCACCGAGCACGTCTTAAGTCAAGTCCAATTGCTGCTTCTCAGCATTAGAATCCACCGGCGACTGGGTCTTGATATCCAACTAAGGAAAGATCGGATTTACATAGTTCATCGTGTTCAGGGGGTGATGCTCAACTTTAGATTGTCGAGGTTCCACATGCTACGTGTGGGCAACACGGTTTCTACAGTAATCACGACCCCAACCATTTAAACTAAGGTAAAATTCTTTTCTCTCTTCTTCTGATGTTATGTTCATTTGAGGTGCTTTCCAATACTTGTCATGTATTGGAAAGGAGGCCAAGAGGGTTTTTTTTTTTTTTTTTGGGTGCAATTTGGTCTATTGTTGTATACTTGATGGCTGTAAAGTGTCACTTTATTTGCTTCTGGTTTCTGTAACAACCCTTGTTGCACTCTGTCAAATAGAATGTGTTGTACTTTTATATAGTTTTTGTTTTTAATTGTGGTGAACTTGGGAATTTGTTGTTGATAGAAGCACTGCATAGCGATACACTTAGAAAGAGGTATTAGGCTTGTCGGTTGATCCATTTCTTCAAAGAAATTTTGAGCGACCAACTAGCATGGTTCTTTGTCTACTTACAGGAAAAAATGGTCAAAGGCTCAAGAAGGAAATGAATTCTACGGGAAATAAACTTATCATGCTGCCTTGAATTCTTTCTTGGGACTGTCTGTAGAAAATCTTAACAAGTAAAGTGCATCTGAACTGTAATGGCTAGTTGTTTCTTATTGGTTTGATAGTTTTCGTATCCGTCTAATGTTAATAATCGTCTAATGTTAATAATTGACGAAATGATGTACATTAACAAATATAGAAGCAGTAGTTTCAATGATATAGCATCTTCAATACAGCTATACCAAAACTACCAATGACTTTTTCATAATTTCTTTAGTTTAGTTTCACTCTATCTGACATGATATTAGCAACATTCAATCAATTAAGGCTACAGTATGATCTCAACTCTGCTTTTCTTGTTCCTATCATCTGGCTCTAGTTCGATCTGCCTTAGTTTTAGGTTGTCATTTACTTTTCATCCGAGTCCATTCCATTTTTGTGTGTTCCTATGTCCTGCAAGTTCATACAGTTAAGTGTTTTATGACAGTTAAGTTTATGAAAGAAAAAATACCACACCTCCTGACACAACAATGTAGAAATCTGTGAATATCTTGTTTTGTATAACAATATCCACTTTGGGCGGAAAATGCTTCTTTCATCTAGAAAACACAGTGATGCTTAATTTCCCTTTTTGACTTTCTGTTTTTTGTTTGGCCATAGTATGCCATTTTGTTATTCTTTTTGGAGCGTAAAATATGAAAGGAGTTACCATTTGGAAAAGGAGGTCCTTGGATATTCCTTTGAAAAGGTGAGCATTTTCTCATGGCTTACCGAAAAAAATGTGAGCAATGCTAGGTCTGATTGCTTTCGCTAGTTCTTCGAGTACTTTTTCTTGCTGGAGTTCTGCAGCTCGGAATTTGAGCGAAACATGCGCTAGCGTTTGTTTTTGGAAGTCTGTGCTTACTCCCGGTTTAGTAAAGATTCCACCATGTGGGTTAGGAACTGAATCGGGTTGACCTTTGCCTAGTGAAATGAAGCTGCTAAAGGTTCTACCATGGCAAAGGTTCGAAGGATTGTTTATTACGAATCTAAGTCACCTTTATTGGAATGAAATATGAATTGAACAACATAAACTGTCATGTATAAGAATAAAAACGTATTAATAATACACCTTGTAGGATGATAGAAGTCATCAGCTACATCTCCAGTTCTATGATCTGCTATCATTTCTGTAACAAAGTAACTTTTTTTTCCCCAAAAAAGAGAGTCGTTCATCAAATTAAATGATAGAAAAATAGTCATTTTACTCAGTTCCATCTGTTAAAGTACATTTATTTTTTAAAAATTAATATCATCATATCATAAACGTAGAAAATCCTTCGACATCTTCCCGAGTTGCATATATGGTAATTTTCCTGAATTGTTTTTTCTTTTCAATTATATGGTTTCATAATAAGTCCAGCAGCGGAGGCACATACAAAAGAAGTGGGCAATTGCCCCAGATGGAATTTTTTTTTTTACTATTAACCTTTGAAGTTTTAGAATTTTCTTTAAAGAAAACCATTTTTGCCCCACCTGAATTGAAAATATTAGGGAGCAAGTATAGTAGATTAGAAATTCGAAACATTTTATCCCATCACATATAGGGGCTTGGCTCGACCCTTGTCTTAGTCACAAATTAATTAAAAAAAAGAAGTAAAATAAAAAAATCATATCTACAGAACCGATGGTCCAACTTATACAACTCAGTGTATCAGTATACTTTAATTGTATTTGACCCTTCATTCATTATCTTTGATGTCTTCCTCGTCTACTTTAGCTGAGAATTGAGATGGCTTGTCCTGCTTGATTGTTGCAAAAGTTCGGGTCATTACCATTATCCAAATTGTTTTGGTGGATCGGATTCCAAATTATTCATCCATCCTTAATGCAAGTGAATTTTGTCATAGCTGAATAATAACAATTACACTGCTAATCAAACTAATAACAAATGTGATCATGGGAATCAATCTTTAAGCCCTATATCATCATTCATCAACTCCCCCTCCCACAAGATATTTTTTTTCAGTACTCTCTCATACTCTATTTGTCACTTTCCAAAACCCAAAGAAAAACTAATCATCAAAACACAGCAATAATTCCCATAGAAGAGACGACTGACTATTTTGTCCCGAGCCTGTCTTTATTAAGGACAGAGTAATACAAACACAGAAGCAGTATATTCATCATTATATGGAAGCAGCAGGAAATGGAGAATGTAGTAAATATATATAAATCCTCATCCTGTACAAACAAATGCATGTGCTAGCTCCACCCAAAAGCACAAATTTAAAAGCTCCAATGGGTCACCCTTGAAAGCTAATGTTACCTGTTATTGCCTCTCCGACAGCATGGACCTAAATATCCTCATTTCTCTCCTTTTTTCTTTCCTTTTTTGTTTCCCTCCACAATAGTCACTTCAATGTTACAAATCACAAATCAATGAAAAAAGCCCTCAAATTTATGCAAAACATAAAAGGAAATCATTACTTTTTCTTCATCTTATCCTTTCCAGCAGAGAAGATTGAGCCTAAACCAAACATGCTTGGGGAAGGAACATTGAGAAGTGGGGTAACTTTAACACCATTGCCATAAGAAGAACCATAACTTTTCTTCAATGGTGGTTTTGGATGATGATTCCCTGATGTTGATGAGGCTGACTGTGACTGTTTGAGTGATGTAATCAATGGTGGTTTTGTCACATGCTGCTTGTTATTACTGAAATTGTTATCCTTTCCCGACGATGATCGCTTCACATTTGGAGTCGAACCAGTCGAATTGCTTCGTGATAAAAGTGGCAGAGGACATAAGGTTCTTCCATAACCACTCCCACAATTTACACTGTAACTGCGCTTAAACCGCCAGAATGAACTTTTACTTGTTTTCTCTTCTGATTCTGATGAATGCTCCCCACTTTTCTCACTTGGGCTTTGATCAATTTGGGTGCTCTTCGTTGCATTATGATAGTTATTGACACGAATTGAAGACTCTGGAAATTGTGGAGATTTTGGGGGATCTGCAGGTAATGACTTCTTTGGTGGGGTTGAGCCTAATTTCCTCTTAACTTCAATTGGGAGGATTTTGCCATCAGAGAAAAGCTCATCAGCAGAGGACGATTCTTGATCAAAGCTTCCTCGAAAAACACAGAAATCAAAATCAATACTCGAAGATGAAGTTGTCCGGATGTATTGTTCAATGGGAACCCCGTCTGACTGGCAAAGATCGTGAGAAAATGAGATCCTTGGACTCACCCCTCTACTTGAAGAAGTATCTGAATAAAGATCAACCGCCATTAATACACTGCGAAACTCGTTGAAATATCTATTTGAACAGTCAATGAAGCATTCAATCAAACAGCTGCAGTGGGATTTTATGGCAATAACAACAGAAGCATTCAAGAATGGTGGGTCAAGTATCTCGAGATCAAATTAAAAACCCAACTGCAATATACATCAAATTCGCCACAAAGTTTCAATCTTTATCGAAAAAGACTACGAAAACCGGAATGATCAGTGACAAAATCAAAGAGGGTTAAGAAGACAGGGACGAGAAAGAAGAAGATAAAAAGAAATGAAGGGTCGAATTGATCATGAATACTAATAAAGAAACATGGAATTCACAGGGGACCCTTGAGACAGAAAAAGGTAACTGATCCGAAAGTATAGTGGGCGACGTGAAGAGATGAAACAAATGGAGTGGGGAGACATGAACGTGAAAGAATAGAAGAAGGGGAAGAATTAGAGCAGTGGTTGGTTAGAAATTTGGCGCAGTGGCTCTGTGGGTTTTTTTTTTTTTTTTTTTCTTTCTTTTTTGTATTGTGATTTGAGAGAGATAGAGATGGGCCAAAGAAAGCAAAGCATGCTAGCTTTCTCCATCATTCCTCAATTTATCTGACACTTTCTTTTTCTTTTTTTTTTCTTTTGAAAAAAAGGAAAAAATTAATCCCGTATCATATAAAATTTGTTGAATCTTTAGCCTAAAAGTGTTCAATTGCTGATCATGCATAACATGATTCACACAAACAAGAATACAAGATAATGTATTTGGGTTTAAAATTGACATAATTCAAGTTTTAAGTTATAAATTTAATTAACATATCAACTCAATCTAGTAGAGATGGAGCATTCGAGTTCAATTACTCAACTATTACATTTTAAACTAATAGATGTGGACTGAATTTGTTTTACAAACATAAATGGTGAATTAATAAGTGCATTAATATCAGTATCCTCGTGTACATTTCTTTCCAATAATAGATGAATAGGTGTTTTTCTAGTTTGAGATTTTGTGAGTTGACAGTTGAGAGTTAAGTCTAAACAAATGGTTTATATTCAATCAATTAGTCCTCCAAAGAGGGTTAGGGAAAGGTACAAGGCCAAATTTGCGCGGTGTGTTCCACCATTTGGTAGCCAACTGTCTTTAGCGTTTCCATGGACGGTAGGAAAAAAGGGTCCATAAAAAAAAAAAAAAGAAGAAGAACAAAGAGTAGTACATTTTGATGCAAAGTGCCAGTCATGAATCAAATAATGCAGGTAATCATCTTCTTCTCTTTTTTCCAATGGGTTGGAAAGGCCTAAAAACATAAAAAGATATCCTTGAAATGGGAGTACCAATATAAGGGAAGATAGTGGAAGGAAGGAAGGAACCTATTTGTGAAATTGAAGCCTTTTTTTTCAACTCTTCTTTTTTATCTTTTTGTTATCTTTCTTAGCCAACTTGCCATGTGAGGAGTCTAAAATGATCAAGAACTCAAGTAAAGGGGAAGGGATAAAACTTGCTCGATAAACATCACTTCAGCTTCAATTATAATGTCTCTTTGTTTGGTGCCCATTTTTTTGTTGTCTTCACTAGGTACCCCATGAAGTATGAAACACTTTACCAAACTCTAAATTCAATCATTTTTTGGGTGCAATTTTGATTCAGAATTCAATATGGGTAGTAAAGAAGCTATAATATGTGATATTGAATACGCAAATTTACTAATTTGAAGAAGAAACTGCATTGAATATTTTTGGGAGATTGATGTTATGCTACTGGGCAATTTCTACTACTTATCTAGGATCAAGTTCTTCAATTGGTTTCTTTTCCAGTCTGCTAATTTCCTGAACAGTTTCCTCAGTCATAAATTTGGAATCTCACTAAGAAATTAAACTAATAAAGCATTAGAATCTGTAGCTGGGATCAACATCCATGGCCCAAGCAAACTTAGCTAACAGAGACTTGGTGAATATCTTCTCGATTGGAACTTGGTTTCGCTTGCACCATGCAACTGTTATTCTGGGATCAAGGTAATTGATCTTCGAAGTTCCTAACGCCACGGTTTTCAAATCCTCTTTGGTCAACTTGTCACGTTCCATTTTCTCAATCTTAGCATTGGTTTGAGCCATCTTCTTCTCAATCGCTTCCGGGCTTAAATTCCTCTTCCGCTTCTTGTTAATCGTCGACGACGATTCCGGTTGCTTCCCCTTTTTGGCTCGGGACAAATCCGTTTCCAACTCATTGAGAACATCCTTCAGTTCTTCAATCTTTTCATCCAATTTCGACATTTTGGCATCATGGGATTTTGACACAGCGCGTTGATGATTGCAGATGATTGCGACCTCCTTGTTTGCTGTTGATATACCATAACCTTCTCTGGCACATCATCTCCGGTACCCTTTGAGATTTTCTTGTTCAACATTTCATCCAACGTTAAGGATGCATTGTATGTACGAAAAACTTTCGCACTCAGGCCAGGCATAAGTTCCTTTAGATGAGCATTCAATTTATTGGTGTCCAGCAAATCGAAAAGATCTGCATTATTCCCCTGGTTTTTATCACTTCGGAACTGTTGAATTGCCTTGAAAACAAGGGGTTCAACTTCAACCTGATTTTGATACCGAATCGAATCTTTACCAAGGAAATCAAACTTTAAGGTGTTTGGAGGCAAAGGTACAACGTGTTCAACTTTCAAAGTGCAGCAACCAACGGTTTCAGCTTCATCTTCATCCTTCTCGTTGCCTGCCCTGAGAGCAAGTTTATCAATCAGATAAGTGGCAACCGCAATTTGTTTCTTCAAGGGATCTTTACTGCTGAAATCCTTAGTATAAGCAGCTCTAATCCCAGGAATATAATCCTTCAACTTCCTTGCCTTTTCATATTTTTCCTTGTCGGTCCGCCCCTTTAAGCTACTGCTTGGTGCTAATTTCACATACTTCTCCTTCTGATTGATTGGATCTTTCCAACATGCTAACCAAGCCACTGTGTTATCATGCCTAATTTCTTTCCATCTTTCTCCACCATAAATGATAGGACATTCAGGAACTGGAGCACTTTTCCCAATGTTTATGGTCATGTCACTGGGTCGGATCCGTTTCTTCAATCTACCCATCTTTGGATGCTCTCCTCTACCTCGGAACAAACCAGGTGGTTCAACCTTAAAGTTGTTCACTTGTTCCTTGACACCATCAATGATAGCCCACTTGAATTTCTCCTCTATCTCCTCTCTTTCTTCTTTTAAAGCCTTCTTTTCCTTTCTACTCATCTGTTTCCTCTGCTCCACCACCCTCTGATGCCACTGGTAAATAGGCCTGAAATCGCAGTCTTCCAAGTTCTGAATTACATGTTTTTCTCCAAGGATCTTTTTCCAGTCATGGAAGAAGTTCTCTCTGAATCGAGGTTTCTTTTATATAATCAGAGTTCAACAAGACAGCAAACATGGTGGCAACTTCTTCTTGTTCAGGAGTCAGATTGATAGGCTTCCCTTTGTAAAGAATTTTAACCCCGTGACGCTTGTAAAGCGGTGGAAATAAAACGCCGTTGTGGACCAATGTGGTCCACTTTTTACCTTCTTCACCATGGCCGGCACTGGCAGCCTCTGCAATTGACTTGGAGTTTGTTGCTTTCTTCATCATCTTGTTAGTTTTCTTCAGGGAAGATGATACGAGTTCTCTGATGGCCGATGTACCATGATCGCCGGAACGTGGTGGCGCCATAAAAGAAAAATTCAGGACTTCTAGGTTTGGACTTGAATTAAAGGGAAGAAACTTCTTTCTCGCTTGGATTGTATAGGGATTTTCTCGTTTCCTATTATTCAATCGACAGACAGCTAGAAAAAGAGCTTGATCGAGTTGTTTTATACTAGTTCATATGATACCCAATTAATGTTAAAAATTAAATGGGCCAAGAAGCAATACCAAAACGGAATAGGATTCTCTCTAGGGTCTTTATCTCGTGAGTCGCGTGTACTTTGTTCTTCCATAGTTTTCTCGTTGCAGTAAAGCTGCACAATATAGTACACAGTACAAACAAACACAAGTTAAAGTAAAGCTTCTGGTTCAATTTGGACATGGATAATTTGCACCATTGTTCTCACTGGTAAGAGTTATTCTTTTCTTCTTTTTCTGCCCGATGCAAAAGAGAACAAAGGGTGAGGGGATAAGTGAAAACTGCGACTTGTCCCATGTATAATTCGCTTCAGCCCAAAATACATCAATAAAACTGGCTATACAAAACGCTTCAAACACTTAGTGTATTGCAGGACATAATTGGTTTGGTTCATCCAAAATTATCAATTCTGCAGACACTAAGATGGTTCTATTTCACAACTACCTTTAGGGTCACCAATGAATTCCTTTATTTCTCTGTTTAGTACAGCAAAGATGGAACTAGAAAAAATAAAAATGAAATAAAAGGAAAGAACGATGATGATTATCAATTTAAAATTTATTCTGCAACAATGCAATCAATCCAAAAACAGTGTTAATAATTATCCAATCCTTCTTCACCTTGCTAGTCATATTTCTCCTCCAACGCGTTGCGTTGCCTCTTAATTAAGCTACTTCTGTTTTCTGCTAGAAACACATACTTGAATCTCCTTGGATTCACGCTATCCAATTGGATGTGTGATCATGGCAGATCTTTTTCCATCTTCCTTGGCCATTAAAACATTCAGGAATTGGTGCATCTTCCCCAATGTTAATGGTAATGTTATCGGGTCGGATTCGTTTCTTCAATTTACCCATCATTGGATGTTCCCCTCTGCCTCGAAACAACCCAGGTGGATCCACCCTAAAGTTTCTTACTTCCACCATAACTCCATGAACAACCGCCCACTTGTATTTCTTCTCTTTCCTCTGTTTTTCTTCCATCAAAGCCTTCTTTTCCTCTGCACTCATCTTTTTCGTCTGCACTCATCCTTTTCTCTCCGGTGCCACTCATAAATAGGGCTAAAATCACAGTCTTCCAAGTTCTGAATCACGTTGTTTTCTCCAAGGATCTGTCTCCAGTCCTTGAAGAAGTTGTGTCGGAAACGAGGTTTCCTAATGTATTCGGTATCTAACATGGCAGCAAACAAGGTGGCGACTTCTTCTTGCTCGGGAGTCAGATCCACAGGGTTCCCCTTGTAAAGAATCTTGACTCCATGGGGCTTGTAAGGCTGTGGAAATTGCACCCCATTATGTACCAATGTGGTCCACTTTTGATGGTTGTCATTGGATATGATGTTGTCTGCTTCTGCCATAACTTTGGAAGGGAAAAAGTCCCGCCGGAAAGGCCTGGGAGAGGATCAAAAAGCCCGCTGAGGATGAAAAGAAAGGAGTAAATAGATTGTGAAATTGAAAGGATTAATTGAAGCCTTGAAAGAGCTAATATAAGGGAGCGGAGGGCGAATTGCCTAATCGCAAGATTTTATTATTAGGGTTAGGATTAGGGTTTGTAAATTCCACGATGAGGTCAGCACCTTAATAATTTGTTACTTACGATTTAAAAAGAATTGTGATTTTTTTAAAAAAAAAATTAAAAACCTCCTAAAGTAAAAACTTATGCATTTTGAGAAAAAATAATGCACACATTTCATTTAGATTCATAAGAAAAAAAAAAAAAACAAATCTATAGTTGCCCGAGTGAAGACATTATGCATAATACAAAAAAATTAACGTGTCAAATTATCCTATGGCTCCGTTTGGTTAGATTGAATTGCAATTGAATTAGAATTACAATACTATTGAATTGAAAATGAGATATTAATATTGTAATTCAATCTCAATTCCTTTGTTCGGGAGATCTTAAAAATTTACAAGAATTAAGGTTCTAATTCCAATTCTTGTGTTTAGATGCAAAAAATTTTGGATACTTTAGAATTGAAATTAGTTTGTTATTGTATAATTAATACTAGTACAATTTATACTTCTTGTCAAAAACCAAAAAAAAAAATTATTTTATTATAGATATGTATAACACAAAAAATAAATAAATTTATTATATACATGTATATTTGACTAATTTGTGGTTGTTTAACTAATAGAATCTTTACTTTTTTTTATTAAAACAAATTATTATTTTTAATTAATTTGCTATATCAATTTTGTAATTTATTATGTACACACATTTTTGTTGGAAACAAAAGAAATATTATTATGTATAAGAATTATTAATATGATACTTAAAATTCTCACTTAATACACAAATAAGTAACACGTAAAACATCCTTGTTTTCCTCTCTTTTATTACTTTTCAAAATTTTTAATTTTTTATGTTTTGATTTATATCAAAAAAATTTAAAAAAATTATTATATAACATTGTAAATTCAGTTTATGAATATTGAGGTTCATTTATACATAGATTAACATTAGTATACAATATATGCTTAAATGTTTTTATTCTAGTATATAATTATATATGAAATAGAGCAATGATAGACATAGTGACTAATTATACTGAAAAATTATAGTGACTAATGAAAAGACAAATACACCATTCTTACTAAATATGTGTATTTATTAATAAATGGTAAAAATGTAATTCTTTAGGGCAAGATAAAATTTTAACGGGAAAGTGGCAAAAAACTAGGGCCAAGAATAAGTCATATCACTCACTATCTTTTTTCACTATTTTTTTCACTAAATATATTATTTTCTTATGAAATAATAGAAACTTAAAACTCAACTTACATAATTTTTGGTGAAAAGATGCCATGAATAGTCAAATATATATATATATATATATATATATATGTATTATAATATAGGTGTATACATGGAACAATTTCTAAAAAAAAAATTAAAAATGTTATGTTGTTTACTATGTCATAATATAATAAAAATTTAACCCAAAACTAAAATATTTAGTTATTAACTTTTTTTTTTGGGTACAACTACACTTTTGATTTTTTTTTTAAAAAAAAAGATACAATGTTAATTTTAGATTGATTTCGTTGATAATTATAAAAATGATATATATATGACAATAATAATAATAATACTAATAATAATGAGACAAACAGCCCAAAAAAAAAGAAAAACAAAGAAAAGAAAAAAGGGATGAAAGCAAAAAAAGAAAAAGAAAAAAGATGAAAAACAATAAAATTAAAATAATATATATATATGTATATATATATATATATATATATAAGACCAAAAGACAAAAATTGAGAAGGTGACCCGTTTAGGTTATAACCCGGAAACGACCCGGTTATGACCCGCGTATTTTTTTTAAGTCCTTGAATTTGGATTCCAATTATTTGCTCCTACAAAAGAATTGAAAATAAAGAATTGAGCCTCATCATAAATTATAATTCCAATTCTTGGACCTTTATTTTTACCAACCAAACACAAGAATTGGAATTAAAGAGCTCCAATTCTAATTCTTGGTCCCAATTCAATGCAACCAAACAGAGCCTATATATATTTGAAAGTACGATGTCAAAATTTTTTTGAAAATTAGTATGGTAAACTCCTTTTTTAACTTGGTCATGGAAATTTTTTAATTACTCAGCTAGAAAATTCAGCGTGACCTTCAAAAATTATTATTAAAAATCTTCTAACATTGATTATAGAAGTTTTGTTTTTGTTTTTGTTTTTTTTTCTTGCATTTATTATTTTTTGTTAATTAATTCGCCAATTTCAATGTAAAACTCACAACAATTATTTTTTTAAGTGGCAATTAACTTTATCGACTTTTGTCAACTTTCCATTGTTTTCCGAGTGATAATTTCTTTCGTCGACTTATTCGTCGGATTTCTACAGACGACGACTATACGAAATTTTAAAGTTTGTTTACATTGTTTTCCTAAATCAAAAAGAAATTTGTTTCTAAAAGAATTGACTGTTACGTGTTCATTTAGTTTCAAAAACCGATGAATAAAAGACAAAAAGAGGTGTCTGTAACGGAAAGTAGAGCAGGAAGATGGGAGGGGGGCAACTACTTTATTTTAGCACAAATTTATTCAACATCATAAAGTAGAGCCGGTTGAGTCTCAATTTCCGGCACATTTTTGTTCGAGCACATCTGAAGAAGCTTAAACACCACGTAAAACAGAGCTGCAACAGTGAATATAGTGAGCAAGGGTAACATAACTAGAACAACTAGTCCATCCTTCTGCATACAGGGTCGGCCTTCCTATAACGCCATTAAAGCAATGGTTTTTAGGCTCCTATTCAGGAAAGATCCCAAATTTTTAAAAATTAATATTATTATACTACTTTAAAAAATTAAAATAAATAAAAAGGCTAAAGTTCATAAAAAAAAAAACTACAAATTTTCAATCCTAATTTAAACTCTACAGATTTCGAGATCTTTTTTTTCCAAATCTTTTTAATACTTTTAATAATATCCAATAAATCAATTTTCTTATTTTAGAAAATAAAAATCTGCTCAATGGTTACAAATCTCTATCACACATAATCTATTCCGACCACCAAAAGAACTTGTCAATATTTACACATCTATCCGAATAAAGAAGGGTTATAAATTTTATTTTTTAAATAATTTACTCAAAAAATACCAAAAAGTTTCTTGCTAAATTCATTCAAAACTATAAGTTTCAGGTGTTATTCTATGACACCGCAAAGTTAAATAATACTTATATCACTTTCTGTTAGATTTTATTAAAAAATTAATGGTCAACTCTTTGCATGTAATATGCACATGAATTGACTGAGCTATAATGTGTTTATTAAAATTTAAATATGTGTAAATTCACAAGCAAATCAATTAATCATGTGATACGAAAGACTCAAATCAAATTTTTATGTACATTTTATATGCATTTCACGTGCAAAAAGATTAACTGTTTGTTTTTTCATGAAACCCTTAAGGAAAAGTGAGTGAAAACAGTATTTAAGTTTGTGGTGTCATATAGTAATATCTAAAAATTTTAGTTTTGAATAAATATATCAAGCAATTTTTTGGTACTTTTATAGCAATTTATTGCATATTTGTTTTACTTTTTTCTTATATTTAAAAAGTCTCAATTTCAATATTTGTTTTAAGCATCCAAAAATATTGAATTGCCCTGTCGGCATGTGGGGCAAGTGTACCATTGCATCCATCATTATCAGCAGTGGAGACGGTGGAGTCTCCATTGCTGGCCAAACAAAATTTTTGAAGAAAGCTAAACCAAAAGAAATAAACAAAAAGGCTTAGTGTTTGTTTGAATGTTAACTCATTTTACATTTTAACTCATTTTACCTCTTAAACACAAAATTCAATGGAAAAGAAAACATCATCCAAACAACTTTCTTATTTACATTTTAAATTCCAACTTAAAACACTTTTTGTTAGTGTGATGACCATTTTTGAAAAAGAAGTAGTTCATTGATGAAATCTAACAAAGGAAAATTTTAGAGTGACAAATTTGTTAGGTTTTCGTTGTTTAGTGATTGTTTTTGGAAAAAATATTTTTTAAAGTGAGTATAATTGACAGTATTTAATTGTTTAGTGATAATTCGTACTTGATATTTCAAAATGTAGTTCAAAATATTTTTTTCAAAACCAACATCCAAACAACTTTTTGCTCAAAATACCATCCAAACAACATTTTCATTTCCCATTTAGTTTTTAACTTGAAACACTTTCCACTTTTAAGTGGCAAAATAAAATGTTAGATGACGTCCAAACAAGCACTAAGGTTGGAATTCAAATTTGCAACAAATTAACGGGTATTTTATTCCCGGACCTTTACCTAAACGACAGGTTAACACGCTTTTTAATCCACAAAGTTCTGTTTGTTAATTTCGCAAGACAATGTTAAACTGACCCTTTTAACCCATACCTTCTAATTAATAGTTGGTTCCTTTTTTTTCAACTATGTTATAATCCGGTCGACAATATTGTATTTAAAACTCAAAGAAAATGAACTAAACAAAGATTAAATGGATAAAAGAAAACTAGAAGATATTATTAATAAGAAAACGATGCTACCATAAATTTACATTTTTTTGGTAAAAGGAGTAAGATTTGAGGTAAAATAAAAATATATCTTACTATATTAGAAACAAAAACCACACTTAAAAGAAAGCATCACCATTTGCCATGTGGCATTTCCACATCATATTTTTAAAATAAATTTTTATTTAAACATCTTCTAAACTTAAAAGGCAAATGCAGTCCAAATCCACCTCTACCTCCTATTTTTGGCCAAAACCAAAAAAAAAAAAAAAACCACGGGTTCATAAAAAATCCAAATCATCATCCCCATCTCCACGACAATCGACTTCCTAATCAATCCCTTCTCCACAAAAAAAAAAACAAATTCCTCATCAATTATTAATTGAGAATATGTGGTGAAATATACTCATTTCTTATTAGCATGTTTAATCTTTTCATTAGTGATGATCAACTACATCCTAATCGCATAAAATTTTAACTTCAAAAAATATTCTCTTTACCTCTCTATATAAACACAAAGGA